TTCCCCCCCCCCCCCCCCCCGATCTCACCGTCCCTATCTCGTTGAGGAAAATGGACAGCCTGGTGGTGTACTCGTCGAAATCCCTGGTCATCTTGCCCCACTTGGCCATGACGCTGTAGTCCTGCGCCGCCGCGGCATCGGCGAACCATGCCCCCGAAGAATCAGCGTCGAAGTGCGGACATCGCTCCAGCACGTACGAAAGCTTGATGGCGATGTCACCGCCTACGGTTTCATATTGTTGTTGTTGTTGTTGTTGTTGTTGTTGTTGGACCAACCCATAACCGAAACGTAATGGCCAAAAACTAGTTACTTACACCAATAGGGTTGGTTCATCTTCACCTTTGGTCAGAAGAGAAAACAAAACACAGGCACTGGCAAGGCAAAGGTGACATCCTGCACCGTGCCTGACTAACACCGGCTATTCAAGTACCTCGAACGGGGTTGTGTGCACGCAAACAGGTTTTCCACTGAATTTGTGGGCGTATAAACCGCCGCGGGGACATACGAACCCCCCCGACAAGCCACCACTCAGACCTCCCTTGCGACGAAATCAGGACGGACACGCGTGTCAGGGACGGCACTGCGGTCTTCGTATGCTGTACACTAGCGGCCAGCCATTCAATCTTGACACCGGCGACGACAGAATGTGACTGCAAAGGGCACGAGGTAGTGGCAAGTATATAGCACAAAAATAGTGCTTGCTTACATTGCGGCACGACGGGGTATCGCTGGCAGATGCGTTGCAGCGGCTGCAGCTTGATCTTCCTCTGCTTGAAGACATTGTACGACCCGTCGGGGCCGGCTGCTCCCACGTCACCATCAAGCAGCCTACAAACACCAACACGAACAACACGATCATGGAAAAAAACAAAAAGAGTTACTACATTAAAAGGCCAGTACGAGACCCTTCACGGAGGTATTATAGCACATAGATGGTACAGACACCGGTTCATAAAAACCAAGAAATTGAAAGAACCACACGGTAAAAACATCGAAGCAAGCGTCGGAGATGTGCACAAAAAAATACAAACAAGTACGAAGACGAAAAGAGTAACTAGTCTGCTTTGCCGCAGCTACACACCGACACGACTTTCTCGCACTACTCGGGCAGTGCATCAACCCATAGAGATCTCACCGAACCAGCTACATACAAAACACATCCACCAGCAGAGCAGTCGCTCGCGAACAAAAAACTCATTCTTTCCGTAAAAAATCTCTTGTATTGATGAGGGTTTAGTCTCACCAGAGCAAGTGCGGCACAACCCTGATGTTGCGGTACTTTTCGTCCGGCGTCATATACCGGTTTGTCTCCAGCCGCTCCACTGCCAGGCTCAGCATTTTCATCAAAACCTGACCACGCGGACATGCCATCAGCAGCAGTGGGGCAGCAAGTGGGTAAGTAGGGTATCTCAACAGCGGGCAGCGGGGTGGATGGACACTCCGAGATGAAAATACAGCAGCAGTGGTACACAATCAGGACTTGATTGGCCACATGACAAACAACACTCAGAAAGGACGAACACTCCACGCGAAACGTTCGGAGGGTGTTCCAAAATGCCATACAATACACAAAACCTGGCTACTATGTAGACGTCAAGAAGTAGAATGATTCTCCGATGGACTGGAACAAACACTGCTGTTGTCCAGCTCCAGCTCCACTATTGCGCAAGCCAGGGGCTCATCACCCCCAGCACTGTAACATGGAACTATAACTAGGACAGGCTGGGTGACATAGCGGGCATCGTTGTGGATACATGCGTACACTATCGCTTTGAATCTGTCACCTCGAGGTGTCCCGGGATGGCCTTGATGCTGTCTCTCAGCGTGTTGATGATGAGCTGCTTCGGATGCTTCGGGTTCCCCAAGAAGAGCTGCAGCGAGTGTTGCTCCTGCACGGACCAAAAGACCACCAACACGTGCGTCGTATCCATCACCCCCGGGGTCACCAAACATACAAACATACAAACATACAACGATTGAACGATTGACACATGTCCACCTACCAAACCCAGGCACGGGTCCATGAAACGGGCAAAATGTGAACAAGAAGGTTGACAAAAACGAACAAAAACATGATGTCAGCAACATACATGGTATTATCATACCACCAACAAGAAACCGAGGCGGGAAGTTGCACTAAGCACCAGCGGCGAAATCTATGCTATAACCCCAGCACACACACAGCCAAAAACAAGGGAAGACAGACATACAGAGCTGTTTTCGTCCTCTTGCCTGCCCTAGGCTTTCCGCGTCCGGGAGGTCCTGCCTGACGCTGGTCAAGGCACGCTTGTACCTCGAGAAGTCGTTGGTCAGACACGCCTTCGTGTCCTTCAGGTAGTCCTGAAGATTAACATTCGTTCGGTTTCGGAACAACACCAAGGGCGACAAAAAAAAGAAAGAAACAGATACGTAGTTGCACGTGAGGACAGAGTTGTACATGTCGCTGGATACCAAGCAGCGGGGAAGCATCCATGCAGTCGAGCATTACGGCCAGCACACGGACGTTCAAAATCAAACCAGCCCTGGTGATACCATGGCTATAGCATACTTCGTACAAGCGTGTGATGTCGTGTTATCACCAATTTCAGAAAGGTTCCACCATGGTTATATTCAAGGCACCCCGCGTAAGGATAGGGTTTGTCTTCGCTCGCACGGAAAGAACGGAGTTGCACCTCAGCGTATAGGAGTCTTTGATCAAAAACGCCTGTTGTACGTTGAGAAAGCGGCTGCGTATTATCATGGTGAACCCTGGACACCGGCAAGCATAAGCCGAATGGTGAGGGTCACAGACCCTCTCCGCAGGAAACACCGGCTGCTGCACCGGAACAAGGCTCGTTTGCACGACAACGACCCGTCTCGTTGAATCCCGAACGCTTGCATCAACCCAACCCCGCACATCAGGGCACAACGTCCACCATGTTGGCCAGAGAATACCCAAGTCCTACCTGACATAACCGGAACCTGGTGTTGTCCAAACAAGTGTACCACAAAAAGACACTAGTAGCTAAGAAGTAGCGCGCTCCATTGTCACGAAATCAAGAACTTGAACCGTGCCAACACTAACAACTAAAGTACTATACTACAAGGACGCAAGATAAAGGCATCCTAAGCGCTGTAGACTCTACTGCTCTACAGGTCCTCATTCTCACCATCTTCTGCATCAGATCCACCACCGCAATTAGCGCGTCGTAGAGCCCCTCCGGCACGACTTGCTTCTTGCCTCTCTTCGTCAGAGTTTGCACATGCGCGCAAAACACCTCCGGGGGAGAGAATCGCGAAAAATAAAGGCCAAAAAAGAAAGAGACACGGAGACGGCGGGAATCGCTTCTTGTCAAGTTGCCCCAGCGTTTACCCTCGCACAACTTAAACGCTGCTTTAGTGCAATGCTTCTCGTGAGTGCTCGGATTTGGTTGGGTTCTACACGCCAGGCATGTACCGTAACTCGCTTGGCAGTGATCAATTACGACGTAGAGCCAAGAAACTAGAAACAAGAGGGCGCCATATTGGTAACAGTTAAAGTGCACATGAAAGGAGTGGACGAAACCCAGTACATGCCATGTGACCACTTTCAGGAATCCTCGTTGAACGTTGTACCATACCTGGACAGCACTCTCGTAAAATTCCATGATGGCGGTGAGCTTCTTCATCTCCGGCCGTAGCACCTGCAAGGGGCACCGTAGATGTTTGTTTAGTGCGTGGAGGGGAGGTGCGAAGCGATCCGATCCGAATTCAACTTTGACAAGAGCACCTTCGTACAAAAAAGCAACAAACACTAGTATGTAGAAGTAGCAGTCAAGAGCGGCAATATTGGAGTGCGTTTGGGATGTCACAACATTCGAGTGCGTCATGATTCAGTCTTTTAACCTTTAAAGCCAGACACTCTCTCCCACAAAACGCTTCCATCTGAGCACCACTGCGACTTCTTCGCCAACCTTCGTCGGACTGCTGCGATGAGGACAGACACAACCGAATGTGGCAACGCGAGCTAAATAGCAACCACGCTCTCATTCCCGCACACCTGGCGCTCTCTCATGTTTTAGCGGTAGGAACCGGCAAACCGGAACCGGCAAACCGGGTACCGGCAAGGTTAAGCGGGATGCCCTAAAAATAACGGTTACATCTCGTCCTCTGGCACTACAATGAACCGCAAATCTGGGTCCACCCCAACCGTACGAGGCAGACGCGTGGTTGACCGACCTCGTTGGTGTACATAGCACTCCACCCACGCGACATTACGTGACGTCACCCCGTCCCACCTTGAACGTGTTCATGTGCAGAGCGGTCTTGTTCGGGTCGCCGCTGCCGCTAACCATCGGGATGGCTCGCGACACGCTCCGGAACGTGTAGAGCACGTTCACGTGCATGCGCCCGAACTCCAGCACTTTCTCGAGCTCCCCGATGGCCTGAGACAAGGTACAACATGGAGGGTGGGCAAGGATTGTGCCGTCCAGGGTTTTAGATAAACTACATCGCTCCCGACGCTCCAGTCGCCTCAGTAGCCTTTAACCGTCTTGTGTGTCAGCAAAGTTGGATCCTAGAGTTTCCGCTACAACAGCATCGGACGTTCAAGCTGACGCCTACTAAATAGCTGCTTCATGTACTTTCACGAAACACGTTGGTATCTGCACGCATCACGCTGAAATCACTCGTGCATGGAACCTCGGTAGAAACAAAGCGACGGCGTGCCTACACAGGCGGCCGTCACCCCCAATGTATGGGATGGCCCCAAGCGATTGTGATGCCCTAATTCCAAACAACATGCGTCGGGGGGGAGTCGACGTTAGAAGGAATTATGCAGCATATGAAGTAGCAGTCGACCTCCGACCGATGAACGGTCTTTTTTTCATTTCGACATTTTGGCCTCCAAACATCTTGGATTCAGACCAGATCACAGCCCTTGTTTGCTGCGTAGACTACTCCTGTGCGCACGAGACCTCGGAAGAGAATATTCCCCGCGTTTGTACATACACAACACAACAACAGTCAACACTTCAACCCTCAATATTATAGTCACACACAGATTGTTATGTCCTGTGTGTCAGTCGCGACTCAATACACATCTCTGTTGACAGGAGAGTTAGTAGAGTGTCATATCCCCATACCTCGACCTCCGAGCCAAGCGCCGTCTTGTAGCCGGCATGGTCCACGTACTGGAGCAAGTTCGACTGCGGAGCCACTTCGTAGTCGATGGACTGCGGGGTAGGTTGCACTCTAGGCACGTCATCCTCCAGCTTGAGGGACTGCGATTTGATGGTGTTTTGCGTGGTTGGCGACGCAACTCAGGTGGGAAACACAAACGTTCGAAAGGAGGGCACACTTCCCACACACGTCACTCAGGTGGTTGGGAACAATCCGCGAACGGGCCAACTATGTGCACACGGGGGTAGAAAATGTTCGCCCCGACAGGACGATGCTGCTGCTGCTGCTGTTGTTGCAACACCAAACATTGCGGGAAAGGTGTGCTACAAATAAGGAGGATACACCCAGTCTTTGTCCATCAATTGATGATCTCGCGCGCAAAATAAATTCCACAACACAGCTAGAAAACGCGCGACTCTTGCGAGTGCGAGTGCAAACGTGAACAGGCAGGCAACGACGACACGGACGAAAGCTCAATACGGACGGTGTGTTGGTTGCAGCTTGTGCGGAGGCGGGCTCTGTTTCCTCCCCCGCTGGCTTTTAGGGAGGATGTGCGTTCAGTGCGCAGCAGACACCATTGATGGCCTCATGATCAAACGGTCTCGTGCACAGTTTCTCCGAGAGTGTATCCTCCCCATGCTCCCCTAACTATACCGGTAACATGGTTGCATTGCTATCGAGAGGTCCGGCAACGGACGCTGTTAGTATAAAGGTATTTTAGTCCCTTCTGCTCTCTTCATAGCGAACACTTTTTGGCCCTACCTCGAGGCTGAGAACATTGGGATGGAAGACACCCCGGCCATTCTCGGCCATGGCTCAGCCGTTTCTCTTCCCCACTTTTGCGGAGCCAAGCAGAGCCAGCCTTGTGCAGTTCCGGCCTCGCCTGCTTGCTGCTCTGCTGCTGTTTTCGCTAACGGCACCCTGCACCGCGCCATGCACGACCCGCTTGTGAAGCGATGGGGCACCCGCAACTGCTGCAGGGATACGAGAGCCAAATTGTCATTCCACGGAGCCACCACTCCTTCTCCAAGGTATCGCCACTTCGCCACACACAGAGCGAGAGCACTACTGCTGTACAGGCCGTTGTGAGATGGAGAACGACAGGAATGAAGAGGTGGGGTGTTGGGTTAATGTGTAGCTGTGGGGTTGTGGCGGCTGGTGGCGTCTGATCGGAAACGTTGAGACATTTTCAAAGTCTGGCCGCTTGGTGAAGTGTAACTCAAGATTTTCTCTTCTCTAGTCTTCAGTACACTTCGAGCCTTCGAGAAATCGTCTCAGACATGGAGATACTGCTGTATTTACTTTGTAGTAGTCTGAAGATGTCCTGCGTCCTGCTCTCTGCCGCTCTCAGAGGACCTTCAAACGTTCCTAATGCAGATGCCTTCCTAAGATGCAGGCTAACTGCCCGAAAAGGGCACACATTGCGAAATACTCCGAGTACCAAAGAAAAGTATATCTCTGAACAACATGGCAAATGTTGAAGGAAACTACACCGCGTATTGTAGTACAATACAAGATGTGGGACGGTACAGTACTACAGTAATACTGCTGTCCTGTACTGTAACTCCCTCCCCTTCTTCTGCGTACGACAATCTATGGCACGGAAGACCAACGACTTTACTGCGACGCTCTAACCGCAATATCCCACCAGATTTGCGATTATGTCTCACTTGCTCGCGCTCACATTCCACAACAGGTGGCGAACTGTGTGGCCCCCCTGTCTCCTTCACGGCACTCCTGCTGCATGGTACATGGTACATACTGCATACATTAGGAGAAAAACAAAACACAAGAGTGATCGCTTTCTGCAAAAAATCACTCCAGCCAGTACCAGTCTCCCAAGTTGACGCAGCGGAGAACTTTTTGATCCTCGGCCAGCTCAATTATAGCTGCACTCAAGAGCAGTGGATGATGGCGGTTTTGCGCACTGGTACATTTGCGGTACACTTGTAAGAAACAGGAATCTGCAGCAGTACAATACAGCGTTCATCCTCTTACGGCGTTCTTCGACCATGTCGCGTTTTTTTGTTCACGGGTGCAAGTACCAAAGGCATGAATTAGGCCAGCACGGAAGAGGGACGAACCGTAGAATTTATTCGAGCGAAGCGAGATTTCTAATCTGGCCTGAAGTCTCGCCGCAATATAACGCTCCATCAAGAAAAAATAGTTTCTGCGTCTGTTCGCTTTATCTAGGTTTAGAATATAATGTACATCACTTAAGGGGAGACCGCAGCACTAAGCAGATTGCTGCTGCAGAACACACGCACAGCAGACAACACACGCACATCGGCCACAGCGAGCACAGCGGGCAAAGCAGGCACAGCGAGCGACAACATACAGCAGCTAGCGAAATAGAGGATGTAGCTGCTGTGAGCGCATGGCTATTGAACGAATAGAGGGAGAGGGTGCAGCCGCTGTGAGCTCATGGCAGTTGAACGAATAGAGAAATCAAGCATTCGATTCCTTCAGACGTGTACCTTTCTACGTCTACTGCTGCGAACCAGCCGCCCCAGACGTAGTTTCTAGCAGTCAAGCCGAAGGATGTTTGTTGGCGTCCCGAGTGTTGGGTGTACAGGCGCAGAGATGGATGAGCTATTGAAGGCGCGACGGTCTGCAACCAAACTTCTTGCAGACCGCAGACCGTGACAAGTTCACCCGCCCGTCTGTTGAACGCCCACACACAATTTGTCAAAAGGAGAATCGCGTGTCCGAGAGTAGCGTGGCCCACGCCACCAGTCATTGTCTTTGGCCGCGTTGTGTGTGGTGGTACTATAACAGGTGATCGTGTGTGACGTGTGCCATGCTGCCACCAGTGTTCTATCTATCTACAATAATGTGAGCCTCGCAGCAGCAGTGTGTGCAATGATGATGAATGATGAATGCATAATCATACATGCAGCATGGGGGTTTTGACTTGCAACTGACCGGCTCTCTTCCACCTGCGGTACCCCTCGCAATCACACGGACGTCCTCCCGTGGACGCACACGTCTGACGACAGTTACATCTATCAGCTGTCGCTCGTTGTAGCGACAGCTATACTATTTTTACTCCATGGGCGATTCCAGAAAGTTATCATATCATCACAGGGGACTGACTACCCGTTTGAGAGTTTCGTACTTCTTTAGCATGGGGTGTTGAAGCCTTTACTACTGTCGCTGACAGCAAGCAGTACATGCATGAGTGTTGCGCATAGATGGCGTAGTGTGTCAAGAAAATCATTCGCGAACCGAAGGTGGTGTCTGCTCTCTCCTGTTCGTTCTGTTCGTTCGATGACGCTTGAACCAGCAGGCACCACTGGAGGCCGGGGAGGACGGCACCTTTGACGTCGGAGACGCTTCGCCGCCCCCGTCGCCACCCAAACGCGTTGGAAGTGCCCGTAGAACACAAAACGCGACTGCGACTACTGTGTCTACGGCCCCGGCAACCGATGGCGACCCTTGTGGCTCGCCACCAATAAAAGACGACTGGGAAAAAGTGGATCTGGACGGGGCCGACGAGGGACTGCCGCCTCCTGCAGGCAACGCTAGCCAGGGGAGAGAAGCAGGGGCGCCACCATCGGCACCGGAATACGCACAGGAAGACTTCCAAGACGCGGTTGAAACGCAAGACGAAAGCGCTACCCAACAGGCCGGAACCGGAGCCACGACCACGGAAGACGGCACCAGTTGTTGTGTAGACGATTCGCCGGGCAAGGCTTGCGGGCAAGCAGCGCGGGTCGAAAGCTCGGCCGCCGCACCACCGCATGCTGTTGTGGAGCAGCGGCCACCAGGGTTGGGCGGGAGGGTGAACGTGATCGCTTCGGGGCTGGCCAACGTGCGACTGCCGATGGGATACGGCAGACAAATGCGGCAGGACGAGGAGGATGGTCTGGTAGACAGTGATGGAGAAGAGCAGTTCCACGATGCCCAAGACAGCGGCCCTGGCGTGGTGAAGGACGCGACCAAGGCCCGAGAGATGAAGGAGGCGGGCAACGAGTGAGGCGTTTCCCTTTGTGGTACAGTGCTTGGGGGGTGTATGTACAGTACTTCGTGAAGCGTGTCCCTGAAGCAGTGAACGGGGCTTGGCCGCACGTGGGTCCCTGCATGCGTTCCGCCGCCTTGAAAAAGCTGTTGAGCAATCGCTTCATTTTGCCCGCTGCCTGGTACAGAACCGCCTTCTATTTCACAACCGAAACCCGAGCAGAGCAGTAGTGAACCCGGCTACCGGACAGTCAACAGAGACCCACCTCGCATAAAGAATCGAATCACTCACACCCCCATCGCTTGCTCGTGCCGCGCGGCGGCGGGTGCTTGTCACGAACGGGCAATACGGCAATACATGTATCAGACACTACAAGAACGGAGAGTTCGAAGACGCGGTCGACTACTACACCATGGCACTCCACTACTGTCCGGAGGACGAGGCGCACAAGAAGGACAGGGCTGTGTTCCTCGCTAACCGCGCTCAGGGCCACCTCCGATTGGAAGAGGTGGGTTCGACTGCTGTGCGCCGTGAACGATGTTGTGTGTCTACACACTACTGCTCAAAGCAGTAGGTGTGGTCCGTTAATCGATACCCTGAGACACTGGTATTGTTGGTCAGCAGCACTCTGCTCCATTGGGTTTGTTGGACAGTTAATCCGGCAGGTTTTCATCGTACCCGTTGCTTGATGGTGGGCTTCGTTTGCCTCGATCCTACCCGCTCCTTTTCGTTTGTCCTGATCCCTGTTCCACACTCCTTTGCCGGTGTCAGTACGAAACGGTGGTGGAAGACTGCACGGCTGCGCTAGAGCTCGACCCAAGCTACGTGAAGGCGCTCTTGCGACGAGCGCAAGCCAATGAGCACCTTGAGAAGTACGACATGGCACTGGAAGGTGCGAACGACCGATTCTCCACCAAAAATATAACGGTGGTTCCGGAACCCGCAACTCCGTAGTCTTGGTACAATATTCTAAGACGTGGGTCGTCTCGACAGCGAAGGGTCTAACAGGCACGAGTGTTCGACCCTCTAGTTGTTAACCTGCAGCAGCTTGGCAGGCCATTAACTTTTTTTTTTTTGCGGTAACCGTCCGTTGGTATGCTTTTTTCTTCGTAACAGACGCGAAGGAGTTGCTAAAGCTTGATCCGAGTCTCCGCTTGGCGAAGGAGAGCGTGCCGAGGTTGGAGAAGCTTCACAACGACAAGAACGAGAAAATGAAAGAAGAAGCAATCGGTGAGTCTTTTTCCGTCAATGTACCGATCGTATGTTCACGAAACACGAACGGCTTGGGCTTTGGCGTGCGGTTTCGTGCAAAATTCGCTTGCGGGCCCTCGTGCACTCACTGATGGGGAGCGCGTACCACGGTGCAACGGGTCGTCTTTTGACTGGATATTTTTTTCGGCATCTAGAGAATGTTTATCCCGGTCGAGCCATCGCCTGTTATCCCGGAAACATGCAACTGGTATAGGCCCTCAATAGGCTTTGAATCGGACATGCTCGTTCGTTCGTTCAAGTTTGTTTCGCTTGGCCTGCTTTGGGCAAGATCGTTTTTGGTTGCTCCGTACCCGTCGCTGTGATGAAACGTACTGGAATATCTCTCACGGCGTGTTGGAAGCAATACCTATGGCAAGCTGTCCCTACTCAATTGTCTGCTGCTGCTATGTGTTTTGATGCATAGGTAAGCTGAAAGACCTCGGCAATGCCCTGCTTGGGAACTTCGGCTTGAGCACGGACAACTTCAAGATGAAACAAGACCCAAACACGGGCTCCTATAGCATCAATTTTGAGAGATGATTGCCAAGCAATCCCCTTAGCGACGTCACGTAATGCTTATTTTGGGGGAGTCCCAGCTTCCAGCTTAGGTTTTTCTCTGTCATAGTGTACCTTTTTGACAGTCGCAGCATACCCTAGGTGTTGCCGTAGCGTCGGTGGGCATCTTGTGTAGGCGTGTAGCTGGTTTGTGGGAATGATTTTGTGTGCACCGGCCACATATAATGCGTACGCCCGTGCCCCTCTTGAAACGCCAATGAGACTTGTTCGAGGTTAAGCTTAAACGTCACGATTGCCTAGTGTAAATTTTTGTGGTGCTTGTAAGGTGCATGCTGGAAGCTGTTTTCGAGAGGGCGAGATCGAGAGAATGGATTGACGCAAGAAGCTTGATGTCGTAGCCGTGCCTTCCTTCAATGTGGCCATAGTTTGTTGTGGTGTGTTGTGGAGATGTACTTGGTTTGCGTACTCTGTAAAACGCAGTATCCCATGCCCCAATTTCCATGAACCTGCTTCTGGGCGAATGGGTCTGGGCATTTTGACACAACTGACAAGTGTGGGGGTTCCACTGAGGGAGGAAGCAGGTACTGAGGACATTGACCGAGACGTTTGAAAATAAATGAAACTTGTGTTTTTTCCCCTCTGCCCTTCATGATGACCCTGCTGTGAAGCAACCCTGGCAAAAAAACGGCACAAAGCGAATAACACTGGCTGATAGCAGTGGTGTCCCGGAGCAAAGAGAACATGCATCAGAAAAGACTTGATGGTCACAGAGCACAGAGCGAACAGCAAACAAACTTGAACTTGAACCTCAGGGGACACGCAGAGGGCGCACGACCTCTGGCAATCTCACAGTCCCGGTGGCTGGGTCACACCGCACACGGCTGGAGGGAAAGTCGAAAGTCGAAGACAAGACAGGCACACAGGCACTGCTAGAGTATGGCCGACGGGAACAACGATGCCATCTTGCTATGAGAGAGTGCTGGGCACGACACGACAAGATGCCTTACTTCGGGATGTAGAACTCATCGACAATCCACATGAGGTATGCTATGCATACCACTGACCACTGAGCGTAAGAATGGGTAGTCTTTCTGTGTGTGTTTTTATGTATTCGTCCGCACTTGTGTTCGCACACAAAACAGCTGTAGGTGTGTGGAGCCGAGTCCACACCCAGGCTAGAGGGCACCGATATGTACGTAGCTAAGCTGTGGCATATGCTTATCCAACCAACCAAATCCAGGGTTAGGGTTATGCCCATGCTCTCGAAAGAATAACAGAAGGGCCTTGTTGCGTTTGGTTGCAGGTCACCGAGTCAGGGAGGACCTCGAGTTATTTTCCACCTCTGGTGTTGTTTGAAACCCTACCAAGCAAAGTTCCACGCAGTACACACGGATGTCTGCACACAACAGCGAGATATCTTGCATTTTTGTATGTTGCCGCACACCCGACTCTGGTACTGTTTTAGCAACAGTTGTTCAAGCCATCTCGCGAGACAGCAGTCTCGATTTGTGGTAAACCTGCATTGCGTGACACTACTGCTGTATGGCAAGCAAGGCTTAGGACTCGATACGCGCCTTGTGCATTGTGTACGTACTCGCCGCTCCTATTTCTTGTCGCCACGAGTGATGCATCTGTAGCAATAAAAACGAGACCTTTTGCATGTGCGCACAGGCGAAGACGTTCTGGCTGCCTGCCGATGCTTGTCCGGCAACCTCCTTGGAGAAGATCGCGAAGGCCATCTTCGACTTTCACGTCGCCAATAAACAACACATCGGCCAGCAAGATTCAGCCCCCACGGGTCCCGTTGGCTCCACGCCATCTGCAGTAGCACATGGCGAAAACATCCCATGCCGAGATAAGCCTGGCGTCGTCCGTCGTGACACAAGCTCCCGTACCGGCTGTGTTGAGTCCGGGGCGGAGTGGTGGGTTCAGCAAAGAGAAGAAGGCCGTCATGCAAGCCTGGGGATGCCATTCCATTGGGATAAAGACGAGCAGATGCTGGAGCAAGAGGGGCTGGTCGTGTGCCCGGCGGTGTCGACGGTGACGTACTTGACGGGGTACGGTGCGCCGACAGTTGTGCTTGAGGTACGAGATCGGGTACTCTTGAGTTAGGGTCTCGTAAATATCTTTCTTTCTTTGTGGATCTGAGCGTTATGGAGTGAAGCGGCAGCTTGAGTACAGACAAAACTGTTTTTTTGAACTCTCCTAGTTTTACGAATACATACCTCATCGAATGTCATGCTATGAAGAGTATCGCCGATATCGCTCGCCGCGTTGTGACCGCGCTGTGATTGGCTGTCCCCCACCTCCCCGTTGTTGGGGCGGTTTGACCCCATCTTGAGGGCGCTGTATGCACGCCCGCTTGCTTTGCAACCAACTGCTGTGGCGGTGTCGCGAAGAAAGACGGAGCTACTGTTGTAGGTACGTCGTAGTCCGTATGGATTGCAATAGCGCCAATACTAGCCCGATGTTGTGACCATGTTCCCTCGACGCAATATCTTGTGACTACATGTACCTCTGCTCCAGCTTCATGTGCTTAGGATGGACGCAAACCGGAGTCCATGATTAACGCTCGATTCACTTGTCACGCTCCCCAACACTTCCCCATAAGGCCCGGGCAACAGGCAGCCGGACGGTAGAAGAGGGAGATATCAACCAAACATTTGTGAGCTACCCGGCGCTCTTCAAACACCTCGCTTTCGACGGTGGCTTTTTGCACGGGGTGCCAGAGCAGCTCATGCGAACTGGAGATCGACGCATCAGCGGTAAAGTAGGGAGGGACGGTGAGCGACGAGAGGCTCAGGGCGGCAACGACAACCATGGCATCCGCTCCCGGATATCCCTTCTTTCTTTGAACGGCACAGTAAGTATTCTGCGGTAGCAGGATTCTCAACAAGGCAGCACTAGGACAGCCAACAACGTATAACTCGCGAACTTGGTTGAAGTACGTCGCCCGTGCAAGGTGTGGTGGAATCAGCAGTAGAAGACTTTACGCATTCGCGAGGTACATAGCTTCACACGAGATTTTTTGTCCGAATTCTCACTGACGCCCCAACTCCCTTTTCGACTGACAACCGTTTCGTTTTCATGTTATTAATACCTCTCCATTTCCTTTGTTCCTTGCGACGGTTCTCTTGCCCAGCGTCGTGGACAAGGGCGGATGCGTGTGACCCTCCTCGTGAACGTTTGGCTGTCTCACAAACCAAAGGGAATCACATCGCTTCCGGCAGATGTTGCAGGGTCTCTCAGCAACATCAGCGTCCCGCTGTGCTTCGACAGGCCAGGTGATTTTGTCCCCGTGCCGGTTGAGAAGGAGAAGGAAACCCAACCTAACCAGGAAGAGGATGGAGTGTCCGTCCGGGGGACGAACTCATCGAGCATGCTTTTGAACGTCCCGCTTGGGCCGACTCTTCTCCTTGAAGTGCGAGCCCCTACACCTGAGAGGCTGTCGACGGGGGGTTTCAAAGAGGACCACTCGTTCGCGTTGGTGTATGCAGAAGGCAGCCATTCTCGCATCTCGACCGTGCAGGCGGGGGAAGTGGGCGGGGCTGCGCATACCACGGGCTCACGGAGAGCATGTGACCACGACCGACCGGAGCCTTGCGATGTTGAAAGAGATAAGCTTGCCGAAAGGGTTGGAAGGAAACATGGGGACAGGGTCGAAAGATCACCACGAAAAAGAAAACACGAAATGTAAGGCTACTATGTTTAGGGTTGCGAGTGGTAGATTCCGGTGGTTGTGTGCACACACACGCTCTCAGTGATGTGACCGGCAATGATCATGCACAATGACAACGATGTCGGAGTGTTCTCTGCTTCGACCAGACTCATGCCCCTCTTGGAAGTTCACTCATGTTTTGGGACACAAATAAGTGCGCAACCAGTTCGTTGGGAGTGCTAGGTCTCGGAATAGGAGGGAATAAACCTCGCAAGATTTTGTATGATGAAAAGCGCATCAACTTATTCTGAATCTGACTATCAACCTGTAGTTCATCGAGCCGCCTGCCCCCTCAGATGTAAACAAAGGGCAGCTAACCGGGATGCAACCGCAACCCCCCACCCTCCCTTGATACAAGTAACTCCAGTCCTCATCCGATTGAAGCGCCTTGTCAGACAACTGCAGCACTTCAACCAACATTGAGTCTAGCGCCATTACAACTACACACGGGTTGAGTCCACTCGAATTTCACGCTGTGGAAGCAATACGCTCTATGTTGCCACTTCCAGCTTGACTTCGATACCTCTCTTGCTCTCTCTTGTTTCCTTGATCGAAACGTTACTAAACCGACACACACGCGCGAGACCTTCGAAAACACGAGAAGTCCAAGTCAAGCGACTCCCGACTCCCAACCCACCCACCCTACCAACAGTAAAACCCCCAGCTATAACGTGATACAAACAATAGAGTCCTTGAACATGAGACATCTTACCGAGGGTTGTCACACAACACAAAACCAGAATATTAATATGGATTTAATACTTATCCCGGATCCCTATCTGTGGATAGAGATGGATTTGATGAGTTTTTGCAAGAAAAATATAAAAAAACGTATAATGGTCGGAAAAAAGGAGTAGTCTACGGACCGTTGTCAACAAAAAAACACAAACATTTCACCTCCCGAGAACACGTTTTCACTATTTAGTGTAGGGAGTCCCGTGGAGGAGGTAATCACACAATAACTAGCCTATAGCACTGTATCAAACGGCCCCACGAATTCGGGTAGAACGATAGGACATGGACGGAAATGACGGCATGAAGGGCAATGACTCGATATACAATAGGCTAGACATCAACCGTCGGGAACAACCGCCACAAAACACTCCTTCCCACGTTTGGGCTATCCTTTCCTCTGACCCGAAATAGCAACCCTCGAACGCAATACCTGATGACGAAACAACGATACTAAAGTCCTTACGAACGCTCGTGAGCCCGAGAAGGGCTTGCAGATTCCACCAAACGGTCCAAACAGCGCCCTGGCCCCCGAGCGCGCGCATCGATCCCATCTATTAAATAAAACGATCACATCCTGCTGTCGCTCTTTCACTCTCAGCGGGTGATACAGGAACAATACTTCTGTTCGAGCCTGGGTTCTCCCCGACAACGAACCGAAAACGGCATGTGCATCACACGAAAAAACCATTGATTCGAGTTCCCGACGGAACTTCATAGCTTAGAACAAAGCCAGGACTGCATGGCCAACTAAAGTAAACCACAACAATAGAGGAAACGTGCCCTAAAAGTATGTTCTTCGACCATTTTCATCGCCCCTGGTAAGGTATATCCTATCACTGAAACCATCTCCCGCCACATTTAGTCTATAGACATGCGTTTTCCTCTCAACATTCGTCTGGTTTACTCGAAATGGCTAAACACGGGTTTTCACCCTCGGCAGGCTTTCTCGCGAAGACCCTCCGAAGTTTCATACTTCCCCCGCAACCATAAAATAACCACACCTTCCGATTCTTTCGCCATGCGCCATATCGTTAGTTTCTCTACCTCTTCGCACCGTGGAAAACATCATCTTTGGATGGAGCAGTTCCCCCGCCTTTAGAGGCCCCTCTCCCCCTCACCCTTACACTTGTCTCTCCTCTCGTATTAGGAGAAAAATGAAACCCGGGGCAACCGCCACAATTCCACCACCGACCGGTGTGTGTATGTCACGCACCCCGCAGGGCGCTACACCGCGCATTCGATCTGCGAGCAACGCGCCTAGTCAGGGCCCAAGGCTCCTCCCTTGTTGTGGGCTGTTGGCATAACGCTAGAAGAACGGCCGCCTGAAGTGCGGCGCACATGCTAAATCCCTTGGGGTTCGGGTGAAAAGAAGAACGACCGAGGAGGGGCCGGCAAAACCCCTGCTGTACCTACTGCTCCCAGGGCCTCTGTTTCTGCCCTATCTCGGTCTGGAGGGGGGGGGGGTTCTCTCGACGATGCCTGCGCTGCCCAGTCCTGCCGAATTTTCTTGAGGTGCCACTTTCACCGGCATCGAGACCGATATAGGAAGCGCCAGGCTTCGCGCCAGGTCTACAGTAGTAGCGGCAGGAGTAGAAACGAGGGTCTTTTCGTGGCGTTTTCTGTCAGAACCAGAGTAGCTTGGCCGCTGCCGGGTAAACTCGTGGCGTCTTGCGCGGGCCTTGTCACGTTGCTGTAGCTTCTTTCTGGCACGAAGGTTGTTACCGGTAACTGCAATACCGCCCTGTGACGAGGTCCGAGCACGCCTCATGACAGCATCCCGCTGACGCCTCACGCCCGCCGCCGCCACAGAGTGTCTCGCCGTCGAGCGCCCCGACTTCTTTCTCCTGCCGGCAGCTGCGGCGTGGCTCCTCCTGCTGCGGCTTTGCACAGGAGAAGAAACCTTGCGGCTAGGCCTGGCGGGCCGTGCAGGGGCTAACGCTAGTTGACCCTGTCGCAAGTCGTGGCGCGGGGTTGCAAAGGCTGCCATCGATGTCTTCTTGACAACAGCTTTGGCCGGCGTCTCACTGATGACGGGGGATGGAGGATTGGGTGTAGGTGTAGATGCCGGCTCCACCGCAGTTCCCTTCTCCATCTCATCGGCGACGAGAGCGACATCGTTGAGGCCGTTCGATGCGCGGGGGCTATCTAGCACGGAGTTTGGTTGGCTTGCTTGATCAGCTTCATCGTCACCATCGTCGTTCCCGTAGCAGGGGCTGAAGCAGCAGCACCAGAGTGCACGGCAGCAAGAGGCCACAGCCCTCCGGTACAGAAAGTCCTTGAGTGAGGATACAAGTCAACGAGGAGCCCACGGCGGCGACGGGGTTAACTTGCTGTCTTCGTCTGAGTTTGGGCATCAAGTTCGGCGAGAAAATGCCGGTTATGTGCTTGCTCACAAAGGAAGAAGGGCCGGCTACACCATGATAAGCAGTCCGAACATATCAAGACCGACCACTGCTGCGTGATGCGTAATGGAAAGTCAAAAGTTATCCCACCTGTAACCACGCCTGCTTGAGTTTGTCGTTGAGGCCGTAGCAGATGAAATTCAGCAAACCCTGCCCAAACCGGGACGCGGCAAAGCGATGGCGGAGAAGGGGTTACGAAAGCCGATGAGAAGGAAGGGGAATTGACAACTACAACGTCCCTTCGTGTGCGATTGCACGTTTGCGTCGGACAGCAGTGTACCACGGCCGTTCTCAAGGATAGGGGGGAACACGTTGTGGTGCCCTTCTTCGGGGATAACTCTCGGTCCGGCATATGATAGCACCTCGTCTTGAGATTTATTGGTTGCGCCTTCACTTAACGCCCTCAAAAACACTTCTCTTGTCAATGCCTATTGGCCTTTTGAGACATACTCACGTCGTGAGCAAAACTACGCTTGTGGCTAAGTGGATCTGGTAGAAAGGCATATGTGATGGTTTTGACGGGGTTCGGTAGGGTTGTGAGCTATAGCACAGGGGCGCGATTGTTCGTAAACTCATTTAGATCTTGTCATATTTCATGCACCCCTGTGCGATTACTCCGACCCCTGTGCGGAAATCGAACTCAATCATTTCGTTTTGGTTTCATGTGTTCGACAGCTCTAGACTGCGTCATATACTGATGACTCCCATCACAGATTGAAACTGCTGCTGCATATCTTCCCGCGGAAAACACCCCCCCCACCAAAACGTGAACCTCCAATAAAGTATTTGTCAAAAGGTTCTGTGGTACCTGAAGTCTCGATGTGAGTGTAGCCAGGAGAAGCAAGAAGAAGCTGGCGTTGGCTTGCCCCACCGCTAGTGTGTAGATCCCGTTGACCAGCGTGAACATCCAGCAAAGCACGAAGATCACTGGGTACCTGCGGGGAAACACCGTTCAAACACTTGGTGACCCCGCTCCATGTGCGTACAACGTTTTGACTAAACACACATGTGCCGACGTCCATATCGTTTCACGTTCTCCGCTAAGCGAACGGAAACGAATTCTCGGGAGATACCGCAGACAAGCACAGAGGTTTGAAGTTACACCGATAGCTTCTGTTTCGATAGGCTAGTCAGACGAACGTTTTTGGTTTCAGTTTTTCTGTCTTTTCCATAGCACGGTTCGGTCCGAAGCACCAAGAGCTCTATGCTGTTGTCTTTACCATGCTCACCACTTGATACGCGAGATGAACCTGTCCATGTCCATCTCCGGTGTGTGAGTCGTCAACACGTGCTGCGACCTCCCACCGTGCGCACCCAATGGTACTGCTGTTGAAGATGTTGCGCTAACCCTCTCCCCCTTTTCGGTTTCGGTGAGTCTACTACGGGTGCGAGCCGTTCCACACGCAGTATCTCCGAAGTCTGTGTCCATGCTCGACATCCTGCTGACGAAACCCCTTGCGGTGACGACCCCATTGGCGAAGCGTGACTTCATGGGCACTTGCGGCATCGCCATCATGGCCGCTTTGGCTAGGCTGCCAGTGTTGACTCCGTGGCTTTCTGCCGCCTCCGTGCTCTCGCTGCTAGCATTCCCTGAGGATGGACACTTCTTTCCGGCGATGGCTCTCGGTCTCCCGAGCACCTGCTCCCATTTTATCATGGCCGTACGCGTAGAGTTGTTACTGTCGTGGATGGCACCATCAGCGTCCCGCATAACCTCAGAGACGACGCCCGGCAGCCCGGCATCGTTCCCTCGTTCGGTCTCCCTTAACACCGGCAGACGTTCCGGGGATGTTGGTATGGGTCCGCCAGCCACGGCTCCAAGGGAGAGTCTCCGGTTGACTGGCGCCGCCATGCCATTTAGCCAAACGACGCTCTTGCATTCCTCTCCCTCTGACGACGACTCGTAGAGGGGGTCGTCATCGCCGTAGAACCCCACATCGCGGGAGGTACTCCACAGCCAATTCTTGACGCTGACGTTGCTGTTGCTGCGCGTGAAGGGCCACGAAGAACCAGAGGAGCTACTGCTGTGCTCGGCATAGTCGCGCTGTTGCGAAGGAAGCGTAGAGAATCCGTTCGCGCGGCGCTCGCCGTCGGCACTTTCTTCAGTACTTATAGGGAACATCCACTTCCAGAAGCTGTTATTGCGCTCCAGTCGCTTGTTCGGTGACGTCGGCGGCCGCGGCCGCGCAGCGCTGTTGTTTTTGGGCTCCGTCGGCGACTCCTTCACAACTGTTCTTTTGCTCACGTCTTTCTTGGGTTGGTCTGGAGACACGTGCAATCTTGCGCCTGGCATAGCACTAGAAGGTATCGGCATGGCGCTGATCGGTGCTGACGAGGCCCCGCCATGGGTTTTCGGGCTTTGCCGCTGTTCTCGGTGTTGTTTCACGGAGGAAGCTTCCGTGTGGCGGTTGGTGGTGGCTTCTAGAGACAGTCGGAACACGTTTCTCTGCGCACGGCCGAGCGTTTTGAGCACCTCAACGTAGGCCCAGACGATCACAACCATAGACAAGAGAACCACCACCAAGAATATGGCTCGCCAGAGAGACCCAATGTTCCATGAATCGCCGCCTGCGAGTGCGTTTGTTGCAGTCGGGAATGGGTAAGAAAGCTGCGCACGGTGACACAAGAGGTTGGATCATAACGCCCAAAGTGATTGACCTGATTTAAGATTCGAGTGGCCAACCGCCACTGGTTCTCGGTTTCTTCAGTGGTAGGGGCATGCTACTCTCACATCCGTGACAAATACGGCACGAGCGGTATCTCTTTTGGTATCACGACCTGTTCCACGACTCACTATCGACACCACAGAAAAAGCTCTCCGTTCTTCCGAAGGATCCTGTTGCCAGCGGTGCGCTGGACAGCAGCGCTGAGACGCCCCACGCCCAGAGATGGTTCCACGGCATGCTGCAGCAAGAGAATATTGAGCATGGGAAGATCACCGTCGTCAGCACTGCGCGGCAACACTGCTGTTCGGGAAGTTGTGGTTCTTGCTCGGGGGTCATGAGGGCTCCGACGGCACGGGTGGCAGGACTGAACGCCGGATGCGAGCGAATGTCATACGCAACACATCGCCCATCCTCGGGATGTTTTCCCAAGCTTGCTTGTCCTTGAGGGGTCCAACTCCAACTGAAAACACACTGAAGTACAGAGACTGTGTGCGGTGAAAGAGTAGACCGCGGCAGACTACAGCGCTGCGGGCACAAAGCTAATGTACACTTCACAGAGCGGGGGCTCTAAAACATTCCACGTACCGTTTGTTGCTGTCGAACGCCCGCGTCTTCGAGGACATCTCCAGCAAAGACTGGGCAATCAAAAGGGTCCATTGGATAAGGGCAACCTATCAAGCAGATCACGAAGGGCGCATGGACAATGAACGGGCGCTGGGGTTAGGGTAACTTCCACGACATCGCGAACTAGCGATCAATCCCCATCTAAGACGTTTGGCATATGACATGGACCACGTGTAGTTTTGAAAATAATACCTTCAGCACCCCCTGAGCACACACCGTGAGAGTATTCAGAGGTTGAAGGCACATCCTTGCGCAATCGATGCTGACAGTGAGCCGCGGAGCGCGAGCCGCGACGTGAATCTTTTCATCCCCATGAGGAAAAAAAAAGGCTCTTATTATGGGGCTCTTCAAACCAACGCGATGGATGGGGCCTTTTCCAATTTCCACCTAATTATAAGGCTACGTCAAACATTAATCACCTTTGTTCAACCAGAACCAGGTCTATAGAGCACCGATTTTACGATCTGCTGCCTTGTGAGGAGGAAGCAATTTATTTAGGGCACTCTTCGTCACACTGGTTTCGTCGCGCTCCGACAACAGATGGCCGTGCTTGACTGGCGTTTGTCCAGCAAATAATCGGATGTTTTGACTCCTTTCGCCGGAGAGTTGTAGAGGCAACGGAGGAACAACAAATCGGACATCTCTCTCTCACACACACGCGTTGCTCGGCAAACCAGGAGAAATAGAGGAAACACTCAGCTAAACACGCAACACCGCTGGGAGGGGCAAGACAGCACTGGCGAGGGAAGGGAGCCGTACACACAGCTCGTGGCGGATTCATTGTCATTACTGTTGCTTCGGTGTGTGGGGAGGGATCATCGATAAACCTGCGCCTGGGGCAACAAAAATCCAAACTGATCCCTGCGGACGCGGCGTTTTGTTTTCAGGTTGCGCCAGACTCTCCCGCCCGCAATTTCTGAGCGTCCGACAACCTCCTGGTCACCACACAAGACGGGGCATGGAGCTCGTGGCGGATACTCTTGTCACTGATGTTGCTTCCGTGTGTGGGGAGGGGTCATCTGGAAACAAACCCGTGCCATGGGAACAAATGCCCTCGAAGAGCCCCTTTTTACGTCCCAGGCGCCAGGGTATTATTTTCTCGCATGCATGCACTGCTGCCGAGCTAGTTAGATGGGAATCACCGCCGTTACATCATCATCATCAGCAGCACACTACATGTGCATTTGTGTAAGCTACCACTGTTCATTTGTGTCTGTCTCAGTACTGTTAGGTGCCGATGGTTTGGCGGTACTGCTGAGCAGACGACGGTGTGTGTGTGTTTTCCTCCGCCGTTGATGTGTAACATTCAACAACTTCCAAAGGGCGCGGGTGCACCAGTCAGCATCGCAGATAGACTCCTGTCAGGTATTGAGTCGTAACCCGCGGCTCATTACCCCTACCTACCTAGTGTTACACCAGCTGCCGGGCGCCCACAACCAACTCGAAATCGAATTCAGTACCGAACTCGTTTCTGAGAACGGCACAAAGGCGTCAGGTCGTACAAGGACGCTGCCCAGAAATAACTACAAACTACAGGCTTTTACCCTCGTGCATATTGCCTTGGGCCCGACGGTGGAAGATTCGATGCCTGCTCGTCATAAAAAAAGGGAGACCTACACACGCAGCAAAGAAGACTGGTGTCCACAGAAACGCTGCCACTGGGTGTGTGGCAGGTGGAGATAAGATACGAGTGTTGACATTTGCCCTTTGTCGGCGAAGGTTTGGGACCACGACTAGGCGAATAGTGCCTTGGGGGAGGGGAGGATGTACTCGTTGTCGTGAATGCCGTATTCGTTAGACCATTAACCTCGCATCCCTACCAAGCCGGGACGGATCACGCCGGGTTTTCACCGGACCAGGCTAGCACATCACCAAGCGCGAAGCGTCGTGAGGTATTCAGCGAGTCGCACAGAGGGTGTGCTGCATCCTGCTACGGGTGTTCGGCATCTTGTGCTTACTTCTTTGCATACGGTTGACAGCTGCGAATGGCCCAATCTATTTTCTGGTGCTTGCTTTTTCTTGCGGAGACAGTCAAACACTCTGTGTAACTGCCTCGAGGGTGCTTGACCTATGGAACACAACGTGGTGAGATCATTCCCTTTTGGCGGAGTGAGGATTCTCGACCCCGCACAACACAGTGTCGACCATCATGAAAAAAACAAGGGCAAAAAAAAGCGGCAACCTGTTTCTCGAGATCACGAAGCGATCGGCGTGGTATACAACGAACGTCGTTGCCAAGCGATGAAAACCCACGGGGGCATAAGTCGTGCAGTTGTGGCGCAATTTTCAACGTCTATACTTGTATGCATACAACAACATAAAATATTTGCCTCGGTCACACATTACTTTTGTAAATCAGCAACACCGCACCTGGAAAAACCACTGCAAGACGCCCTGAGTGTAGCAGAGCCCCGATCCGTAGCTGGGGCTACCCAAGAAAAAGCTAAGGTTGACGGCGAGATCGCATACCGCCAGCCAAACCACGAGCTACGGAGTATGCGGACGGTAACAGTAAATACGTAAATACGTGTCAACGTTAGAATTTTGCCGAGAGTTATTCTTGGAAGTCATCATGTTGCTCGATGAATGGCTTGTGACGATGATGACGTCGCCATTTAACTTTACAGCCAAGACACAGGACCATCAATAGCTTGCCGTTCGTCTACGTAAGTTGGTTGGTTGTATGTTGTGTGACTGACTGACTGACTTGTCTGTTGTCAGTTCAATTTACAATTGCAACGCCTTACCGGTCACTATCGCTTTTTGGACATATTAACATGCATACATACATGCAGTCAGTACAAGTTGATGGAGGGCAACAAACATACGTCTATATCTGAGAAGAACACAGCCTTGGCAGCTGCAGAAACATACCTACACGAGCTACCAGTACCAAAAGAGCAAGTCATTATTAGAGATTCCACGAAACGACAAAAGACAACAAATATATAGCCCGGAGAGGCGGAGAGACAGCAGGCGATTTTGGGGGCACAAAAATAAATATCGTGCAGTTGAAATAATATTACCCCAACCATTGCCGCGTGGATGCTGCTGCTAAACATTTCGTTACGTAACCCCAACTTGCGTAAACTGGTCCAAGAAAGATTCGCCCGAGTCACCGGCCGTGTACGTCACCTGAAACGAGTATGTGCGCAGCTGATCGTTCATGTTGCAGTTTCGCCGAATCCCGAACCGAATTTTTCGTTTTCGCGGGGTCCCACCAGTGCCGCCGCGCCCGCCCGTCCGTGCCGTACGTTTTTTGTTTTCATACAACATGTTGAAACGAACGCAGAACGGAGCAAAACCACGACCGACCGATTTACGCAGAGTTTGGCAGCAGATGCTTGGTGCGTAGCGAGTATCACACCAAAGTTGGCGACATCACCCTGTACGCGTCATACACTTTCTTCTACATCCTCAAGTCTCAACAAAAACATCCGAAGGCCAGACGCTGACTCACGTATCTGCTGTGCGCGGAGTATCAACCAAGCATCGCCGACAAGAAATTAACGTTCCGCGGAGATTCTGCGGTTTTGTTTCTGAGCGTGATGTAGATAGCTATGCATAGAGTTAGACTATACACTCTGCTCTCTGTGTAGTGCACGGTTGCGGCTTGCAAATATGCTGAATGAAGCTCTGTGGGTGATGGCGGGCGTAGGCTATCTATACCTACCTCTTCCTCCTGGACGTAAAAGACAAACACCAGGTAGGGCACAAACTGCTGTTGGCTACCCGAAACGACACAGCAGTGGTAGTAAAATCGCACTTGCCTGCTTGAAGCGGAAGTTAGCCACGACTATAACCGCAGAGCCCAGAAATGACAGCGAAGCACAAGCCTGCGCGACATGTACGATTGCCCGCTGTTGTCCGTCCGATATCCCTGTCCCGTAGCCCGTGGTTCCGTCCGGGTGTGGCATGCTTTTTTTCTCTTCCTCTTCTTAATTGTACGCAGCAGCGCTCACTGTGTTCCCATGCACAAGTGCGATTTTGGTTCTTTCTACAGGCACACCATGGCGGGGACACGAGGAGAGTCTTGAGTCGCCCTAGTGCAGGGCACGCCTCTTCTGTCTTGCTGCAGAACGATTACCCGTGCGCTCGAGATGTCCAGCCAAGCGTCCGATGTTTTTATTTGCAGAAGACCAATACCCGATCTGTCGGTGCTTCCTATGAGTGGCGAAGGAATCGACTCTTGTGGAGACCGAGTAGGCCTATGCATATGTTCTCCAACTACTGTACATGATGTGCGTAGCGACAGGTGATGAGTTTGGTCTGCTCGTCCGGTCGGCGTCTGGTCTGCTGTCGGGGTTTCTTGCTTGTTGTTATTTGTGACTTGGAAAAGTCATCCCCGGGACTGTCCAAAATTGGCCAATCGCCTGCCGTGATCGATCGACGACCGATGACCAAACGAACAAAAAAGAAGAAGTCCCTTCGAATTTCAACGGGGCAACGGGCACGGGTATTCTATCTCTGATGTTCCCAAAAACAGGTTGGTACGATGGTACCTAGAAGAGTATCGCTGTGTGCTGCTCGCGGCTCGCGGGGAACCTCGAGAAACACTGGTAGTGCTCCGCTTACACGGTGGGTACATACGCTATGTAATCTATAGGACGGAAGGAGAAGATTTGTGCACTATAGACCTATATAGACCTATAGACGGATTTCTTACGGGCTGAGGGCTCACGAGATCGCAGGAAAAGCAATCCTGATGATCTCGTGAGCCTAGAGTCCTTTTTTCGAGGTTTCTCCGCCCGTTGACCTCGCCTCGAAACGAGACTTGCACCTACCGATAGCCCTGTGTTGAGGGCCCTCCCGGCGTGCCGCGCGCTCTCGGGGCGCACTGCGTGCAGCGCCAGCGAGGGCAGAAAGTCGCGTCTCCGACATCTAACCATGGATCCACCAATCACACCCCGATTTCTTGACAGTGCAGGCCACTCATACATACATTCGGCAAGCGGCTGACGTGGATTGTGCGTGTGCCCTGGCTACACACCACACACCCTGCCACACACGACAACCAAGCCACCAAGTCTCCGCATGAGACGAGACAAAGTACTCTACTGCTGTAGTGCGTCTCCCTTTTGATCCAGGCGAAAGGCGGGGGGGTTAGCAGCCAGTGTCGTGCGCACAGCTGTCTGCACAACTATACACCCGCCCGAGAAAAATAAAATGAAATACGTCAAGTACGTTGTTTGTTCTTCCGTTTCATGGAAATACTTCTTTTTTTTCCCCGGAAATATCTTCTGGATACCTACCGCAGCAGTTTATTGTAGAGCGGCTACCGGGACATGCTCCCCATCCCACCAACACACACTAACACACGAACTTCTACAGTCATCTGACTCCCAAAACCCTCTAGCAGAACATATAGAAATACTACTGCTGCTGCTGTGGGTTTCCATATTTATTTTCATATCGGCAGACAAAGTTGTCTGCTTTTCTCTGCTTTTTTTGCTTACTACACACAACGTGCTGCAAAAACTAAAAAAACTACCGTATGCATACATACTACGTAATGATTTGCGCTGCTTTTCCTCGCCTCCCGCACTCAGCCCCGATTCTCATCACCGACGGCTGGCTGTACATCAGATCACATACGAAGACCGCAGACCCGAGAAGTAGCGAACTTTATTCAGCTACAACGTCTCGCTGAGGGGGTGGGTAGCACATGGGAGAGAGGGGGGGAAGAGAGTAGAGAAAAAAAGCTGGTTGCTTGATGTTTCTTTCTTAGTTTAATTATTCGACACACTCCCCCCCAGTACCCCTCTACTCTCTCTCTCTCGTGTCTTATGAATAATAGTAGATAGAATTTTTCAGGGGTCGCTCCTCTGTTTTCTTATTGAGACGTTTCTTCTATGGTGTGGCCCAGGTGGAGCTATTATATTATGTTACGTAACCAACCCTACTTTGCTACTTTTTTCGTGGAAAGTGAGCCTTTCTTTGTTTCTGAAAAACAAACTTCTTACTCCGAGCAATTAAATACTCTGTCCTCCGGCCGGCCGTCGCGTAACATATGAAAATAGTCATTGTGCGTCTGTCTCTCTCTGCTCTTCGAACAAACAAACAAATTTTCCCCTCTTCGCAGCATTTTTTCTTCGTATCTCTCATTTCAAAACTCCACCCGCACACACTTGCCATCGCCATTGAACCTACGAGCGTAGCGGCGACCGCGAAGCGGTACGCCGCGGAGCGCCGTTGTACTATATGCATATATATATATACCACAACAGGACGATACATAGGAGAAATGGAAAGAAATTAAATTAATTAATTACATAAAATATTAAAAATACGCCGTCATGTCTTGTTGAAGGTTGACTTTGCGCTTGTTCGTGAATGTGTGATACTGGGTGCGTGGTGGAGTTGTGCTGGCGGTCGGCCATCCTCGCCTTCGTCACACATGGGGTGATCATCCGACCGGTCGTGAGCGCCCGGTGGAGGGGACACACGCACGCCCTATTTACGGCCGTCCGTGTGCATGTGAGCACTGCTGCAAACGTATCGTGTGCAAACTGGCTTCGCGAAGCCTTGTCGGGCAATTATTGGAAATATTCAATATCCCGTCTTGGCGATATCCGTGAGGCAAAATTCAACATCCCGCGTACATCTTTGTATCCGTGTGGCAAAATTCAACATCCCGCGTACATCTTTGGGAGGTCCGCCGCACTCGTTTGAAGACTTGTTTAAATTACCATGTATTAGCGCAACTCCGAAGTGGAACGCATTCGAACCACGCACGTTCAGTTCCGAGACGGGATGGAATGACACGCGGTGTACGGCAGAGTTCGGGACAATAATGAAATATGGCAACCCCCGACCATGTCGACCCAAGACGGGGGTTGCCTTCATACACAAGAACGACGCCTAGTCGAAGACACACAAGGCAACAAAATATGAACATCGACCCTAGACAGGAAACGAACCTACCGCAAAACATGCGAGACCTCTGTGGACGTGGATCCATCGGACGAACTTCGCCCCGAACAGCATGAAACAGTCGGCAAGCTACACCCAAGCATCTTAAGGAATGGGACGGGAACTCTTCTATTAGAAAACCCCTGATCCCACGGTGAGTAGAAGACAAATCTGAAATAAAACATGGTAAGAGACGACGAGACGACTGTACAATGGAGATAACCGGTCGCACTGCAAAAGGTGAAGAGCGTGGACGACATTACCTACAGTAATCGGACTCTTGAGCATGACACCTGGGACGAGGACGATATCCCTTCATACACAAGCACGACGGATAGTCCAACACACGACATGGCAATGATGAATAAAGACCCTTACGAAGAAGACGAACCGCAAGAGAAACCAAGGGAAACTATGTGGACGGGGATTAAATACAGGAATACATGCACGCAAACGACATGAATCTGTCCGCAAGCAGCACGGAAATATCCGAACGAAAGGGATGGGAACGCTACAGAAGCCATGATCCCATCGTGACTACAAGACAAACCTACGCAAAGAAAAAATGGGAAGAGACGAGCGTCACGGCACGGTCTTGAAAGGCTAAAGACATTCGGTCGGCTAGATATCCTAAGGCAATAGAACTTTCCTTATGGCAACGACGAAGGCCACCAGCGGTGATGAAACACAAACGGAAGACGAAAAAAACGCTCATGCAATGGATAACTACGTACGAAAGGGACGCCGAAGAGATGAACACACATGCCAACCCGGCCAAAAAAGTCAACGAAAAGAAACATGTTACAACTGAAGCAGAATAGTGAAGACCCCCACATCACGAGGATCGGGCTCTTTTCTTTCCACGCCGAGGGTATGCGCACGGAGTGCAACGCTGGCCGTCGACGGAGTCGCACTCGTCGTCATGGTTGCCGCCTCCAGAAACTCCGCAGCCTCGGTGAAGATCACCATGGCAGCGTCCGCAGGAGATCATGCCCATGTTCTCGGCGTTCGTACACCCTGGTTCAATGCACTTCGGGCTGACGATGAGCGGGAGAGGCTCGTTCGCCTCGGAGAAGTCGTTGCTTGTGCGGCCGATACCAGCCCACACCCGACGAGATCGCGGCGGCGGTGCCGCGCGGGCCCCCACGTCGGATGTTGCGTCGGAGTCGGAGTCGGGGCCGAAGCCGAAGTTGGCCACCCCGGGAAGATGGCGCCGGGCGTTCGCGACTTCACGAACGGCTCTCTCACGGGCGGCGTCCATGGCGCCCTCCAGTTCCAGGCGATCATGCGAGCAAACCTTGGCTTGGTCGACGGTCATGTCAGCGAATTCCCGGTCCTGCATGTCCCAGTCTTCGTGTGACGTGGTTATGCGGCCACCTTGTCCACCCGCGAAGAACAGCAGATATGCATGTTTGCGGATGAACAAGGATGGGCAGAAGAGGGCGATGCCGAAGGCGTCAGCACGCGCGGCGTCCATGGGGAAGGCGCTGCTGGGGCAGATCTACGATGAGGACGGCACGGCTTGCTGGTCTTGGATGATCCACGTGACCATCTGGAGGGGGGACACGGAGATGCCCCGTAGGTGTTCTTGCCTGGGAAGGCGCACGGGCGAAATAGGGGATGGGAGGTTAGAGCGAATACACACAAACAATTTAGTTTACTATTAAAATTGAAGCCATGCAGGCAAGGGAATGTAAGATGCATTACTTTTGCAGGCAAAAGAGGAATGGAAGAGGGGAAAGGAAAAGAAGACAAGAGGTGTGTGTGGTATGGATTCATCGCTAATCTACCTTAAGACTCTGGATTCGTTGTGTGATATTAAGAAAAATACAAGAAGGTGTGTTGGTTGGACCTGGAAGCCGAGTACGACATTAACGACTGAAGTGTGATCTTACTTGAATCGACGCAGTAGACCCCAGAAGTTCTTCTTGCCGAGTTCCACTCGATCCTCCGTCACGCACGCACGTTGGAGTTTGCGGTACTCCGCGAGGGCGACGTTTATCTCCGTCTGCGAAACCCCTTTGCTCGAGGTCAGTGTGGCCGCCCCTGATCCTTCGAGCAGTACCCGAGCATACCTGACAAATAAGAAGGACGGACAAAAAAGAGGAGCGCATCGGGCAGGAAAAACAATTGTAAGTGGCGTATCGAGGAACATGAGGTAGGTAAAAAGCAACAAGGCACGCCAGAAATAAGGTGCTAACATCTAGCACGAGGAAGACAAAGACGAAAAGGTGGCGGACACAAGAAGAGGAAAACAAAGAGGAAAACATAAAGTCCGTGTGAGGACGAAGATGATGCTCACCGCTGAACGTCTGCTGCCGCATCAGACGTTTTATGACGATCTTGACCTTGACATGCGATTTCCACTCGCACGCCTGGCGCATGCTTTTCCGCATGGCGGCTTCCTCTTTCCTGGGGTCGTCAAAGTGCTTCACCAACCCCGCCGTAAGGATACCTTGAAGGTGTAGGTTGCCGTGGACGTTTCCCCGCTCCAGGCTAACGAGCCCTCGCACCATTCGCTCTTGCAAGTACTTGTCAACATATTCGAAGCCGTGAGACTCAACGTTCCCGCTGTTCCTGGCGGAGATGGTCAAAGAGAAGTCGTGTTGTGCTCCGATGCCGCTGTCGAGGAGGTCGTCAACCTTGTCTCCTGTGGTCGGACAAATGCGGACGGGCGTTGCCGACGTGTTGGTCTGCTTACGAGGGCGCCCAGGCCCACGACGCAGGGTAGCGGCTGGCGTCGAACGGGAGGAACCTGGCTCGGTGGCGTCCGGTGTGTGAAGCGCAGGAGGACCAGCAGCAGCTGCAGGAGGAGACGAACCGGCAGCACCGCCGTTCGGAGATGGCATGTCTGGACGAACATTGGGGGGTCGACCGCGGCGCCGCTTGGGGACGGGGGGTGCTTGAGACTCCTTGCGGGGACGGCCACGTCCACGACGAGCCGGACTGGGAGCGGCAGGAGAGAGCGCGTCGGCGGATGTCGCAGCCCCCCGGGCATCTGGAGACACGGGACGAACGTAGGGAGGAGAAAAAAAGGGGAACGGAGGGAGGCGGCGTACAGTGAGCAGCGGCAAGAGACACGGCGTCTGTAGATGTGGAGGTGGGCGACGTGAACACAACAGGCGGTAGTGTTGGGTGCCATGCATGTAACCAACCGACATGTCATGAGCACGAGAAGTTCGACACGCGTTACAAAGATTCAAAAAGGACCCACCTCTGCCCGCGGAAGACGCGGCATCTGCAGATACAGCCCTTGCCCGAGCGGAAGGACTAGGACGCCTACCAGATCGTCGAGGCGAAGGCGTCGCGGGGTGATCGTCGTCCTTGTCATGGAAGTGGTCGCCAGCTGCGGGGAATGAGGGGGACAGCATGAAAAGGAGGGATAAGAAAACAAGATGGAGTGCAAGACAGGACGTGTTGGGAACCATGGGAAAAGCGAAGAGGTGCGGGGGACGTGTTGGCGAGGTGAGCATGATGCCGACATCCAAGTCGTACGGTAAAGACCGAAGCACAAGTCGCACCTTCGGCCCCTAACGAGGACGCCTGGCCAGGAGTCGAGGATGAACGACTACCCTCCCCCCGCGAGCTCGTAGTCCCTGCGGCTGAAGGGTGACGTGCAGAGCGGTGATGAACTTGAAGTTCAGCGCCGTCCACGGTCGGAGGCTCCGGCGGAGTCGTTGCGGGGAGGTTTTCGTCCACGACCAAGGACGTTTGCGCCTGGTGCGAGGATGCACTCGCTCCACGGCCGCGCGAACCGGGCGACCTTTCAGAGGCGCCTAAGGAGGACAAAACAGGGGAGGCGACGTGGTACGGGGACGTGCGCGTAAAGCACTACTTATGCACAAATTGGTCTAGGTAATACAAATGTCGAATGTGGAAATACTAGTGCCTAGATGCGGAGAAAGCGTCATGTGAGGCACTGGTTTGTACAGGAAAAAAAAAAAAAAAGTGAATAGGTAGAGAGGTGAACCAATGCAGGAAAGGTGTGTACCTGGGCTTCTTCCACGGTGGCCGTGCGACATCGTCTTCCTTGTCGTTGCCGGACGTCAGGGGGCATGCAACCTTGGACTCTGGGCGTTCGACGTCGTTGTCTTCGTCGCCGTCCTCGCTGTCACTGGCGCAGCTGCTGCTGCTGCTGCTGCTGCTGTCGTCGCTGCCGGTGTCGCTGTCGCTGCTGCTGTCGCTGCTGCTGTCGCTGCTGCTGTCGCTGCTGCTGTCGCTGTCGCTGTCGCTTTCGTCCTCGCTGGCGGCGTCTGAAGATAGGAAGGGCAAAAATAGAGTGTGAGGATCGAAAAGGTACAATGTTGGCGCGACCCGAGATGCCGCACTAAGCAATGAAGGGAAGGACATGGATGGAAAAGAGTTCAACCAATGGTACCGACGTAGGGCAAGAACGCAAGGCACAGAGGGACGAAACGGAGAATGCTTATGCGACCGGCCGCACGACGGAACGGTTAACATGTACGCGGTAAAATTATTCATCACCTTTGCTGTTCTCCGGCTTGTAGTCGGACTCGCCCACGTCAACGTCGTCAGTTTCCTCGATGAAGTCGTCGAGGAAATCTTCGCTTGACTCACCAGCCAGGTCGATTATCTCGTTGTCGTCGGACACGTCTGCAAAGCAATTTGACGGACAAAAGTGAGTGAACATGGTGACTATGACGTTGTAGATCCTGCAAGCATGCACAAGAAAGACGACGACGTTACACTGATAGCCGTGAACGACAGCGGCAATACTGAAGCGATCGATGGCAATGAGGTTCGTATTAAACAGAGATATTGGAGTCGATAATGACACGTAGGAAACAAGAATAGGGAGGATTGGAAGGCGTTTATGGTCGAGGTTTGGTCTACTATCCAGGAAAGATCATGTAGTTTAAGGGTGAGAGATGCGTAGGAAACGGAAGTAGGGAGACTTTGGTTGGATTACAATACTTGTTCAGGGTAACCAGGGGGGAAAAACAAGTCTCCTATCGAGGAGAAACAGGGGGGGAAAACAAGACAAGACTTTGGCTGGACTCGAATAGACTCTACTTGTTCAGGGGAAACAGTGGGACAAATAAAAGTCTACGATCCAGGATAAACAAGGGAAAAAAAAAAGATAAGGCAAGAGATTATGTCGCAAGGGTGTGAGGTGAACACATGGTTACCGTGTATGACACAAGATAACACACCCCCTGGACCGATTTTCAAAGCTCGACTACTCCACGACGAAGAGGATACATAAATGAAACAATACGTTTTCGAACAGCTCTCGACGAGACGGTTCCAACGCCGCCGTTTTCGGCGCTGTGACTCTTCCTGCTGTTGAGAAATCGAGCTTTGAAAATCGGCCAAGGGGGTGTGTTATCGTGTGTCATATACGGTAGGCTAGAACACATGTCGACGGGAAACAGGGTGAACAAAAAAGTCTATCTACTATCGAGGAGAAACAGGGGAGAAAAACAAGCCGAGGGGAACAAGCATGTCGTAAGGGTGAGAGAGGAAAAGAAGTAGGATGGTTGGACTACAATACTTGTGCAGCAGGGGAAAGAGGGGGGGGGAGAGAGGCAGGATTGAAGACGTGACATCTGAAACAGCAGTAGAAGACTTGGATGGGAAGTTTTGTCGAGGTCGGACTACACTTTCGCGGGGAAACAGGCCAAAAAAATTAAATCACCTTCTTGCTTCACTTTGCGCTTGGAGTGTTTCGTGTCAGGATCAAGTGAGAGACGCGTCTTCCCGTCCCCCCCGTCGCAGTTGTTTGACTGAGGGTTGGTGTAGTCGTCGTCGGCGTCGTCGTCGTCGCTCACGTCCGAAGAACCGTCGGAAGAAAGGTACCCCACGCACTTGTCCTCTTGGAAAGATTTCCGCGGGAGGAGGGTCGCGGCGTCGAGGGCCCGATAGTCGGCAGAGGTGGGCTGTAGGATATAGACCTGGATTGTTTGAAGAGGGAAGGGTTGCATGTTCGATGCGCACAGGAAAAAAGGGGGCAAAGTTACATAGCTGCATAGGGCAGGAACGAGAGGAACAGGAAAGTGACACGTGCAAGGCAAACACGACGCGGGCGTGCAACGAGCGTTTCGCGAAAGGATGGTGCTGGTTGTCGTCATCGAACACAGGTGGCCGACACGACTATGCGGATCTTCCTCGACCCGAGAGCAGAGCTGACCTGCAACAGAGGGGTCAGGATGTTGACAAAAATATGCTGTTGTTGGTGCTGCTGCTGCCCTAACACAATGCCAACACAATGCAGGCGTGACACGCGAACAGTCCGCACCTTCTCACAGAAGCCCTGACGGTCCTTGGTCTTTGCCCGGAGCTCCTTTGCCAGGTCGCGGGCAGCTTTCTCGGAAGAGGTCTTGATCACCCAGGACTTCGGCGGGATGATGGATCCGACGACGCCGTCGCGTTGGAAGATTCCTCGGTGTGCGGCAAGGAGTTGGCGCTCGTGGTAGCCATTCTGCACGAGGATAATTCCTGTGCCCAACAGAAGGCACTAGGTCGTGTCTGATGACATACGGTCTCGCGGCGGCGGCGACGATGCTCTTGCTTGGGTGCAAACTCTAGCAAAGGCCAAGTTGATGTTTGGAGTTGGGGTAGGAGAAGATTGTCGGAGGTGGGGAATGTCGTGCAAAAAACAAAAAAATCGGGGCCAGAACACAGGCAGATGGCGTCGACGCAGAACCACGACGTGGCGCAGTACAAGCAGCTGCTCCTGAGCTGGTGTGGTGACGTTACAACAGCAATATCCCGCCCATCGCCACTGAAGGGATCAGAGGATGAAAGGATCTCAGCGGGCGCGTACGTACGCACGTACGCGCGTGTTGCGCGCTGGATATACCCGAAAGAGGCATTTTGGTTTTCCAGCGGGACTGTTGGCCGGACTGTGAGAGAAACGTCCCGAATCCCGAAACCCGAAACGTCCCAAAGTGCCGAAACTTAAGAGGCCCCAACAGTGCGACGGTTATCTTGTGTATGGGTGAATCGGACTGTTATCGTGGGAGGAGTAAATCTCTTTCGTGTTGAAAACGATTGGAAGCCGGTGGTAGAGCTCAGAGAAGGTACCATGCACGCACGCGGCAGACACATATAGCTTCTGGCCCAGTTCGAGCAAAGGCCTACTCCGGCGGGATTAGGGTTTACGGTTATCCTCTAATTGTTAAGCAATAACCGTATGCTTCTACGAGAACTTTCACCGCATGACTAAAACACACAAGCAGACACCGAAAGCAGACACCGATCTTTACCGCACAGGAGGCTTGGTCCAGCTGACGAGCCTTGGGAAACCGGTTTGGGTAATTTCTCTGCGGTTTCGAAACAACCCTTGCCGTGGCAAATTCAACACAAAAAAAAAACCGCCCGGCTCGTCTAACGCTCCCGTATTTCCCAACCAGAGCACTTGGCCTTTTCCGCTTCCAAGTTCCTTCAAAACGAAAGCAACGCCAAGCCAAAGAGGCGAGATACCATAGACTACCGTAGCACACGCAAGACAACTGCACCCACATAACAACACCATACAACACATCCAGTGGCCATATTTTCTTGGGAAAGAGGCATTAGCCCATAACACCAAGCCACTCTCAGATCAATCCTGTAGGGCGACAAAACATACCACACGCCCCACACAATAACGCATCCCGTTTTGTACAAAATGTTTTCACCGGGTGCGTTTTCTCGTGTCGAATGCGAAGCGCGCAATATCCTCCGAGAAACACGGCTACAGATGGGTTGGTCTTCTAATCTCTCACTCTGCAGAAAGCACCAACAGCTCCTCGCCGTGCGGGCCTAGAATTACCCCGGACCGTCCTCGCGATTGGTCGTGTACGTGTCCGTCACGCGAGGGTGAAGTCCTCCGGGGTGAGTAACCTCACTCGTCTACGGAGCGAGCGAGATCAGGTGTTCGGATTTGGGGTTCTCCAGCCTGCCCCTCTCGATGCACTCCCACACCCACTCTGGCTTGACGACGCGAATGTGGAATCTGCGGTCGTCTCTGTGGTGCAGGTCTCTTCGATCGCCACCCAGAAGATCAAATGCGAGAAAAAGACGGACCCAGACCAGCAATAGAGGGTAGTGAACGACGCAGAGGACAAGTTGGGTCAAACCGCGGCATGACTAATAGCAAAAACAAGTCAGACAATATTGATAAGCCAAGCCAAGGTCTGAACCTAAGAGACTGCTATGCATACGCTGAGATACTACCGTTGGAATCTGGACTGCTTGAAAACGGGAAGTCTGGGGGAAAAGTCGCTTCCACAGTCATTCCCGGCGGCAAGACAAGGCGCGGGGTTATTGAAAGCAAAGCGTTCTCTGCCGAAAACAACGCGCCCTGGCTGCCGCACCAGCTGTGTAGATATACAGCCGCCGGACCGAAGCATCGGACTACCTACGAGGCAGGGTCACAGAAGCAAGCCTCCACCAACTGAGAGTAAAGCTACAGTAGGAACACGCCAAGCCCGCTTAACGCCCCGGACGAACGGACTGCAACTTCCGGTGACACACGCGTCGCTTCGGAATCGTACCTGGCTAGACTACGGGTGACCCGACCAGGGCAGTTACATCTCAACAGTGGTTCCAGTCGCACCTCATTCTGTCCTTGATATCACCGATTCTTGTGGTGTCTTCAGGGTGCACAACCACGTGGGTCACGCCAGCGTGCAGCGAGCGAGCCACCTGCGGCCGGTCGCGACAGAGATTGTCGGGAGAGGAAATCGAAAACAGAAACATCTCACACGGGGCACTTGAAAGCGGTACACATAAGCAAAATCTCGGGGAAAAAAACATCCCAAATGCGTAAATACGTACCGCGCTGCAGACCGGACTTCCTTGAGCGGGGCAACTCATGACTGCCGTTCAAGGAGCAAGCACCGTTGTTCGCCAACAGCTTCTATGTATCATCGCACCACACAGTTGCTTGAACAAAATCAACAAATTTTAACGCACACGCACTCATCGCCGAACAAAGTAAAAGCTAAATCGGAGATTTGCTAAAAAGCTTGCTTTTGAATTGTTTTTTCTTAGATTGATTAACGCCTCATTTTGGGTTAGCGTGAAACCACGTTAACTCGATTCTTTGCCTTGGAGAGATGGGGAAGAGATTGGAAAGAGGCGGCAGATAGAGGCCGAAGACGTTTTAACTTCAAGACAACAACAGCATCGACAACAGAAACAACGAAATCAGAAGCAACGGCAACAGAGACAACAACAACAGAAACAACGACCACAGAAACACAACGACGACAACAACAGCAACACAACAACACGGTCACGCACCGATACCAACAAAACCGAGGCATGCATCCTGCTCACGAGAATTTACACAACACAACACAAACAAACAAACAACTAAGTTCCACACGCTTACGGTGGGTCGGGATCCTCACCTCCCCTCCGTGCGCTCGAACAGCCCGCGCCGTCGACCCCAGGGAATTGGTCGGATTTTCCTCCCGCGCTGGTCGGGGATCGGTGGTATCCCCGCTACCGTTGCCGTCGGCACCTCCTGGCGGCTCCGCTGGCCCCAAGTCCTGAGAACGGGCACTTAGGGATTAGGCACGTTGACGGGCAAAAGCTATAGAGATAAAAAACTACAGATATATAAAAAAAAAAACTCAGGACGCACACCACCGCGGGACCCCCCCCCACCCCCCCCCCCGGTTTCCCGTTTGTGGTGCCGCTCACCGTGAAGAGATCGCAGTATACGTGGCATTTTCCGGCGAACAGGAAGTCGGGCCCATGCATGAGCGTCCCGGCGTCCTCGTCGTCCAGCTCCAGCAGCGGTGACAGCCAAGACGGCGTCGCACTCTTCCCGCCGCCTTGGCATGCTCTCTTGGTCGGGGGGATGTTGAGCATCAGCTTCAAGCAAAGGCGAGAAGCATTTTTAGCCGCAAGGCGACGAAAGATTGCGGAGGAAGGGGTGGGGAGGGGGCGGGGTTGGAAACGCTTGCCATCATGCACCTATTTCCTTTGAATACGTGGCATGTGCCCTGTGTGCCCTCTTGTGCAGAATGTAGACGAAATATGATGCACGACTGGTGAACGATCCCTTGAAAATATTTTACCTACGCCCCGCGTAGAACGAAGCAAAGCCCAACACGCCACGTAGCATGGCTCAAAATTGCCAACGTCTGTCTCAAGATCACGCTTTCGATCGATGAACAGCCGAAGACACAACACATGACTGTACTGCAATCGAAACCCGCACACTGCTGTTCTACGTGAAAGTGTCATCGCCTCGGCCATGAAACGGCACAAGCACCAAAGAGTAAGATTCCGCAAGATTAAGCAAACACAAGTCGATACCCGCTCAGCGTGAGAAACGAGTTCGGAGGGATTGAACAGAGAAGCCACTTTCTTCACGAAACCGAACTGCGGTAGATGGCGATGCTAAATAGAATAACCAGGCGCTGGTTCTACCTTGGACAATTGTGCAGCATCCGTGAGCTCCGTGTAGTCGTCGCCGAAGTCGTCCTTCACGGCCTCGAAGTACTCACGAGCTTCGGGAGATAAGGCTCGCACCTGATCGATAACCAGATCGTCAGATCGCAATCAATGAAAATCAATGTTTGCACATTAGCCCCGTAAATAAGGCAGATCGCGCCCATCGGGAGTAGATAGGGGGGGAGGATGGCGGGCTAGGCGGGCGGGCGGGCAATGGTGCAATAGAAACCTCCGTCAATGCCAACAGCAACGCGAGGAGATGACCCCCCCCCCCAGACGCCGCCCCTGGTGTTTGCCATTGGGGTTGGGTTTTCGTCGCTTGGCAGCGATGTTGTAAAACAAGCCGATCACTTCGTGACCTCGACAACCAGGTTACCGGGTTTTTTTTTGCGGTAACCATGAATGGTAGTCGAGTAGATCATGTTGTGCGGGGTCGAGAAACTTCACTCCGCGCAAAGGGGATAATCGCACCATGTCGGGTTAAAATTCGTCAAGCACCCTCGAGGCAGTTACCCAGTGCTTACAACTGTCTCTGGAAGTGAAAGCACCAGAAAATAGATTAAGTCATACGCAGCTGTCATCCGTACGCAACGAAGTAAGCACAAGATGCCGAACACCCTTAGCAGGATGCAGCGCACCCTTCATGCGATCCGCTGAATACCTCACGGCGCTTCGCGCTTGGTGATGTGAGAACCTGGTCCGGTGAGAACCCGGCGTGCTCCGTCCTAGCTTTGTAACGATGCGAGGTCAACGGTCTAGCAACTACGGCATGTACGACTCCCCCCCTGTCTCTCCCTCTCTCTCTTTGTCGTCGTCATCTCACGTGCTCCATTGACGGGAACTTGTACGCCTTCTGATGGATGCACTCCAGGACCCAGCGGTACCCCACCACGTTGTACTCCTTCTTGGGGGAGGCGATCAGGTTCTTCACCGAGACCGAGGTCGTGTCTCCGACCACTACGAACGACGTCGTGGGCATCGGGTTCGCCGTCACCCTATTAATTGTTGCCGAGGCCACCACCACCACCGCCGCCGCCGCCGAAAGCGATAAAAAGGCGTTCAGGCGGAAGTTGCGACACGGAAGGAAGGCGGGTATTCAACGGGAACGAGGTACGGCGTGAACTTACGTGCGGTTTGTTGGAACGCCGCGCCGTGTGCTACAGTAAGGAGGGGGGGGGGGTGAGCTTCGAAGCCCACACAATTCTCTGGCTGGCTATCATGCCGGAACGCCGTTGGATTGTACGTGCCGTCCGGTCTGTTCGATGGATATCCTGGTAGGAGCAGAAAGGAACCAGTTCTCGCAGGTACCCAGCGCAGACAGACACCTGTGGAAGAACTGGTTGCTTTCTCCCCTTACCACACAACATCATACCACGAATAAAAACACAGCGCCCGGCTGTCTACACTGAGTATGGGGTCGGGGCAGTCTGCAGCAGCTTCTCCGGCTGTGGGTGTTCACGGCGATCTACTAGCCGAAGAGCGGTCCCGAGAACCGTCGCACCAACCAGGAAAACAAGCGTAGCGGTTAGATGCGTCAACCAAACTACGCCCAAGCGAACTGTCTTACTCCTGTACAAGAGTGAGCCATCTCACGTGCCCCCGTGTTCACGGATAAGGAGTTCGATGTCCTGCTTGGTCCTGCCCTCATGCCCTCCTTCGGCCTTCCTTCTTGTAGATCCCGCAGGCGCCCACCAGGCATCGACGTCGATCGTGTTGACGTCGGGGACGTGCACCTGTCATCGCCGAGAGGGGTCGCGACGGGCGCAAGAAGCCCGACGTACACTTGCCCACATGAATAAAACGAAACTACCGGACACAAACGCCACGCAAGCGGCACGACCCAGCGCGCTCCGAAAATAAGAACGGTGCGATAGCGTACGGGTAAAACCATGGTTTTCAGGATGGGGACGTTGTGAAATACACACTTACAGCAGGAGCGAAGCCATTCCCCCAGTTGGGTATGTTTCCACATGAAAAGGGTGATCGGGTCTCCGCTCGCCGTGTTGCTACGGGGTACTTACAAGATGAGCCAAGAGCCTTTGGCACGGCAGGAAACTTTCTCACCCCCCTTATTGCACGCAAGGGGGGGACACCAACACGAAAAAAACACCCACCATCGGCGAAACGAAGCCTCCACGCCCTTTCCTCCCCCCATCCCTTTCTCCTCACCCCAGAAAAGCTGGTTCCGACGACGCACAACTCCAGTGCGGTCCTCCCGCTCGCCGCCACGAACACCTTCTCCTTGACCGTAACCTCGTCGCCCCCAGTACTGGCGAACAGCTCGGACACCTTCCTCCCACCCCCCGTCCGCCCCCTCTTCTTACCTCCACCGTCGCGGCCGTTCCTCCTGCTTCCCGAGCCGGGGTGTCCCCCGTGGGTGTTGTTTTGGCGGTGACCGCCGGGGGCCGCGGATAGCCGGGGGCGGGCTTGTATGGCGGCCAGCTCCGTGGTGTCCAGGCAGCCCTCGGAGCCCTTGTCCTTCCGGATGTGGGTCACTCGAGGGAACCTAGCCGAGGATTGGTTTCGGTGTTGTCAGGGAAAGACTTTCCTATGATGGGTCTGTGGCGCGGATGGTGTTGTTGTTGTTGTCGTCGTCGTGGGCTTGTTATTGCTTTGCCAGTTGAACTAGGCAGGAGTGATTCGCATGAGATCGATGTGATTGCTGCCGGTTTGGTTCGGGGGCTTGCTGCCCCAACGAATACCGATACTTCAATCTCCAAGATGTTGTTACTGCCCTGCCTCACTGCAAAACGCACCACAGGGTCGTCGAGTACAGAGCAAAACATTCCTGGCAAGAGAAAAGAGCAGCTTCGAAGAACCCGACCAACCCAAAAGCCGCCCAACGCCAACGCGTAAAAACGATTTTTTTGCGCAGACGACGCGTGTGCGAGCCTTTAGAGACAGAAACAGAAGGGAAATATGACGGACCTCATGGTGCAGAAGACCCCTGGCCAATCGCTGGCCTTGACGATCTCCATGCACTTGACCTGAAGGCAGACGGAGTCTTCCGCCGCTATCCACTTCGTCAAGGGTACCCCATCCCTGCTCGATTTCTTAATCCCCGTGCGATGTGGGTCGAAGTGCGTCGGGTCGCTCCTGCCGTCAACGGGCGTTGTGTACGTTTCGTGGATTGTTTTCGCGCCGTGTCAGCAAAGGACAAGAACGCCAGCGCGCGTGGGGCGGTTGGGTGGCAATTTTTTCGTCTCAGTTCTTGTCGTCCGTCTGATCGGTTCGTCGGTCCCGGCGTGCGTACTTTCGGCAACCCACAATCATGGCACGAAAAAGCGTGTTTGTGCCTGGATGTCTCCGGGGTTGGCAAGCTGCCGTGGGATCGTACCGTGAGGAGTACCCCCGCCTCCGCTCTCGGCCAAGCGTTTCAAAACCCACAGGACTATTCTAGTTTGTTCAAAATGCGCAATGTTTGATGTTTCGAAGAAAACCAAGAGAACCCGGCGTGGGTGAATTTTTTCTCAAGAGGTGCAACCCAATACAAGCACGACAGAAGAAAAAGAGGCAAATATCGCACCACTCCGACGACGACACCCGAACCTTTGTCATCCGTACCTCCCGACCAAGTGCGGTACAATACATCGTCTGGCTTGAATCTCGACGAAAGGCTCAAAAACTGTCCACAGACGAAGAGGAACAGATCCGTTTTGTGCTCGTTTCATGGAGTCTGGTGTACTGACTCACGTATCAAACGACTTCCATTTGTCCTTGAGCAGTTCGTTCAGGTCTTCAAGCTCGTTTATTGAGTACCCGGTGCCCACCTGACCCCCCGTTGCAAAGGCAGTAGCAACCACAGACGCGGCGCGTGATTTTACTGTTAGGTGCATCAAAGGGAGGTCAGGACAAGGGATAGTTCTGGGAAAAAGGAAGAGAACAAGCATGAACCTTCCGTGACGGCCGGTACCATGAGCACGCACACCCGATACCCATGTCAATGACACACACGCGCTGAAACCGGCAACTACCCAAACTCAGCATGCCAGACATGGTTGACAGGATATCTCTAAAACGCATGTCGTGCTCAACAACGAAAAAAAACGCAGCATCTATATCACCAACCGTCCAACACCAAAACGCCCAGAGACCCCCGTCCATCATCAAATGAAAAATATCCCCTTGCACCCTCGTACGGTAAGGATTGTTGTCGCTAAATAGAAAGATTCCCTACTACTATTGGTCGATCTCTCGAGCCTCGCACGCGGCAGAGACAAAGCCTCCGCCTGCACTTTCCAAAACGATCAACGACTGCCATACTCCCGAACAAAACATAATGTAGCACAGTACCAAGACAACAGAGGATTAAAAGGAGGCCGCTGCCGCAAACCTGGAGCACGGAAACAAACCTGTGACAAAAGGCGGCTGGTGCGTCGCGTGGATGCCATCGCCTTCTCGATGGACCACACCCTGCGGTATGCAACACGGACGCCTAACTCACCCTGGCGAGAGGGTAATACTCCTTGCGTGGTTGTCTGTCTTCGTTGGGCACGGCGACGCCCACCAGAAACTTGGAGAGCAGCCCGGAGCGCATCTTGCCGTTCGCGAAGCCGGCCGCGAGAATGAGGAGGTCCATGTCTTCCGTCTGGTCCGAGTACTCCGGCTTCATCTTTATCCACAGCGGGATCTTCTTGCTCTTGTCTCCGATCTGGCGATGATAAACGTGGCGAACAAGCAGAGGACTGCAGCCATGAGACATGCGTCCGGTTCTTGGGGTTCGGTCTGGCAGAGGTACGCAAGGACATCACGGCGAGCAAATGTGTGCATTTTTCCTTTTGTTTCAATTGAGCACAAAGCTTTCTACACTAACAAGGGCTGACGTAGGCAGGCAGATGGTGTAGTGCCGTGCGGTGGAGAACAGAAGCAAACACCACACCATCATCGACAGGACCAATTCACACGTTGAATGGCGTGCATCATTCAAGTTAGAAACATTCAAGTTGGGAAACTGTGGATACCATCACATACATCCAAACGGCGACTGCACCCATCTGCTACAAATTCACGGGTCGGCATCGACAACCAAATCTCACGCATGAAGACAAGTCCAGCTACCACCCATGGAATACATGATTCTGACGTTATCCTTCGCAGATTGATGTGATAAAGATTATTGTTCTCCGTCAGCGTGTGCAAAGAAGAAAGCGGGTCTAGGTAAGGTGCAGTGGGTGATGGTTGCCGCAGTGATACAGTCACGGTTACGACAGTTACGTTACACAAATGTCTCACTGGCACTATAGGTAACAATACATTCCTATTGGTCATATCAACCAACCATGACTGTTAACCAACTTAACGCTGACGTGCCCGGTACTCAACAGACGCTAAAAAAATTAATAAACTACACGGGACGACAACAACAAGGCGAAAGCGTCCTCCAACCCAAAACCATCCTCCAGAGAGAAGAATTGCAACCACATGCCTGTCCTAGACCTTGATCGACAGCCTCAACTCGAAGGGCACGCAGTGTCCTTTTCTGAGGTTTGTGTCGCACACCCTCGAGGCTGATCTTCCTTACATCTTCTGTTTGTGTACAGCAACGTACGTTAACGGACAAACGGACAAGTACCGAGGCGGCACCACGCGGCGCATTAACTATCCTCTCCGCCAAGAAAATATGCAGCACCTCCCCTGAAAGACAGGGATGGGTGTGTCAAACCGTGTACCAAGGGAACACTAAGATTCTACTGAAACTACACACCATCGATGCATAGATGCATTGGCAAACACATTAGCCATGTTAGCCTACAAACACACACACCATGTAGTGGCCGTGCAGGTCCTTGACCACCAAACCCTCCTCGTTAAGGTGTATCGCGCGCTGCTCGAAGCACTCATCCAGCTGTTTCTTGCGTTCCACCTCGTCTCCGGCGGAGACCTAAGGAAAACGGGCCAGTTCAGCGTTCAGAATAGCGTCAACAGGAATTATCGGTGTTGTTGTCGTTGCTGCTGCTGATGTCACGCATTCGACTCCGTCTTCCGGAGCACGGGTCACATATTTGCAGGCCTTTGTTATTCCAATCGGCACGTTCCACGAAAAACAAACAACAGGAACGGGTATATCAACATTTCAAGGTGCACATGCCCATGCTTCCCATGGGGTCTTGCCTGAGAGAGTATACTCAGCCAGACACAGCATCACACAGGACAGGGCGACGCTCGGGGCCGGTACCACTACAACGAGAGACGGCGCTCCTTCAACATCTAGAAAGAAACCCTTTGCAGGGCAACCGGAAAAAGAAAATGTGGCCTACAACTAGGTGGCAAACAATCAGAACCACATCAGGCAGACAAAACACTCACCTCCCAGCTCTTGACGAACTCCAGACGGTGCTCATTTTCCGTCACGATCGATCGAAGTACCTTTCGACGAACGTCCAGCGGAAGAGCCTGAGGCACTCAACGCCACCAAAACAGCACGAGCCGCAGCAGAGAGAAAACGAAACGACAGTAACCGCAGGTCTACAGAAAGCATCCAGAGACTCATCCAACAAACGCACATGCACACAGAAAGATAAATTGCACATGGAGAGATAATAGTTTTTCCTCCAAACAGATGGAGATCGACCCCCATTACTCACAATGGTGCCAACAACCCGAACTAACACCAAACGCGACACTATGTTGACCAATACCAAAGCCCTTCTGAACTTTGGAGAGGGAAACCGGGGGAATTCGTACGTCATACCCTCTTTACCAGTCAGCAAGAGATATTTTCGAGCGGAGCTTTGGCGGAAATATTTCACTCACCGTGAGATTACCGGCCTGGACTTCTGTAGGCGGGGGGCACGGCGCAATACTGTTTCTCACTGCCTCCCTCACTATCTCCTCCATCGTCCCCCCGTCCTCCAGCCCGCCGCCAGAACCCTCGGCGTAGAGGACATCGAACACCACGTAGAAGAGCCAACGCGTGCCTTCGTAATACGGACAGCACGGTTAGCGACAACGCAAATAAGGAGGTGGAAGTCAAAGCCGCACGGGGTGCAGCTCGAGTAAGAGGGCAACACACGCGGGGTAGATTGACTGTGGGGAGAGAGGCTAGTGGGGTGCCGAGCACCATGTACAACACCCACGTAGCGAGGCCAAAAAGAAAATCCCGGAAGAGAGGTAAGGTAGGCGGGCGGAACGCCGACTTACCACCTCCTCTCCCCTCGAGCTCCTCCTTGGCGTACGTCCTGTTGGACCCGAAGGGCACCATGCTGCCGGTGTTGTCGTCCCAGGTAACTACCTTCACGGTGCAAGGCGGTAGAGAAGGCAAACAGAGAGCGGACCCACGTACAGCATCTCTGGTTGAGATAGAGTATTGGCGTTGCTGGCAGCACGAGACGAAAGAGGTGTGAAACAAACGGTGGTGAGCCACACCCATCGACACCAACTCTGGTTGAAAGTATAGAGTATTTGTGTTGCCGTCAGTGTCGTCAACGCACGCGCGCACCATCGCCGATCGCTTGGTTGTCTTTGGTTGGCCTCGGGCTGCATGCCCATGTGTACCGTTCCCTCGTTGCGCGTCTTACAACCCCACGTGCGGAAAATAAAAGGCAAGGGCATACATGTGTTATCATACAAAACATCGCTCGGCGTGCAGCATCTGAAAATCATCACCAAAAAACAAAACCTCGTCGATTTTCTGCTCGTAGATGGCGCAACGGCACCTTTGATAAGACCGAATCCCGGGTAGGAAACACGTATATTCTCTTTGATAAAAAAATAATGCACCTAAGTTGGGACAAACGTCGAGTCGCCTAGTCCCCGGCAAACCAGTCCCTCACCTCGCCGTCTAGCACACACTTGTGAGCGCTCACTCCACCGACGATGTGCGGGGTAAGAGCGGCTCCGTACTTGTCGGTGTAATCCTTGGCGTTTCGGGTAAACCACTTGACCTTGGTCCGTGTTGGAAGAGGTCGTATTTTCGGTTTTGTTCCGCCGCGTGGAACCGTCGTTGCCGGTGGAGCGTTATGGGTCAAGAAATGCCGATGTAGAAGGTAACGTCAACAAATGCAAGGGAAGAGACGCACACAGCAGTTGTACTCTCGGACGGACAGCTACCAATAGAGGGGCGGACCGGGAAAGGGGAGAGGGGAGGCGAAGCAGACTGCAGAAAGTGTCGCTCGCGGGTACCTTGTTTCCCTCCCGATGGCACAGCATGCGCTCCCCGTCGAGCTTGACGTCCATGCAGAACGGCCGCCCCTGCAAGCTTGGCACAATCTTGCCAAGGCCGTAGAAGAAGTTCATCGCCAGCATGGGAGAAAAAGTCGTGAACACCTGCCGAACGTAATAAATGGCACATAGCAACAGCAGCAGCAGCAGCAGTGGAAGTCGTGGGAGAACCACCAGATCAGAGTAGACGCACTAGGAAACTATTTAGGACCCGGGGTAAGCGCACACAAATGGCGGTGGATGGCAGGAGGGTAGCAGTTCGACAACAACTGTGCACTATTTGCCGCTGGTGTTGCTGTTGCTGTAGTCGCGCGATAGCAAACCAATCCCAATCTCGAAAGCACGTGCATCATGTAACATCGTACACGCAGTACCTCGAGGTTGAAAGTTGCCGTAACGGAGCTGTGTTTACCGATGAAGGCGCTGCATACCCGTCGAAGACTGTTGTTTCGTGAAAAGCGGGGGCGGGATTTGGGCGGGGGCGTTGAGTTCAACTGGTCGAGCAAGAGTTCGCGAGCGAGTCTCTCACCTAGTGTACTTATCTAGCCCGTTGGAGACCAACAAGCACAGGCAATAACCACGACGGGTCCCCCTTTTCAACTGCAATATCCTTGCAACAGATTCTCACAAACCCTTTTTATTCTGGGCACGCCGTCGTGGATGATCCATACCCCACAGTAACAAACGACGAGCAGCGTTGCAAATGTCATCATCCTTCATGCCCACCACTAATGACTCTAGAGGTTAGTTAGAGGTTTCATCTCTTTAGAAACGGATGAGCAACCACCTTGAGCTCCAGGCGTGAAGAAGTTAGTGCTGCAATCTAGCTGGCGCGACGAGATGTCACAATCACCGGTCACCTGGTGGTTCGGTTGTAGTAGTCCAACGCGCCGGGGTGGAACTTCTTGAGCACCTCCTTCTTGATGTTGATCTTGAGGTTCTTTAGGATCATCTACGGGCGTACCGTCCCGGTGCGTGCAGCCGCCCACGAAAACAGGAACGGGAAGACGGGAGGAGCCAAAAATATGCAGAAGATCTGGTTAAAACTCGTTGCCGAAGCGCACTCAGGACACGACAGCCAGACCGATGGATGCGCGCACACAGCAAAAACACGCAGACGTGACAATTATTTTTCTTGGCCTCGGGGGGCGGCAGGAGTAGATACCAGGCCACGATCCGAACGAAGCGCACATGTGCCAAGATTTTCGAGAAACTCGTCCCCAGACCGACCCTTTCTGTTCGTCTTAGGCTGTTTTGATCTGCCTTGAATGGCACTTGAGTCGAAGTTATACAGCAGCTTTAGTGGAAGCGAAAATGTCAGCATTATCATTTCCCCCCTCTCTTCTCGCTCCGGTGTTCCGCCATGTCTTGGTTTGTGCCTACCCAACACTGCCAGTCAGCTGCTCTCATACGACGATTTGAGGCGAACTCTGTGTACTATACTCGTGTAACCTTGGACGGCGGAAGGCCTACTTTTTGGTCAGACAGAGGCAGTAGGGGCAGAGCGCGGGGGGGGGGCGCTGAGTCCCAGACGGTGAGGGAAGGTTTGGATGCAAACGTTACACCACCTTTTTTCCACCGTAACCATCACCACCACCAGAAATTGCTGTACGTGTAATTCCTATGTGCCTACCCTAGCGATCCACTTCTGGTTCATCGGGCTGCAGTTGGTCCGAATCCTGGTGAGCACTTGCTTGCGTCTCTGGTCGTTCGGCGCATTGGCCAGATCGCTTAGCGCGTCGTTCACCTGCAGGACGGACACGAGGCAGGCCACACACGCAAAGACTCTGGACTTGTTCGAACCACACCGGGTTCGTTTCCGTTCAGGAGGAGAGAGACAAAAATCTATCTGATGGCACTGCTGCTTGGGAAAAACGACATGAATGAAAACGAAAACAACGGCAAGAGGAAGCCTGGGCATATCGTGGAAAATTCGCCATTGAAACCCGGTCACGAACCAACAAAACAAACATGTGCACACAAGTGACATCACAAACGATGAGCAGCAAGCCATGGCTTCGGGGGGGGGGGGGGGGGGTTCCTCAGTTTCCCCATCCTCACGTCTCTGATGGTCCACGTTGTCGCATCCACGGCTTTGATGCCAAATCTGCTCTCAGTGAGCACGTACTCCAGCGTCAGGGCAAGATCTCCTGTGACCTGCCATCTCTTGTCCCCCTGCGAAAGGTGTTTCCAAGTATCAACGGTCGTTTTCGTTTTCCCACGGTCGATAGAGAGAGAGAGAGAGAGGGGCGGGGTCGGGTGCGTGGCGAAAGACGACAGACGAAATCGGATTGAGCGTTTGACCTTAGGTGTGACACATAGAAGGCGAGGATTTGAGAAATCTTCATTCCACCATGCCATGCGACATAACCAGTGCTACTGCGCAACCACTTCATGTCAAAACCGTTGCGAGGCTTGATCCAACATTCCCCTGCGGATGGTGTTGTTGTGCAGTGGCAGAGAGGGCTAAGGATTAAACCTTGAGCACAACATCCTTTGCGAGCGCCGCCGCAAACAAGGAACTACAGTTGGCATCGTGCTGCTTCCCACATGTTCTCTCTCAACCGCGCTCGGACCCAAATCCCGAAGGACACCCCAAAATAAAACCGTTTCGCTTGCTAGAGCCGGTAAGGAAGTCGTTACTTCGGCGTTTGCACCTCATTCTCTATACTACACGACACAAGCACCGACTCCACACCGTTACTGCAGCAGCTACAACGTTGTCGTCGCTCAAGCCTGTATTGTACAAGAGAGGCGCAATAACGCCTCACCGGGGAAGAGTTTCTGTCGGGATCGGTGTACGACTGCAGCCGCAAGTACCCCTCTCCCTTCTTGTTGTTGGGGAAGTAAAGGTCTGCAAAGAGCGAAGCCATCTTGGCCGTTCTCATGCCGTACTTGTCACGCAGGTTGTCCAGCTGACAACACGATTTTTCAGGGGGGAGGGAGGCAACGTGGAATTCCGTTTTCGCAAGGGTTTGACAAGGCTTGAAATGCGAATACTCTTCCACTGCAGAGATGTGAAAACTCTAGCACTGTAGAGATTCGCACAACGGAGCCAAACATGGTACAAGCTGTTGGGGCACATATATTTCTAGATGTGTGTGTATGTGTTGGGGAAAATGCGACATCTCTATTCTGGCACAACCAGAACCAACAACCAATGAGCGTGCTCTCCCTAGCCTCTACGGCCGTACGCCCACCGTGTATCTTATCCTGCCAATCGCAAACGATACTCGGGGCCACGCACACAGGAACTAGTAACACCGAATTGCCAATAATTGACGATGTGATATGGCGTGACGTGACAGGGACTGGTAATGCCGACCTCCTCCCCCAGCGAGCTGTTTCTGTCGACTGTGATTGCCAATAACTGACGACGTGATGTGGCGTGACGTGAAACGGGACGGCACGTGTCGGTTGGACCACCTTCGCCGCGAGAAATCAAGTCTACTTACATGAAGAAATAGAACAGGGAGGAGGTACGCAGACCCCGACCCTAACCCTATTCCATTCCCAACTTCCCCGATTGAACGCTTTATCCAGCATGTTTACTTGATCGAAAAATCCTGGGAAGGCTACTCTGTGTTGGCTACCTCGGGCAGGAGGAGGCGAATGAGCGGAAAGGAGCTCTCCTTCCCAATCCGTCCCAGAAACGGAAGCAAAACAGCGATCTTCTTGTTGCTGCCCTTCTGGTTTGCCATCTTCTCCAGCAGGTTTTCGCACACCTGTGTGAGCATGCAAAGCAGACATTCATTTAGCACGAACGACGAGCGTCGATACGGAGGAGTGCGTTCGGAATTAATCGTTTCGCATGTGCAGACTAGCACTGCTGCAGGTCGTGTCGGCTACCGAATGTAGGCAAAAACAAATTATGTACCCAGAGGGACGCATGTAAGCCATGCACTCACGCCTTTCGCGGGCCGAAAATATCCTACGCAGGAAAAAAAGGACAGAAAACTGCAGCCTCGAACCCGTTTCTTTGATCGGCAAAAAGTTGATTTTCAATCAAAGCATTCTGGCACTTCAATACAAAAGATTCTCTGCTTTGGGAGGGGCATGAAACCGGCTAAAAAAACGAACTTTTAACTCTAACCCTAACCCCACACCCACCCGATAGTTGCTAGGATGGCGCTGGCTAAGTTCTAGGTTGGTGTGCCGACATTGGCGCTAGGTTGGTGTTGATGGAATAATTTCTAGGAAGCTTTGCTTGGGTATGTGCTAGGTTGGACTTGACACGGAAAATCAAGGTTGTTACTGATTGGGTAGGTGCTAGGTTGGTTCCTGATGTGGGTAGGTGCTACAGTAGGTTGGTGGTGCTTGGAGAAGGGCTAGGTCGCTCTTGGGTGGTTAACGGTGCTCGTGCAGGTCTGTATAGGCAGGACTGCCAAGTGTGGGTGCATGGCTTATTGTGCGTCCCCTTGGGTGCATCGATAATATCGTACGCAGGTATCGACCGTGGGCGTCGTGGAAACAGCATGCGAAAAAGGAAAGAAGCCGCCGGCATTGTCATGAATTTCGCCGAGGCCGCGGGAAGTCGACGTCGCGCCGCACGTGCCCACGCTCTCACGTGCAAAAGCCAAGTCAGAAGCGCCACTTCAGCTGCGTGCGCTACATGGCAAGCGTAATGCCGTGTGGGAGGTGCCCTATGCGTGGTGACACACGCGAACCACCAGCAGAAGCAGCAGACCAGCCAAACAACCTTAAGAGCTTGCAGCTCAACAATCCGTGGGTCTTGCCGATACCAGCTCAGGGCATCCTACCGAAAGGCCTACCCACACGGTATGCACGTCATGTTCAACGAATTTGACACCGGGCAACTGCTGCATTGACAACACCCGTTTCCCGGAATGGAAGTGGACGACATGTTATACATGTACTAACGACGACTAAAAGGTGTAATTTCATCGACATCGACTGCCATTACCGTGTGTTCGGCGAGAAGGGGGCAAGTCGTCGGCACTCTCGAGAGCATGAGTCAGTACCAGGGAGAACATCGCCCTTCTTACCTCTTGGAATGAGAGCGCATTGGCCGCGGTCTCGGGGTAGAATTTGAACTCATCTTCTGAATGGGGGGCAGTGGCACGTGGTCGTAGGAAGGGAGATTGATAAGCACGTTGCACGGTGGGCACTGGCGCACACAGCATGTGTTGTGAGATCTCGGGTACAAGAGCACCAGGACGACAAGTCCAGCATAACCATGGCAGAGGTGTAGATTATGTTGCTCAGAGCAGTATCTGTAGACAAAGCAGAACGTAGAGTCTAGACTACACTCTTGCTGTTCACCGACAGGGAGGGTACCGTCGAAATGTGTAGGACTGCTGTATCATACATACATATGTACAGCTATAGTACAGACGGTCGCGGCAGCTGTCAACGTGCAGATGCTCACGTACATAGGTAGTCTAAATAGCGAATCAATGTCTTCAACCTCTCCAGGGATTGATTACTTGCAGTAGTTAGGTGGACTCAGCAACACAATAATACTGTACTGCTACATGCACCTGCAAGGTCCATCCCGGCATGCCGAAACGGTGTTGAGGAATACATCTACAGCAGTCCACCAGCTCTGACAGCAGCGACGGCCGGCTGGCTACGACACATCTATGGTAGCTGTATTTCAGCGGTTGTACAATGCATATGTTTATGTTCACTTGCTGTCGGTAGCGTAAGATACCACACACCCTGGACTTCCTGGACTGATATTCGAAGCTCGACGACTCCACGACGAAGAGGATGCCAAGATCAAGATAAAATAATACGTTTTCGGAAAGTTCTCGACGAGGCCGTTCCAACACCACCATTTGCGGCGCTGTCGTTGTGTCTTCTGCAGAGTATTCGAGCTTTGAAAATCGGTCCACCGGGTGTGGTGTCTCATGCAACCTACAGCACATGTAGCTAGAGAACCAGTCTACACAGCAAGGCCTGTTCGGTTGTGCATTCTCTCACAACACCTACATCAGAGCTATTCCGCACCCGTTGCATCTCTCTCACCATGAGAAGCCATTATCGCAGCAAGCAGCGGGAGGAGCGTGTGTCGGACACCGGCTGTCACAAAGACACTAATCAAGGGAGACAGCGCAGCAGCGAATTCGCGGGGGGTTTCCAAGGTGGAGGAGCGTTTTCGTAACTGGCGGGAGTCCCTCTATTCTCCCGACTCCGACGCGGCGAGATCTCCGCCGTTTGAGGGGCACATGCCTGAAAGATTGTAAGTAGTCGGTGAGAGGGATTGTGCGCGGGAAAGAAGGAGGGACTTCAAGCAAAACCTTTGCTACCCTACAAAGAAGCTGGCGGCGGCAGAGGGGTGCCGTGCGACAAAAAGCGCGCATGGCCTCTGCCGTGCAACAGCTGTTCTCCCCTTTACCTGATTTGGGCGATCTAAAAACAAGGAACAGCAAACGCGACGCTTTCAGCGGACCTGCCGCGAGCGAAGCTATCTTCGGTGCCCAGACACCTACATCATCAGAAGACCCGGCCTCTGAGCGCATCGACCCCGTCCTCCTCCTCTCGCGCCCAGTGGAAGGGTTTAATCATCCCCGGCAGCACTTGTTCACCGACCGGCTACTAGGGCGTTTTTACGAGGACAGCTCACTCGACGCCGAGACACGAAAAACGAGCAAGTGCCTCGCAGGTAGACTTGGTACCGCAGGTAGCAAAAGCACCACAAGACCCAGCACGACCGCAACCACAAAGCCGCATTCCCGCTCCTCTCACTCACCGACGACCACAAGACGCGGCGGCAAACGCATGTACGGGAGCACCTCGGCTCGGGCTTTGGACAGCTCACGGGGATCGGGGCTTGCGGAAAGAAAAGAGCAAGTGCAAAAGGAAATCCTGGCGCAAAAGGAGCTGATTGAGAAGCTGGAGGGGAGGGTGGCATCCCTGTCCGGTCGAGGAGGGCATAGAGCTGCACCGCGGGGGTCGTCGGCACCACCCCAAGAGGAAAGCGAGAGGGGTACCACCGGTCGACACGACATCGAAGACCGACCTGCAACGACGACGGACGCGGTGAGGGAACGCAGAGTCCGCGATGATGATGAAATCGGCCTTGCCGTGCAGACGTGTAGATGCCGGCCTTGACGACATCGGCCCATGATTAACTGCCTTTGTACGCAAAAGTGATTTTTCCTTCAATCGTCTATAGCAACGCCATGAGAGCTTGTTAACACTGTGACCCATGTGTACGCAGGCGACAAATAACCGCAATGAAAACCGATCATCCTAAACGAAATATAGTCTTCTTGTACATACATAGACTATAGTTGTTTGAGACAGAATCCATGCCAGCATACCCTGTTTGTACTTTAACCAACGACTTCCACCGTACACTCAAGTTTCAGCTTCGACCGTGCAACAGAACAACATGGCTGCTATGAGCTCATCATGGGAAGTAGATGTCGTGATGTATTCAACGAGGGCATGTTGAACACACCGATTGAATGACGACATGGTCATTCATGTGTCACGTGCCCGTTCACTGCAAGGAAGGACCACGTTCATAAATTTATTGTACTGAAGCACATCTACTTGTGGCCACACACCTTGATTGTGTACATTCCGGCGCTCATTCTAGTTACGCTTTAAACGCAGCCAGGCCAGCTGTATTGCTTGCAAATGTCTACATTTATTTCCAAAATTCCAATTTTTGTTTTCTCGGCGGCAGTTCGAGGTTCTATGATCAACGGGTTTGGAAATTTGGAAATTTGGAAATTTGGAAGCGAAATAGCTGCTGTTTACAACGATCCTATTTGGGTTCCGATGTTACAGAGGCTCTCAGTATTTGTGGATTATGCGTAGGGCGCCCTACCCTGGGTGCACGAGTATCGACGAACACAGCTTTTCAACACCTCTCGTTATTGTTTCTTCGCCGCAGAAGCAACCCCATGGGGAAGAAGGTGACCACGATCTTGACGGAAGCGCAAGGGCAAAAGCTAATAGCCAATCGAGGGGGAAAGGAAAGAGCTGCTGCCAGGAGGTGGCAGATCACGGGCCGAACGCTCGCCGAGATTCCCTCCGTCGTTCGAGCCAGGGCGAGTCGCAAGCAGGATACCGAGGCCAACAACGAACAGAACAGTGTGCGGTGGAAATCCAACGGAACGTTCGAGGGGCCAGCAGACGAAAGAGGTTCTTGACGCTACAGGCAGCCAGGGAAGAACTTGAGCACCACCTGCAAGCGTTGGTGTCCGCCGCCGCGACAGCTCTGGCGCACCGGCAACATCAGCAGGACCAGCAACCGAACGACGGCAGGGGGGCGGAGGTCGACAGCGAGGGCAAAGCGAAGAATGTCTCCATAGCCGCCGAGCGACTGCTGGAGACCAGCCGAGAAGACGGCCTCGCGAAGCCACCGTTCGAGATCCTCCGAGCCATGTACTGTGGCCTTAGCGAAGTTACCCTTGCCGTAGAGTGCTTGTCGGCGGCAGAGGAGGAGGAAGCCGGCGGGGTGTCGGGACGAGGTAGGAACGCCAGAATCAGCGGCCTACCTTGCGCGGCTACCACGGCAGAGTCTTGTGACGCGGCCAAAGAGGCACTGGACGCCATCCGGGAGGCCGTCGGGGCTGACACGACGGTGATCGGGGAGACGGCGCATTCAACCGTACAGGCCACCGCATCGTCTCCGAATGCCCCTCGAGATCACCAATACTCGCCAGCAGGCAGCGGTAGGGCGGCCGCGATTGCAATGACGTCTGCTCGGGGAGGGCTGCTTGTTTCCGTTGACGAACCGCCGACGACCGATGGGGAATCACTCGCAGGGAAGGAGCACAGAGAGGTCAACGACGCACGAAATCGGGGGGGATCGGTCGACCCAGGCGATACGAGGCCTGCCCAGTCTGTTCCACTGCGATCACTGGACGTCGAGCGCGTCGCGCAGTTGCTGCGCTTACATGGCTTCGAAGAGCACGTCCCCGGGTTTGTCGCCCAGGCCGTTGATGGAGTCATGCTGAGCGACCCTAACCTGTGCGAAGCTGATTTAGCCGAGCTGGGGCTGGGTGGACGTGCAGCAGAAGGAGCCCAAGATAGCAGGGCTCGCATGGTGTCGTTTTTCCGAAAATGCCAACGAAACGGGGTTGTTTTCCCAGTTGCTGGAGGCTCGTCACCGTCTTTTGGAGGGAAGGTAGAGCCACGGACGGATTCCGTACACAACGGCGACTCGACCCCCGACGATCGACGACGGAACGACTCGGCTACCCTGAGGAAAAAGGAGATGGGGGGACTGGAGGGGAGCGTACCTGGTGAAAGCAAAACGGATCGAACGGAGTCAACCCAAGATTCGCCCTGGCGGCGTGGTTCGGTGCTTGTCGACCGTGAGAACCAGCGCGTGATTGCCCAAATAAGCTTAGACTCGAGCGACACCGGTAGAGGGGACGCGACCGCCTTCACGGGAACCGAGGGCGGCCGGCGGATGTCCGTGAAGCTCAACCAGGGGGTGGTGATCACTGCGGGCGGCCGAGAGGCAGGGAGTGTGGAGAATATGTACGAGTTACCGGCTATCAACGCCGGAGAAGGAGAACTAGCAGCATCACTAGAGGCAGCAGCAGCGGCGGCCGCGACGGCAGCAGTAGGGAAGGGGCAGGAGGGGGGGGATGGAGCGGCAGCGGCGGTAAGAGGGAGTGAGAATTCCCCTGCTGGTAACCGCGGGCGACGGACATCCTTGGGCCTTCCTACGGTAACTCTTTACAAGGAGTCGAATGGGGGGCTTGACTCGGAGGAAGCTGGGGGGATGCCGATACCGCCGGGTGTGCCCGTGACGACGGCGAACTCAACAGTAAACGTGTTTCGGTAGTGACGCTCTTCACCCATCATAGTGCATGTATCAAAGATCGTAGTCCACCGCGTTTTAGATTCGTGCGAGACGGAACAGCTGGGGCGCGCGGAGGGGAGTGCAAAGAACTCGCCTACCAGACAGGCCCTTTTGTTGCTTTGCTTCCACCGTAGATAGAACGTTACGTAGCGTACAATGGGCGTAGAATAGCTCAAGCCAATGTGAAACGTTTGTGGTGGTAGAAGTCGTGTTCGTGGTGGCCAGGGTAACGTGTCGCCTACTGAACAATGGACGGGACCCCGACGACTTGCCTCTACCCTCTCCTATGGTCAATTTTGCATATATGGCAGTCCTGCTCTCGAGGTAGTAAGAAACGATGCGCTGGTGGTTCGGGTATGTGCTCCCCATGAAAAGGCCTGCGCACCTGTTTGTGTAAGATACACCCCCGGATATATTTCATGGCCGGAGAACCACACCTTGGTATTGTGAGGTTTAGATTTTGTCGAGCCTCCTCATACCTCCGGGCGTGGAGGGGGGGTGTAGTCAGCGCGGATGAAAAAGAACGAGTGAAACATACTCCCCTTGTTTGCAGGGGTTACGAGAATAATAGCTTCTTTCGGTCCAGTTTCAAATGTGGGGTACTTGTATACAAGTAGTTTGGCTAGTTTTCCTCAGCTCTGGCGTCGGAGCAATGGACCCTGCTTCCATGTTGGGTCGTTTTCCGCCCTCCCCTGCTTTCGATATATTTGTGAGTAGGACTTGCAATTTGTGCGAGTGTTGGGATTGTCTTCGGGTCCCTTCTTTTATTTTCCGGATGTTATGTTTCATGGTGGGTTCGCTTGTGACTATTGAAACGGAGACGGAGATACTCGATAGACTACAGAAAGGTAAAAAAAACTCAACAACAAAAACAACAACAACAGGAGCAGCAGCACCGCCTGCAGGTAGCGAGGTATCGCGCAGGGTGTATCGGACGCATGAGCAACCGTACAAAACACGAGACAAGACAACTGTTGTTGCTGGCTGTCTTGTCCGAGAAGCCGCGACGTTTGCAAAGCCGCGGAATCGGTTCGTAGGAGCCGCCTCAGCTTCGGATAGAATCCCCTACTCCCCTTCAGGTTTACGTATCAAGGACTTACACGATCTGACCACAGGCCTCAAGGTAACCTATTTTGTGTGTGTTCTTTTCTCTGTTGCTCCTGGTTCAAGGGCACTTAAACTACGCACACCAGTACTATCCTACAAGGGACTGTGTTGGCTTGTCCCTGTGGCCCCGGACGTTTCTTAGTGCCACACTCCCATGCGGTTTCGCACCCGTAACTCTTGCCGCCCACACAGAATAAATCCCCGTGCGCTGATCTTAGCAACGTGTTGCCAGTCTGGCGTATCGTACAGAGTCTCGCAACAACTTCTTGGAGACTCCAGTTCAGAAATACGTAGGTACAGCATTCGAAGGGACAGAGTGATGAACAACGGTCTCCAGTCTCGGCGGAAAAACTGCCCCGCTGACAGTAACAACGTGTTGCCATTGTGGTGTATGGCGCAGAGTCTCGCAACAAGTTGGACTCCTTCAGTAATAATTACAGCTGTCGATTTCTCCTCCTAGACTATTTAATCACAAAATGACGAATATCGGTATCCCGATCTCGGCAGGAAAAAGCCCGCCCCTCTGACAAAAAATGAGTTCCGATGGAAAAGACAAACACATCAGATTTACGCCAAACCTCACAACACAATCCTAACCAATCGATCGCCGCAGTAAACACCCCCACCGCCGGCGTGCTACACTACTTCTCAAGGAACATCACGTATCAACGCAAGTTGCCAGAGCTCCCAACAAGCCCCACAAAATCGAGGCCGGTTGATGCAGCAGAACCCGGATGCTAGACATCGCCGACCAATATATTCTCATGTATCAAGACCGCAGAAGCAGAGTGCTATTACACCTAGAGTGAGTTGGGCTCTTCATCCCATATCGGAATGTTTTTGCCCATTGATCGGTCCGTAGCCCGTGAAAGCTCCGAACGTAGAAGGAAAGGGGACACGTCGCCGCACTTTTGTACGGGTGGCTTCCCTACCCTCATGGCATTCTTGCAATGTGTAAACATGTCCTGTGGCAGAGGTCTTGTGCAGAACAATGCTTGTGATTGTCGAACCGCTCGATGAACAGCAAAGAGTACTAGACGTCGCCTCCGCGCATCTCACCACCGCGCATCTCCCATTTTCGTCACAACAAGCGCGCGAATACCCGACCACTAAAAACCACTATTTTCAACAACTTGGTACTGTGATTCTACGGTACTCTGCCCGAAATCGGGGCATGTTTTGTGCCGACAACGACACCCCCATCGTCCCCTTCCTTCCCTGCAGAGTCTCTAACCTTGCTCTTGGCGAAGCTGGGCGGTTTGCTGGGCGAGTCGTCTCCAAACCCGGCCTGACGTTGCGTAATGCAGAGGAGCAAAAACATACCAGGTTCATGTATAGTCTGAGAAGTGCATTGAGAGGAGCTTGTCAGAGTCGCACCGCGGCAAGCTCTCAGCTGCCTTCTAGGGCGTCCAAATAGGGGAGAAGTGGGCCTGACAACACGATTTCTCATGTTCATCGTTCAAAGCTACGCACCATGGGTGGGTACGACGACGACCCATGACGGCTCCGCAACACCCTCCGGATCGCCTCGAGCCACATACATAGCTTTCCGGGATGGTGCACTATTTCGTGGGATTTCCGTTCGTCCGGCTTTGCAAGAACAACAATCAGTATCGTCATGGATCCGTCCGTCAACTAAGGCAGCGATACCACCGCGATATCTTCGGATGCGATATCTTCGGATTTCCTGTATCAATATGTATGTAGACGCCACAGGTTCTAAAGTAGCACAGAAACACCAAACCGTCCGCTTCACCCACCTTGGACAAAAAATCGGAACTACCGTTTGCCGGTGCTCCTTGACGGCAACTATTGCCGCTGCCGCTTCCGCCACCCCCGCTGCCGCTGCCACTGCTGCTATTGCCGCCGCTTCCGACCGGTTTGATGCCCGTCGGACACAACGAATTCGTTGTCGTCGCCGGCCAACTCCGCCCTGGATCGGCACGCAACGTCCTGGCGCCCCCCTTTTTTTTGTCCACCTCTTGCCCCTTTCGTTGCCTCTTGTTGGCGGCGACGGTCTCGGGGTTTGGTGACTTGACCCCCGCCACCGGCGCCGCTGTTTGTGCCCACCGACGCAGAAAAGAGTCTGCATCAGGGGTCGCCGAGGCCACGGACTGCGCCCCGGCATTTTCGCTGCAGCTACTGCCACTGCTAGAATAGGCCATCGGGCAAGCGGTCGTTCGGCCTTTGATGACCCGCGCACGCGCGGTTGCCCGGGTTCTCGCTCTCGGAGCGGCGGCAGCGGCTCCGAGAGGGTCTCCGCTTGCGGAGGAAGACGACAAGGAAGAGGACCCTGACGACGGGGGATAAGGTGCAGATGTTGGGGTCGATATCGCCGGAACGGTCGCAAGGCCACGGTGGCCGCCAGGCGTCGAGCTTCTACCCTCGCTAACAGCGGCGGCGTTCGATGGCGCAACAGAGGCTTGCACTGCTGCCGCCGCCGCCGCCGCCGCCGCCGCTGCCACCCTCTTGCTCGTCCTTCGGGTTTGCGGCCTTGCTGAGCAGGCAGCGCGGGAGAGCAAGCCGCGGCTTGTTTTAGGTTCTCCTTCAGCTGGTGGTTGCCCGTGCCGCTCCGCCGATGCGCTAGCGCCGCCACCGGGGGGGGGGGGTATGTCAACGGCGCCGACGGAGGAGTTTGGGCCTTCACTGTTGATAGGGCTGGCCTTGATCGGCGATCTGCCGAGGGGATCAGCCGCGGTATCTCGTTTGAGATGCCCAAAGTTCCTGAAACAAAAGCAAGAAATGAAGCCTTGTCTGTTGAATGTTTTGAAGAAGGTGGAGGCGCTGATTCTGAGCAGGGTAACGCTTGATATTTCTACCGAAAAGACAAACTGCAATTTACAGCCGAGCAACAACAACAGAGGTCGGTTCCTGGCAAGGCGTGGGCCGACGACGAAAAATGTTGATCCGCCCGTTGTCTACAGTGCCGGGGGTAGTCGACACTCGAGAATAGACTGGACCTCCCTTACTATTGCTTCATCGTAGACGCTTCACCTGGCCGAGCCAATGAGCTTCGCCGCAGCAGCCGTAGGGGGGCTCGCCTTTCCCTTCCATTCCCCCTGCTCCGGGTGGTAGCGGCGCATCTCTTCCCACATGAGCTCTTGCAGGCGGTGCTTGGTCGGCACGTCCTCCTCAAAGGCGAAACAAAACTCGAAGTCGGCGCTGGGTTCATCGTTTCCTGTCTGCACGCATCAAACGACGACGCAATACGCGGATGTATATGGCAGTGCTCATTTTCACATCCAATCTGGCGAGCTGTGCTAGTGGCATAGGTAGTCTGCCACATCGGCTTGCTCTTCGCGTAGCTTTGGCAGGGCAAAGAGGGGTTCGACGGTTGGTGCCCGAGGTACTACTCTTACACGAGGGTTGGGGAGATCGATTTCGTGTGTATGGCGATAGGGTCAGGCCTGTATTCAGACAAGCCAACACTTTTCAACCGGCATCACTATGGGCTGTGGACTACTGCACCTGGACCGAGGGCGACCACAATTTAGTGGCACTGAACAACGACTCATGGCGACGACAACAACAAAGCAACAAAGACAGCGGCGAGGACGTCAAGGCGGGCCTGCTCACGTGGTAGCTCTGCATAAAGGGGTGCTTGAGGGCGTCCTCGACGGAGATTCTCGTTTCGGGGGAAAACTCGAGCATCTTGGCCAGAAGATCGAGCGCCTCGTCACTCGCCGTCCCGGGAAACTGATCCCTCAAGCGCTGGGGGGTCGTCGCAGACAGCTTCATGATGAACCGCCTCGCCTGACAAATGACAAAGGGAAGGGCACACGTCCGCAGAGACGGCGGGGGGATCTTGAGGGGGCGGGGGGGATTGAGCCACCAGCGACTCCCCGTTCCCCGAGTGTTTCTGATATTGTACGGCTTGCTGCGCGGTTTTGGTCGTGGACCATACCGCCTTGCCCTCCCTGCTCATGGCCTCATAGTCAACAAAAGAGAGGAAATACTGAGACATCGACGTCACCTGTGACAACAACAACGACGATATTAACAATACCACCACCACGAACAACAACAACACCAACACCAACACCAACAACGACGACAACGACGGCGACAACGGCAACAATAACCACGCAGTACATATACGCAAGCGGGTCCAACCTTTTCCGTTGAGACAAACGTCAGCTCGTCTTCTTTCGGCTTGCCCAGCTTGTCGCAGATTATGGTGAGCTGGTCTATGTAGTTGTCACCCGGGAAGAAAGGCCGTCGAAGCATCAGCTCCGCAAATATGCACCCCACCGACCACACGTCTATTGCCTGTTGCATGCGGGTGTGCGCGCATACGATTTCCGTCTTTGTGCACATTATGGTGACCCAGCCATGCATCATGGCAAAGATTACGGGGACATTCTGGAGTGGGTTCCATTTCGTGATCGAGTGGAGATATCGCGAGTGTGCTCTCGTGGTTGGCACTAGGCGCACAAGGTGTACGGTAGCACTGCTGATTGTCGTTTGGTCGGAGTGTGTCCTGTGTGTCCGGCTGATAGGCCGATCACGGTTGTTGTTCTGCCATTTTGTTCTTGGGGTCCTTACCCTGCAGCAAGAGAACACGGAACGACAGCTAAGTTTAATACCAATGGTCGGCATACTTTTCAGCATGCCGATGTCTCACCCCACGGCATATGTGTTCACAGAAGTGACAATATTTGAGGACGTTGTAACTGCCCCCCGCCCCCCGTTCTCCCTCCTCTCCCGGCTTACCTTACTGTATTCATGGCAACCGAGCATAATCTCCGGAGCGCGATACCATCGGGTAACCACGTACTCCGTCAGCTCCTGACAGCCACTCTCGATGTCTCGCGCCAGGCCTAAGTCGCAAACCTAGAAATTTGGATATGTGTTTCAAGTGCGTAGTTGCGTTCGTAACGGGACATCAGCAGGGGCGGTGAAACTGTAAGAGGATAGAGCGAAAGCTAAAATACCCATCACTTTCCTACATCACAGAAGAATCGCGTCCAACACACACCCGAGGAGTTGTCAGAAGATCAAGCCTTGATACCGCGCTCGATACACAGCGGATTCACGTCCGCCCTAAAATAATGACATGTTCAAGGATTGGGTAGGCATGCCAGGGTAGAAATCGGTTCTTACTGGTCCGGATAGGCACCGACTACTTCTGTGGAGGTATTTGGCAGACATAAGCCATCAACAACCAGCTCAACTAGAAACACAGGTAGTCATCCATGCACGTACATCTGGACAGCGGAATGTTTCGGCAAGATCAACGAGCTTACTTAGCGGTTTTTCCTTTCGAGGTTTTGCCCCAGTGTGGATATAGACCAACAGCGCGCAGCCTGCGGGTTATATGTAAATTACAATCCTCTAATCCCCTTCTGACCTTGAGTTCGCAGTTGGAGTTGAGCAGAAGGTTGGAAGGTTTCAGGTCCCGGTGAAGAACGTTCGAGGAGTGCATGTACTTCAGGGCCCGCAAAATCTGCCACCAGCCCATCCCAAAAATTGAGCGACCACAAACGTTGATTACGGGTTGGTCAGTTGTGCACGGGGGTGGAAACTTCCATACAGGAATAATATGGTATACACCATCCGAGAGAAGAGTACTCTACTTGGTGTCCATTTAACTTGCTTTGTCGCATCGAATCTAACCACAGGTGGGTGCACCACGTTCGTTCGTTGTCATGCCGTCTGGGATCGACTTGGAGAACCTAACGTAGTAACGCATGGCGCAAACCCTTATCACAAATGTACTTCAAAATATGTACACAACTAAATTTCTAAATTTCCCTTCCAAGGAAGTACTGCTGTACGTCCTTTCATCAACTACAGGCTCACCTGGTAGATGAAGTATTGGACGTGCTCTGGGGTGAGTTCTTGCTTCGAGTTGATGATGCGGTGCAGGTCGGTCTCCATAAGATTAGACACGATGTACACATCTTCAAACTCCTCCGGCGATGGCGGAACCAGGATATCCACGATGTTTATTATCTGAACGCATGATAACAGATAGACTAGTGGGCGTTGGTACATTTTTTCGTTCAAGGGTAAACACAAACAAACGTCGACAAACCAAACATAGAAACAAACGTGGATGACTTTTCGAACGCTCCAGCTGAGCTCGCCCAGGAGGAATGTCACACTCAGGGTCAAGTTTTGCTCCACCCTCCTTCTGCCGTCCTTGCTTAGTATTCTTTTTCGCGGAAATGGTCTAACAACGCGTAGGCGAGAGTGCCAAGGACCACTCACGTTCTCGTGGTTGAATTTTCGGAGAAGGGTGATCTCTCGCAAGATGCGTTTGGCGTCGACGAGATCATCGAACGCTTTCGTTATCTTCTTGATCGCGACCTTCTCCCCATTCTCGGTGTTGAGGGCGGATACCACCACGCCATACGCGCCGAGACCGATCGGCTTGATTAGCTCGTACATTGCGTCAAGCTGTAGGCCACCGAGAGGAAAGAGAACAAGTACGCGCGGGTGTGTTGGATCTAACGGTAAGATCTAGCCGCGGCGAATAGAAAATTACAGTCGCAGTCCGGTAGATTACGTCACCAAGCGTCCGGGTACACTGACCGAGGCGCAGGTTTACGAATCACTTGTGTGCCAGGCAAACAGGAGGGCACCTGCCTCCGTCGAACCGTATGCTGTAGCACTGGTGCACGGCTGATCGTGGGCCGTCAGTGACGAGATACTATACTGCGGCCCACAAGTTACCCGTATCGTCTACAGCAGTAGCAGCCTTGACCAATCGAAGAGCAACAACAACAGCGTCCACTGCTGGTTTCGTCTCTAGGCTTGCAATTACATAGCACCCATCGGTTCACCGTCCGCATGCAGACTCACCTCGAACAAAGTTCCTGAGACCTTGAAGCTTCGTTTCGCCCTACCTTGTCCCTCCCTCCCTCCCCTCCTCGGCGCCCGCGGGAGATCATCGCCCGCGCCGGTGCCTCTCTCTGCGGCCTCACTGCAGCCGCCTTGCCGGGGATCTTGACCATCGGGGCACAATTCACTCTTGTCTCTTTGTCGAGGCGATATGTAAGAGGCACATCGCATTTTCCTTTCCCCCTATTCCCTAGCGTTGGCCCCAGACGTCGGTTGCTGCAGTGTGTGGTTTGTGCCGCAGCGAGATGGCGGGCGGGAGGGAAAGATATAGAACGAAAAACAAAAAACAAAAAAAAGATTCAGGACGGAGATTCCGTGGAGGGAGACGTTGAAGATTCGCCGGGGCCCCTTCAAGCCGCTTACAATTACTTCCATTTTTTCTTTTTTTGCCTTCTGTGCGAGGCTCTCACAAAAACTCTATCCCGGAGGTCGGTTTAGACGGTACACTTGAACCTAGGTGCACTATTGCCTATGGTAAAATGGCACACTTGGTGAGACGAAAAAAAAGTGTGGAGTAGTTTACATCAAGCACGAGCCCGTTAGGTGAAACAAGATACCACACCCCCTGTTTCGCTTTTCAAAGCTGCCTTACCCCACAGCAGGAAGAGTGGAGGCGTCGCAATTGGCGACGCTGGGACCGCCTCGTCGAGAGCTTTCCGAAAACGTCTCGTTTGATGTTCTTTCCTCTTTGTCTCGCAGTGCTCGAGCTTTCAAAATCGGTCCAGGGGGTGTGGTATCTCATGTCACCTTCAGCGGAATATTTAGATACTTGGGCAGACCACAAGCAGTCTGCGCCATCAACTATTTTTGTTGTGTGCTATATGCGATCGCCGCGATTCGAGGGCGGTGAGCGGCGGTCCCACAGACAGAACATGACCACGGCCTTTGCGGTGTCATTGATCTTCTCACTTCCCCGCTCAACCTTGACTGACTGTTGTGGTTACTGCTGTATTCCACTCCATTGACGACAACCATTTGTGGAGTCACACAAAACAACAAACGACGCCTGACAAACACAGAAAAAAAAACCAAAACACTGGTGCACCACAAACTTGTTGACTTCTTCTTGCAAACAGCAGTACGCTTAAATACATCTTGGTCCAGACAGACGAACATCACCCATCATCTTGTGAACAAAAAGCACGCACGTGCGAGATTGATTTGGTAACACCGCATTTGCCATAAGGCTAAGCAAGAGTGTTCCTTAGGAACCATTCAGACCAGACTCCGATGTAATTCCTCCTCCGCCCCCCCCCCGCCCTCCTCCCCCGCCCTCCGATGAATCCAAAAAAAAAACACGACCTCCGCAGCGACTCAGGAATAATTCCACCCCAAGTAGGACACTTCACACTAGAACTTCACGAGCCGAACAGTCTCTCCCTCTTTCCCCTTCTGCCATCGCGCGATAAGCACATCACCCACGCCTCCACGTCGCCACCCCTGCCGACCTTCCCGTGCTTGGGGAGGGGCGGCTACGCCGTGCTAATAAAGAAAACGGCGGAGAGACTGACCTACTACAGAGAAATCACCAACCCTAACCCCCATCCTCATCGATTTGCGTGGACGTCTATCGCAGAGAGAGATGAATCAAGCAGCGTTTCCGCTCCATCCAAACCCCCCTGAATCTATATTAACATTGAATTCAACCCTGCTCTTTCCATCGACAGAGTGAGCAATCAAAGGGCGTCTCTTCAAGTTGAACTACCTACGTGTCTATGCTTGGACTGGATTCCGCGACCTCGGCGAGATCGGTGGAGATAAAGAGGGGTCCCAAGACGAGGATGGTGGTGGAGAGAAGCTTGATAACCACGTGCAGCGATGGACCCGCTGTGTCCTTGAAGGGGTCCCCGACTGTGTCTCCCGTCACGGCGGCCTTGTGGGCATCGCTGCCCTTCCCGCCAAAATTCCCCAACTGAGTGAGCGAGCGGGCAAAGTGGGGGCAGGCGGGGGTCTGGCTTTGACGCAACAATCACACAGACAAATCACCGCTAGTCCACACAGTTGGTCGTAGATGGAGGTGCGCAAAATTGAAAACAAAGCGTCGGAAATTGTCGAGGGGGCATATTCGTAAATCTATGTTGCGAGAGCCGGACGGCTTCGCCACCTTTCAGGGGCCAAATCTATTGACCGGAACATGTAAGCTAAGCTGCCATGCGGCAAGCGGTGCCAGGCCTTGCATGAGGACACCGGCATGACTTGGAAAATACGTATCAGCATGATATGAACAATCATTCAAATCTTCGAGCCAGCAACCTCGCGAACGGTACGGTAATCACCTCGACGTATTTCTTGGCGTTATCCCAAGCCCCGCCTACGTTGTCCAAGAACAGCGCCATCATGATGCCGCTCACGGTACCGAACATGAGATACCCTGCCAACACCTGTCGGTACGAACCCGCCGGAGAGAAAGTTAAAACCAGGAGCGGGAGCGAGGCAGGCAGGGACCCCATCCAACGGCGAAACAGCCTGACGACAACAGCACGCAAACTCAAGACGGATGCAAGCAAAGACATGAAAAGCACAGGGAAATGGCCCGCCCAATAGACAACTCGCATAGAACAAGCAAACAGACGCAAACACCGACAGCGAACGAACACGTCCATCACTGTCCGATCTTCTTCCTAAACGAAAAAACAAACAAACGTGTCCGGTCTTGCCTCGGCTCCAAGCATTGGCCGCCCCGTCATGCTCCCAACCCATCGGAAGACTAACCCCGCCGATACAGGCATCGCCACGCAGAGCATTCCGGGGAACCTCATCTCCGTGAGAGCAGCCTGCAGCGTTCGGTGGTCGGGAAGGAGGTGGCGATGGTCATTAGGCACACGAGTGTACCCGTGCCGCAGAGATGCTGGAGGAGACAGCAGGCGCAGCATCCGTACTGCGACCAGACACCGCGTGCTTGCTGGGCCGACGCTGCTGTGCTACCGTGCGCTCTTCTTCAACTAGCCCTATGGGCATCTGGCAAATAACTCCAACAGGCAGAAGCTCTGCAGCGTGATAGCGTGGCTGCACGATACTCTGTGTATCTACCGCACGACAGGCATGCGCACTCTCGGGAGCGACAAGCTCTTCGTTAAGGGGAGGGAGGGTCGAAGGGGGGAAGGCGGACAGTGCTCTCGTACAGCAGTACCGCAACAAACAAACAACTACTACTGTAGTTGCCCCGTCTACCATGGCATCATCGTCGCATGGAACAAAACAAAACAGCTACAGAAATAAAAAAGATGCGATCAAGTCTGGCTCTTGCCAGGAAACCCGGGACGTTGTCCTCACAAAAAAAATGCCGCTCTATGCCGCTGTCCCGCAGGAGGCGTAAAACATAACGCCGACGGGGTGTAGTAAGCATGCCTCAGCCGGGTGGCCAACCCCTGCCGTGCCCTGCTGCGCTCACCTCTGTAACGAGGCTGACGCAAGCCCGGTAGTCGGGCTTCTGCTTGTACTCCATGATCCCCGGGTTTTCCTTAAGTTGCCGCCTGACTTCCCGCACCACCTCTCCCGCGGTTTTCCCCACAGCCGCGATCGCCAATCCCGTGAACCAGAAAATCATCATCACCTGAGGTAAGAGATGGAACACAGTGCGGCTCTGCAGCTGAGAAGACGCGGATAAGAGAAATACAAACCTCCAATTGTGCACGATCAAAAACAAATTGTGTAACGAAACACGGGCCAGAAGAGGATATTACACAATAATGTACTCGACGGGTGACGAAATAAGAAAATCAGCCTCGACCCCATACTGACGTTTCTTATCTCCGAGGCCCCACGGTACGTTATTTGTTTGTTTGGGTAAGGTCGTTCGTTTGTCTTCGGTCAAAGCGAGGTGTGCCGGGGCAGCGAGCGACGACGACGAAATCTCTGTACGACTGGCGACGGAAACAACACATGGGAGGACGAGGACGCTCTTCAATCTTCGTTCAATGAAACCAGAGAAACGTCGGAAGGACATATCGTTCGGTCCAATTCTATGCATCAGTCGCAACACTGTCCAACACCCTCAACCTTACCCCTAGCAAGCCCCCGATGAGGACCTCCGGTACAGCGATATCCACGGTTCGGAAAGGCCTCCCGCTGAACTCGGAGAACTCGTCCATGAAAGCCCCGAACAGCAGGAAGCACGCCAGCGACGCCGATCCGATGCTGTAGCCCTGCTCGTTTTCCACCGACGAAACGGCAAACAAGTTGGGAAATGAAAAAAATAAGGACAAGAATACCTTAACGGCTGCCAGGCACGTCAAGAAAGCGCGGCACACGTCAAATCACCACAAAATTGTGGGCAAACGGACACCCACCCTTTGACCGACTTTCACAACTCGAATATCCCGCAACCGAGATGGTGGTTAACAGGTGGTAACGCCGAAAAGGGTGGTTCTGAAGAAGACGTGTGGGGGGCTTCTCCTGCATCTATTGGTCGGGTTTCGCAACCTCTTGGTCGCGAAGCGAACGGAATCTTACAAAATGGTCTCGGGGGTGCGAGTGCTCGCGATGAAACCGTTCAGTTGTCGACAGCAAAAACCACGGAGCCCGCAGCAGTCGTGGAACAAGAAAATAGCTCGCTGAACACACGGAGCGTCTCCTGAAACTTGCAGGGCATGTAGCAACAAAGATGGCGGAATGCTACACTTCACTGCGACTTGCTTCTGCCAGAGTTTCACTTCCACCATCCTCTGCGCAATCTTACAGTACCATGTCTAGCAACCGGCATCCTTCCAGAATGAGCGAAGTCCTTGCTAACCGGTCCTGACCTTAGTGATGGCCTTTGTCACGTTGCCGGCGGCATCGAGGCGGTCGGTTGTTTCTCTGACGAACTCCGGCTGCTGGCTCATCTCCGCGATCCCGCCGGCGTTGTCCGCGATAGGACCTTCCCAGGGAGATACGAAAGCGGCACAATACGAGTAACAGCGAGGGTGTATACATGTTGGTCATCAAAGGCGCCAAGTGCTGCCTGCGCGGCCAAACGCCAAACTCTGTCCGGCAAAATCGTACTGTACGTCGTATGTACATCACGCCTCTCTTCCGCTAGCGAAACAATTTCAGTGGTGCAACTCCATGCGTGTACTCGACCAAGATAACCCTTGCATCAATACTGCGGGGTCGCTCACCGAAGTTGTTCATCGAGAGCACGTACACGGCGCTGCTGAGCATGCCCATGGTCGCAACCGCCGTCCCGAAAATCCCAGCGCTGTGCCCTTCCCCCACGCCCGAGGTCCGGCCTAGGTGGTAGGCCGCGATAACCGCCACGCTCACGGTGATGCAGGGGATGACCGTGCTCTTCATACCCACGGCCACGCCCGTGATGATGTTTGTCCCGTGTCCCGTGGTACTTGCTTCCGCGATGCTCCTCACGGGCGCGTACACGTAGTCGGTGTAGTACTGAGGGAGGGAGGGAGGGAGGGAGGTTTCGGCAGGGACGAGGCAGTGGGGCGACAGACAGTGGGCGGCATGGGGATTCAACACTTTGTGCCGGGAAGTCGTGAGGAGTGTAGGCTGGGCCCGTGAGACATGGAGACATGGAGTTATAATAGTAACATTCGGGGCTCCGAAGAGCTACTTAGAAAAACTTGACATGTTTTGCATGGATTCGTCTCCCGATTGGTGTTTCTACGCAACGAATCTCGATCAACGGCATGAACCCGCGTTTTTCACCCGCGCATGACAATATTCGGCGATGCAGCAGTCGGGAGCGGCTCGATATAAAAAGGTCCGCGCGCAACAGGCATTGACACACGGACTGCCATGTTTTAGTGAGCAAGGAGCCACCCATGAAGAAAGGTAGGACTCCTTTCAACCATTGCAGACGAATTTCTTGACATTTCGGAAAGTGGAATGGCGCACGACATTCTCACAAGACTACTTGGGCACGAAATGCGACTGCTGTGTGCACCCATCTATCTATCTATCTATCTATCTAGTTATCACACCTGCGTCGAGAGAATGAAGACGTAGGCCGTGACCATGCCCACTATCCCACACCCGAAGAAATGCAGCCACGCTGACGGAGAGTCCTCCACGTATAGAAGCCAGCGCGATATGATCGCGAAGCCAGTGAGCGCCAGCGCGAAGCTAACTCTGTTCGTTACAGGAGATAGGTCAGGCGCGGGGGGGTAGTGGCAGCCACATGTGAGGGGGCGACCGGATGAGCGACGTCTAATACTCGGTTGGCAGCGATGTGCGTCACAACTTGAAACAGCAGACAGCACACGAAAAGTGCATCTCTTCGTTCCGACACGATACATTCACAAGGATACCAGGATGGCAGGATATGGTAATCTACCACCTCGGGCAGCACCACAGGAGGGGCGAACGGCAATCATGCTGGCCTGCATATAAAATTCTCGCCAATGGCTAACTAGACCTTCCACCGATCGAGAGGTGCGGTGTCAGTCGACAGCACACAAGACAGGACCACCAAAATTACTTTGCAACCGGCGGTCTCTCAACCCTTAACCCACCGGCGGTCAACAACGGCAACAACGACGTAGCCGCCAAGAACAAAATCCACAGACAAAATGGGACAGGCACCTGTAACCGCGAGTGAGCTGGTCCATCGGGTTCGTGACGGAGTGCGCGGCAGCGGTCACGAAAAGGATCCCGACAGAGCTGACGACGATGTCCAAGGCGTGGACAACTACCGGGAAGAAAATGAACGGCACCGCCGAAGGGAGGGACGCCTGCCCAGGCCCACGGAAAACCAAGAGAGAAAACAAGCACAGAGGGCCGGGGAAGCAGCGTAGGAGAAGAGGTTTCAACCAACGACAACGCCACTATTGGGAAACCCTGCTTAGTGAACACAGACCAAAACAAATACAGAGAATCTACGAGCAACAGCGCGCAGCTAGGATACTAACCACGGAAGTAAGCGGTGCTTAAGATGAAACCACTGCGGCCTACGGTCCGAAAGGGTATCGTCCGTAGATAGCATCCCTCGTGTTGTAGGCGCACCTCTTTCGCAAGAGTAGATCCTAGGATCATGGCTCCAATCATCTCCGCCGCGACGCTCTCGAACACGTCTGCGCTGCTCCCGACGCAGTCCCCGACCATGTCGCCCACCAAGTCCGCCACCACGGCGGGATTTCGGGGGTCGTCCTCCGGGATGCCGGTCTCCACCTTTCCTCGTCGCAATATGAATGTTTTCGCACGGCACGAAGAGGGTGGCGGGAGTGATGTGTGATAATGTGCGTGCGTTGGCGGCTGTTAGTCGGGTCTCCTCTTTGCTACGACGACAAAACGCGGACATGTATGCATAGCCTTGACTGTGGTCGAAATTCCGCCAGTGATGATGCTGGTGACATTTTCGGAGACCCGCGTGCCCAGCCGTTCGGTCGCTAAAAACAAGGAGCAAGCGTGGGTTGAGGAGGAGCAGGGATGGTGTTGCTCCGTCACTACCGAGACAACGAGTACGCCATCGGCACGGAAGGGGGCCGGCCAATAGTAACACATTGGGTACTACCGCCGTCAACCGTGCTGCTGCTGTTGCCTTCAGCTCTCACCTTGCCGACGAGGTCTGCGCCGACATCCGCAGCCTTGGTGTATATGCCGCCACCGAGCTGAAAAGCAAGCGAGTTGAGGGTCGCAAACGGTATCGTATCATAAACAACACGCAGTAGAGGAAACGACGGGATTGGTGTCCGACAACGTGGAACTGTCGACGACGAACCAGGCCCCTCCACCTCTGTAGCACGTCGTTTGATCGGATCGTGCTTACTGGTGCAAAGAACATGGTCGTAGCTTGCTGCTTGGCACCCCATCACTACACCGACCCAAACCCTGGCTCGTTGCTCTTCACCTTTCAATGTCCCTCCCGTCACCCAAAGCAGTGCCCCGCCCCTCCCCCACGCCCAGAAGCGCAACAGCTCAAACAGCCCCTATCCTCAGTAGTGCTATCCGTACAGCAAGCCCCCCCCCCACTCTGTGTGCATGTTCTATCGGGGTTGCTCTTATTCCAGTCCCTCTTCAGAATTCCTGCCCGCCCCTGGTGGTCCTTGCACCCACCTGCATGAACAGCGCCACAAACGACGCTCCGAAGCCGTAGCCAACCATCAGCACGGGAACGTCGGTGTCGTCCAGCACGCCCCTCGCCACGTACCAAGTGTAGAGGGCCACGTACAGAAGCGTCACCCCCGCGACGCACAGCGTGATGTCCAGGACGGCACTGAAGGCACCGCCGCGGAAGCAAATCACCAAGGCCTCGCCGTACCCTCGTCGGGCGGCGCTCGCTACACGGATGTTGGCGTGCGCGCTAACCCACCTGTGGTGTCGTCAACAACAACAACAGCAGCAAATGCCCCAAGACAGGGTCATTTTCAAGACACACACAATACGTGAGATACGACAAAGTCATTATTAGTAGTTCAACAACCGGAGACAGCGTGGATTCGAGCACCGTAAAAGCACACACTGGCGGGACGATTGTTTCAGAAGCGGATATTGACAAGTCCCGTCGCTCTTGATGGAACAACAAGTACTCACATGGAGATGTACCCGGCCGCTGCGGAACACAAGGCTCCGACGAGAAAACAGGCCCCGCTGATCAGGCCCAGCGTCGTGTTTCCGATCCGACGCACCCCGGTGTTCTGCAGCTCGGAAGATCCCGTCGGTCTTAGTACGTAGCTCATCACAATGAATGCAAGCAAGAAGACGGCGATCTTTGCAATGGCCGTGTACTGCACCTTGAGGAAGCCTTCGGCTCCCTCCTTTGGGTCACATACAACACACGTAGTCGAGATACGCACACGGAGAGAGAGAGAGAGTGAGAGACAGCTAGAGGTGAGTCCGTGTTGTACGACGATGGCGAGGGAACTGGCGAGACGTGACAGACACCTTATTGAACACATTCCTCCAAAAAAATGTAGTAGGCCAATACTGGGGGGAAGGAGACCCTATGGCAAAAAAGCACTTGGACATACACCGGCGCAGAACCGACACTCAACTCCGCCAACCAACATCCCAGCACATGTATTGTAAGATATCACAGCCATATCCAATGACGATCATTGCACCACACGACCCGCCCTTGTCTTGTCATAGTCCCTGCCTCAACGTTCTGGTCCTTCCTTGACAAACCTTGATCGGGTCGGACACGGCGCGCATGGCCGGTGTCCCATCATCTTTGCTCAACACGCTATCCGACAGCCACCCGGTTACCAAGATGCCCGCGCTGCAGCACCCCATCACCAGAATGATGGGCTTGGTTCCAGAGGGCATGAGGAGCAAGAGAAGGAGAGTCGCCACCGCCGTTGCAGCTAGGCCCGGTGCCGTCTTGACTGGCAGCCTGTGGTAGGCCGGCGAGAATCTCGACTGGATAGAGAGGGGGGGTGGGGGTAGGGATTGCCTGTAAGCAAGGTAAGGGCGGAAAAGGGGTACAACGTCTGCTTTCCCCGAGAACAACACGAGCCGTAGTACTAGGCTCTAACGCTGTGGAGGACCTTTGTTGATCTTGGAAGGTGATTTTTAGTTTTTGGTCGCGGGCAGGACTGCTCGACGATGGGCAGAACCGCCGTTGCTACAGTAAACATGTTTGGCTCATTCCTGGGGACTGCTGTTGCGAGCTTTTTCGAGCAGCGGGAAGGCGGTGTCGACATAACGATGATAACGGCTGCTTGTGCTAACAACGTTCGCCGAGTACTTGTGCCCCACATAAACAAAGCCCTGCTTGTAGCACATATGTGGTGGTGTGTGGTGCCTATCGTGTTGTCGAGACCGACCTCGCGGACTTCAGCAGTAGAGACGAAAACAACAAAAACGGACTCACTCGCGGCGTATGCATACAACGTACATTACATGTATCTTGGTCATCTGTGTACATTGTACCCACAAATGCTGAGCATCAGGTCGCTGATATTGTATATGCAAAACGAGGCCAACACAGCCCGACAGTTCTTATCAGTGCACTGCAGGTGAACCCGTCATCTGTGGGAGGCAGAGGGGTGTGTGAGCACACCGTGAAGCATGCATACATTGGGGGGAGAACTGAACCAAACCAGTACGTATGATACCATGGTACTCCGTACGAAATTACCCCGCTTGGGGGAAACGTTCATCTACAGGCCAAGCCGGTCGCCCCGGTGGTCTAGTTGGTATCCTCGAAACCTTCTAGAGGTCACAGGTCAGGGGTTCGAATCCTGGCGCAAGCGAGCTTTTCTTGCAAAGCGAGTTTTTCTCTCGCTTCCGCTACTGGCCTAGTGGATGGCGCTAGTCCGTGTGTACACAGAGGGAAGAGAGTGCTGAACTCTTCTCGCAATAAAAATCGAAGGCAAAGTACCGCAGGATGGGAGGGTAGAGAGGGGCTCTTCTGTGTGACCACGGGTTGGAGTAAACGGCACTATTTAGTGCTGTGAGCGCTGATTTGAAGTGAAGAAAAAAAAAAAAGTGCGGGGTATCTGCAGAGCACAACGCCCAGGCCGTGCGACGACCACTACAACATGCATGCACCAAGGACATATTAATACCAGCTTGGCACCCCCGCCGCAAAGACGGCGGGTGTGCCACGGCTGTACCCACCTTCTTCGCAGCGCCGGTACCGAATGCGGTGCCAGCAGAGGCAGCTTCCGGATCCATAATGCTCCCTCCTCCCTCCATGCTGCCGATGCGGTTCGCACCATAACCAAGCGCCAGGCTAGGAGAACCGACTCCCGCGGCCCGTCTCATCTTGGCGTAGCGCAAGGTCAGAGAGAAGCACCGAGACGAGGAGGACTCCCCTGCTGCTGTGCCCACAGCCCACAGCAACTCACCCGGCTGTCGGGGACCCGGCGCTCCCCTCATCCGTTAAATAGCACCCCTCTCGGCATACCTGAGACTACACTGCGGAGCCCCAAGGGAACGATCTCGCCGCATCATGCACCTGGCACTGCTGCTGCATGCACTGCTGCTGCCACTACACTCATCCCCATCGGCTTCCTCAGTCCTCTGACTGCTGACCTGCCATACGAGCCTACGGTCGTAACACAACACAACGCTACGCGTGCGATTGCAAGAGGACAGAGTGCTACCCTCGTACGCCAATCAATACCAAACAAAGACGATCCAGTTGGACACCAGTGTCCGAGACGATGTCAGCTTCGAAACGTAAAGACCGGTTACACGTTGATGGCTTCCATATTCAAACTTGTCCAGGAGGAGGCGACTCCCGAGCAGTGGAAGCAGTGGCTTCGAGTACCTCTGGAGCATGCCGCGGCGAAAGGGAACTTGGATCTCTTCACACGGCTGATGGACGCTGGTGCTGACGGTTGCTCAGGCTGGCGGGGATGCTATGGCCGAACGCTGCTGGGCGCGGCTGCATGCGGCGACGGCGACCAGATGGTCCGGGCTTTACTCGAAGCGGGAGCGACGGATGATGTAAACCGTCCGCTTCGGGACTAAAAACAATCTGCTCTCCACGTTGCGGCCGCGCGAGGTGCTGAGGACTCATGCAGCGCGCTTATGATCGCTGGAGCAGACCCGAACGTGCTTGACATCGGGAAGAGAAGTCCTCTCCACCTCGCTGCCGAAGCGGGGCACCACCGGGTGGTACGTGTCATTCTTCTGAAAGGGGCCGACGTAGATAAATTGACGTGCTTGTCCAAAACTCCTCTGCGCTTGGCTGCTTCAAAGGGCCACACGCTGTGCGTCTCTGAGCGTTTGCTGGGCCGTGCAGATAAGGACCGTGCTGGCAGTTTTCTGGGTACTACGCCACTTGTTCAACGCGGCAGAAAACAACCACCTCGGTGTCGTCAAGAAGCTTTGACTGCAGGTGCCGACAGTCGCCGTCCCACCCTCGGCCACTACTTTCCATTCGACATTGCTGCAAGGCGTGGTCACGCGAACATCTTGAAAGCCTTCCTTGAAACAGGAACTGAAGTGGTCGCCGCCGATGGCAACGGGTGGACAGCCCTACACGGAGCTGCATCCGGCATACCTTCCCTTGACAACCGCGGTACTATCCGTGTTCTGTTGGAAGCTGGGGTTAATGTCAACGCAAAGGCCACCTGCCGCAGCTTGTACACGCCGCTCCATTTAACGGTCGATTATCGGGTAGCATCGGTCGGCATGGTTGGGGCCCTGTTGGAGGGAGGGGCCGACGTCAACGCACGCGCTGAACGCGACCAGACACCACTGCACGTAGCTGGCGGGCGTTCGAATGTGGCGGCTGTTGAGCTTCTGCTGCGTTGTGGGGTAGATGAAAAGCTCACGAACGACGATGGAGATACCCCCGCAGACGTGATAGGAGCAGCAGATCACGCGGGCCACATGGTCGACAATGAAGCCGACAACCAGCGCATTCTCCGAATGCTGGCACGCGCCCCAGCCGACATGGCGTCGCCGCGGCTGGCTGGTGCTGAGCCGTTACCGCCCGACCAGGGTGGAGATCGAGATCGCAAACGGGAGTTACAGTAGTATCAGCAATGGTTGCTTCTCTAAGGTGGCGAAGGTCAGCGGAGAGGATTCCAGTCGGGATGATGAGGAGACGGAAGACCAAATGGTGGTCGACTGGAGGGATTTGGTGGGCAGGCTGGTCGGACTGGGGTCTGACAGCGTGTTCCGCTTAGTGGTTGCTTCCTGTGAGGTACGAGGGCGGGGAAGACTCTTGCCGTACCATTGATGGAATTCGATGCCAAAGAGAGGTAGAGGTAGACGGCGTATTCTCTTGATCACTGCCGTGCACAAGGTCGCAACTTGCGAAACATGTTTTTCTCGATTGCTTCTCATAATCAATTCCGCGGTCGACATATAGGAAATTGATCGTCGCCCGGTACGTTTTTTTTCACGTATAATGCAACCTGTGTAAGGTTTCGCACAGCGGATGGGTAAAAATTGCTGTAAGTCCATACATTAGAAACACGTCGTATGGGGGTGTGAAATGAACAAAGTTTTTGAACGTTTCTGGCCGATCATGAAAATATCTAGGGTTAAATCATTTCCCTTTCGGGGGCGAGAGCCAACTACTGCTGTGTCCTCCTCATGATGTCGGTCATGTGCTGTGATAGACTCTTGGCGCTTGTCGCACGGCCTGCACCTATAGCTGGTCGTGCTGCAGGTAGCCATGTCGTTCAGAACGCTAGCGGGGGCGTCAAGTCGACCGACTTCCCGCACAACGTGTTGTCCTGTGCGCACCACTAGCAGTGCAATCCACGGCTCTTGCTTGCACGCGTTCTCTACCGTTTGATGCCATTGACGATCTCTGCTACAACTGGCTAGAGCATGTAACTCCCGCTGTCACTCTTGCATAGTTAGACACATGAAGTGGCCCCACAAACAAGATGTTGTCATATGTCCTTTGACGAAGCGCCGTCTTTCTGCCTGCCCCCCCCCCCCCCCCCCGCCACGGCTTCCGTTGTTTAGGTTTCGCCGGAGCGGTGTCCTTTGTTCGAGCCAAACGGAGTCGTCTAGTTATTCGCGCCGAGTGGTGGCCACTGAAATATTTGGATGGTCAATATACCGTCTGGACAGTTGGTGTTGACGCAGGTGTGCCAGGACTGAACCCTGGACGAGAAGCTGAACCTTGGTTGTCGCTTGATAGGAGCATCGAGTTCTGCGACCCGCATGAGCCGCGCAGAATCCGACAACTAGCACATTCTCCGAATGCTGGCACGCTCCCCAGCCGATAGGTCATGGCGTCGCCGCCGCTGGTTCGTGTTGAGCCGTTACCACCCGACCAAGGAGAAGATCGAGATCGAAAACGGGAGTTACAGTAGTATCAGCAATGGTTGCTCCTCCGAGGTGGCGACGGTCAGCGGAGAGGATTCCAGTCGGGATGATGAGGAGACGGAAGACCAGATGGTGGTCGACTGGAGGGATTTGGTGGGCAGGCTGGTCGGACTGGGGTCTGACAGCGTGTTCCGTTTGGTGGTTGACTTTCTGTGAGGTACGAGGGCAGGGAAGACTCTTGATTACTGCCTTGCACAAGCACTAAACCTCCGGAAAGAGCTTGTTTTTCTCGACTGCTTCTCGCCATCAATTCCGCGGTCGACATATGTATAGGAAATTGATCGTGGCCCGATACGTGTTGTTCACATATGGTGCATGCCCTGTAGCGTTTCGCGCAGCGGGTGGGTAAAAGTTTTGCATATTCGATGCATTGGAAACACGTCGTACGGGGTGCGAAACGACCGAAGTTTTCTAGCGGTTTTGGGCTGAACACGAAAATATCTAGGGCTAGATCATTGGTCGGTTACCGGCGATAGCTTTTGCCATTCGGGAGCGAGAGCCAACTACTGCTGTGTCCTGCTCACGGTTTCGGTAATGTGCTGTGATTGGCTCTTGGGGTTTGTCCAACATCCTGAACCTATAAGCTGGTCGTGCTGCAGTTAACCATGCCGTTCAGAATGCTAGCGGATGCGTCAAGTCGACCGACTTCAAGCACAAAACGTGCTGTCCTGTGCGGACCACTGGCGTACCATCCACGGCCCTCTCTACGTAATGATACCATATTGCTACTGGCGGGGGCATGTAGCTCCCTGTGGTACTGTTGCATGATATCACGGAATTAACTCACAATATGATGTTGATAAGTGTTCTCTGACCAAGCGCCGTCTTTCTGCTGTTTCCCCTCATGACTACAGCTGTCCAACGGTGTCCTTTGTTCGAGCCAAACGGAGTCGTCTGGTTCTTCGCGCCGGTTGGTGGCCACATAAGTATTTGGATGGTGCAGATGCCGTCTGGAGAGTTGGCGGAGACGCAGGTGTGCCGGGGCTGCATCCTGGGCGAGAGCTGAACCTTAGTTGTCGCTTGAGCGTAGGGCTATGTGCGGTTCTCTCTTTCTTTCACCCAAACTATGATTGCGCGACCGCGCGCCCGACCTCGAACATGCTGCTATTTTCCTCGATGCGTGCCATGTCCGCGATTTTGTCGAGGTTTCCGCCCTTCTTTTTTGGTCTCCTCGATTCCGTTGCGCCTATGGATGAAGACGTTCTCTTTGTTGATTTCGCGTGGTCCGTTTGTACAAGCAAAAACCGTGACGAGGTTGTCACTCAAGCCTGGCTGCGTTGTTTCTGCCGGCAGCATGCGAGCCGGGCAATAGTAACGACAAAACAGCGTTTGGATGCTTTCAACACTGGCGGACCAAGCTTGTTTTGCGTATGGACGCCCCACCAATCAATCCAGCATTGGTTGTCTTTCGGCTTTCCCCACAAGTTGTTTGCCGTTTGTTCTGGGTGGTTTGGGACGTATGTCGACTCAACGGTGGGCATACGTTCACATTTGTTTGTTTCCGAAGGTAGCGTCGTATGTCTCTCGTCGTGTAGCTCAAATCTGTTGCTACTGTTGCGGGGTCTGTCGCAGGAAACGTGTAGCAACCTTACGTATGCCTCTCGTGCGGGGAGGGGGGGGAAGGGGCGTTGGACGCAGGGTACGTACGTCGCCGTGGTCCCGTGACACATATTGTGTTGGTACATTCACCGTATATCTTTCCGGGGTGATCGTCGGAACCCACTTGGTACAACTCTACAGAGTAGTACGTCTGGCGTTCAGAAAACACCACAGAAACGGAATCCAGAGAAATATAGAATCCTCCGGCACTCACGATATGACTTGTTGCTTGACGGTCACTTTTTGCAACAATACGCTTGGCCGGCTTCGGGAGTAGTGCCTTCTCTTCTCCACTAACTTTCTGAACCATGTTAGTCATTACATTCAAAACGAGCGGGGACCCCTTGCACTCAATTGGACAGCACCCACGTCGTTTATACATTCCGCCCCTCTGGCATTTCAACTTCCCCGGCCATTTCAACTTTCAGTAGCAGCGGTGGCGGTTGTTGCTGCTTCTTTGAGCTTCTTGTGTGACTTGGAGATAGAGGTCTCGAGCGCCCTCTGTTCTTCTTTAGCGAGTCGCAACGTCTCAGCGTGCTCTTGATCCGTAGTGACTTTTGAGTAGGCGATGCTTCTGCACAAAGCAAAAGGAGATGAAATAGGTCCCGGTTATTATTTTGTTTCATTTGGAGACCAACTGACGCAAACGAGAGATAGTTGCCGTGCCATTTCTAACCAGCAACGGGATGCAACCATTTGCCGAGGTACACGCAGTAGTAGGACATGCACCGGGGCTTGGCTGAAACCCTCCAGGGTAGTTTGGACTCTAGCAAGCGGCGTTGTCGTTTGATTTCTCATTTCCACTTCAACGGAGCTCGCACTCATTACGGCGAAAAGCAGAGAGCTGGTCACGCAAGTGCTGAAGAGATGAAGAAACGCGTACGAAGAGAACATACAATTTTCACCTGTTCATGTAAGCAAGATTTGCCTCTAGCGATCTGACTTGCGCTTGAAGACCGTTGGTCTGGGACTGGAGTTTATTCAACGCTGATTGGACACCGTCCAGCTCTTGCCGAGCGCCCTCCACATTTCTCCTCGAAAAGGCGACGCTATCCCTACAAAGGGTCATCGTTTGTCGGTCCCACGCAGTTATGCAGGGTCGTGAGATGTATTCGCGCAGCCACACCCGTGTTACGGAAGGTCTTTAGTTGATAACTGTCCTTCTATCAAAGATGATGCTGTGCAGTTCAGTAGTGAACACCGACTTTTTCATTTGGAAAAGGCAAGAGGGCAACATGAGGCACCTATATATCTCCGCGTAAGTGTCCAGATTCATGCGTGTTTCGTCGCGCAACCGTAGGAGTAGCAAACCTCGCTCCGGACTTTGAAGAGTGATCTGTTGAAAGAGGTCATGGGGGAGCGCTCGTGAATGCACAGCAGGACAAAACAGAAAACACGATAACAACCGCCTTCAGGTTTCGGTTCTACGAGGTGTGTTGTCTCAATTCCAGATCTGGATGCCGTAGTTGGTTTGATATGCTCGCATAGCAACATCCAGGTAAGATTTGAAGTTGGGGGGTGGTTCACCTCGCGAATGACCTCGTCGTATAGCTCAGAGAATACGCTTTCGCGCACGGCGCATACCGCTCCTGGGCGCGCTTGCAGGGTGGCCAACCGGGCCTCTACTTTGTTCTGAACCTTTTCGAGCTCCCCTCTCGACCGCACGGTGCCGGAAACCTGCAGAGCAGCAAGAGATTCAAGAATAATGGAAGAGTGCACTTCCGAACGAATGCGGTATCAGGTACATGTCCTGGTTTTCTAAGGCTGCCGTCCAGAAGTACATGCACAACAGGCAGGCATTTTGTTTTCATATCGTCGATGTTCTTCAAAGACGACGTGTTATTCAATGAACTTGGCTTGAATTTGTCACAAGTAAACGCATATAGTCTGTTATGTACAGGTAGGGTGGTTACAGTTGAACATGCGTATTAGTGCGAAAACACCCATCATCACCACATTTAACCGCCCGGCTGAATCCTACAAGCGGTCAGACAGATCGGCGCCTCCACACTCCTACATACGTCCAGTCTAAACCGACCGATGCCTCGAAGACACATGCAGATAGATATGTTTCACACGAACGATGCCCAACTAACTTTACTTCAAGGACGTAGTTCTCTGAATAAATTCAATTATACGAAGATGATGAAATTATCACTACTCACCGTTTGAACCCATTCGCCCGCCGCATCGGCGTACTCTTTGTTGGGTAGTATCGCTTTGAGAACGGCTGTGATGTCATCCCCGCCACCTCGGGGACGCCTTGTTGTGTTCCTCGTACTGCCGGGTGCTGCTGCGCCAACACCGGCGAGACGTTGTGTGGCTTCGTCAGGCCGGCGCTCGTCAGAGGCGTATAGTGAAATGTATTGAGGGAGGCTGTCGTGACCCATTCTCATGTCAAACGCGATATCGGGCCTGGCCAAAACCGGGTCTTCATATTTGAGGATCGAGAAGTCATCGTCCACCTCGTCGGCTGAACTACATGTTGGTCCAGCCGCGCTTTCCGCGGAAACAGCCTGTAATTTACAGCAGAGGGGAAAACGTTCAACGCACGTTGGCTGATAACGGCTCAACGGCATATACATGTATGTACTGTAGAGCACTCTCGTTGTAGCAGCATGTCTTGCTTCATAATGTGGGGTGCTGTATGTATTGGATACACAGTCAGATTCATGTGCAGGTACTGCTGCTGTACTGCAGTTTGCTTCCGTACATCCTGTGCTAGGTTGAAAAACGCGTCTAGCCAGACCATCCCATAGTCTAACCTCAGTGAGGGCACCCAGCGGCAGGTCGCCTAAGGCAGACGGTTCAGGGATCATGGGAAAGATAAAGATACATCTCCTGACAACGACGCAGCCGCAGGTAGCTGACATGAAAAACGCCACACAAAAAAAACTGGCGGGGAAATCCGGGGGGTCCGCGGGTTGCGAAACATCACCCATCCCCCTGCCTGCAGAGAGCTGCAGCAGTAGGTAGAACAGCACGAGGGATCAGGCGCACAGCATAGCTCTGTCTTGCTCTGTGGTGCACCAACGCAAGCGTTCAACCACTGCCATGCGAGAGGGTGACCCGAACCTACTATCCGTAGTCCTGGAAGGATGAATGATGAAGCAAAGGTGAGTTCTTGACCCCCCAACGTATGCTACGTAGTTGAGGTGCCTGTTACGCACATCAGCAGAACTCGTTCACAAGCATATGCAGGTGAACTCACGTCGCTCTCCTGCTCCTGCCCACAATCATGGGACGCATCTGCAGCGCCCTTGAGAGGTTTGCGAAGACGACTAGTCCTTGCTGAAGGTGCGAAAGGAAGTAATTACAGTACGCCAGGAGCGTACAGCAGTGGAGTGCGAAGAGCACACCACACACCACCCCACCACAACAGTCTTAACCGTCGACCCACCTTCGGGGCTACAGAGTGTCACGCGATGACATGATGAAGGCCAGCTCCGAGGACCCCCTCGCGCCCTTTCTAAGTACATCATATCTCGTCCGACAAGCAGTGGTGACGATTCGTGCGTGCTGGCATGGTTTACCCGAAGTACTTGTTGTTGTGCTTCCTCCCTTACCAAATTGTTGATACTATGTACCACAGCAGATGCGAGCTGAATACTTCCTCCCTCACCAACAACGGTGTCTTGATGGCTGTAGCGTGGTGAAAACGTGGGTGCATATCACACCCCGTCGACCATGTACTGCTCCTGGGCGGTTTTCTCATCTTGAAAGGGTTCACCTACAACGAACGTTGCTGCTCGTGGTGTTGCTCCTGCTCACCGGATTTGAAAATCCGTAAGCAGGTACTGTTCGACATGTTCCCGGACACCCCGCATCAAACCCTGGCCACCATATGGCGCAACTGCGGCGAGGACTTCTCCACTGCGTTGGACGAGGCCCTCACAGTTGCAAGTCTTGGCAACGCCGACGAACAGGGTGAGTGTAGTGCTGTGCTTTGCGTAGACTTGATCTGATGTTGAGTCACATATTGTACATTTATCACGTAGGCGTTGCACATGTACGGCTTCCACGTGTTGCACGTGACACCGCACCCTATAAGCGTTGTTCTCAGTGTGTTTCCTCCGCAAAGGACCCGGCTGCGACTCACCAATGGCCACGTGACGTTTCTCGGCCATGTATTGTTCCTTGGCGCGCTGCGGGACATCTTCTTTTCGATCACTAGACCTTTGTATCATACGTATATGCATTCTTTCATTCGCGTTTTTTCGCGTCGGTACTACTGTACCCGCTCTCGCTCCACTGTTGGTACAGCTCGATTCGACGGGGGTGACTTTGCCGCGATAGAGGCACCTGTTGATTATTGGGAGGATGCACCTGCGCTCCTACCCGCGCTGGGGGAACGCCGTTTTGCACCGGAAACGAGCGCGGGACCGGTGTCTTCCTCAAGGGCCCACGATACCGCTCCCGAAACTAGGCGGCCGAGCGCAAATGGAGGAGGAGTCACCTATGCAGACGCGGCTTCAGCGATGTCCCCGAGGGAAAACGGACTGCCGAAGCTGCCTTGGGAGGGCAAGGAAAAGCGGTACGTTATAGGCTCCGGAGAGCTCGGGCTCTTGAACGAGCTTCAGATGCCTAGGAGAGGGGCCGTAGTGCCGCTCCCCGTGGATTTTCTCAGGGTACCCGTTGGCTCCTCCCAGCCCTCGACGCCGCCGGCGCCGGCCGCAGAGCCGCTCATCGTCCTAGACCCCGATGGGAGATCAAGCGAGCCAAACCAAGTGCCCAGCCCCACTTTGGCATCCGTTCGCGGCAGTGTTGTGTGGGACGGCGAGAGGGGGAGGGGAGACCCCGCCAGCAGCAGTCCGGGGGCCTCGTTCGGTGGCCGGCAGTTTGGATCCCCGGCGAAGAACACGCCATCGGTCAGAGCCAGCCCCACGCTCCTCCGGAATGTTGGGGAGAACCAACCAACGGTTGAGAGCACCGACGCAAAGCCGCAGATGAAGGTCGTAGGCGGCGATCGGAACGGCGGTGAGCGAGTGGGCGACAGCCCGGGAAAGGAGGCGTGGGCGATCGGCAGCAGCGGGCAGCGTAAGAAGCCGGTGCCAACAGCCCTGAGGGGAGAGCCGATCCCTGCTAATAGTCGCAGGACGGACTCCCGGCCGCCGGCCAGGGGAGGTAGCGCGTGGGGCGCAGGGGCAGGGGGCAACGCCCAAAAGGTGGAGACAGCGTCGGCGGCGGAGCGAATAGCTAACTTCCGTCCGGGCACGAGGTTCCGCGTGGCGGTGGACAAGGGCGTGACTGGTCTCGGCATCACCGTCAAGGAGATTCGAGGGAGGTTCTTCGTGTACAAGCTGCAGCACCTGGCGGACGGATCTCAAGGCGCAGCTGAGGTGAGCTAAGCCCGTCGGCACGCCGGCACGACGTCGTATCGGTATCGATCCGAATGCCCGTCTTTCGTCTTGTTCTTTTCCGGGGAGGTTCTCTCCGTTTCACACATATGCCGTTTTTTTTATTTTTTTTTCTGCCCGTGGGATCTTGCGTGTTTCCGTGGAGATGACCGTTTTCAACCACGGAACAGATACCCAGCATGCACCTTGGTGTGTCCAGATGGCCTACTACTACTGTAACAAACTGCATTGGAAGCGTGGTTGGTGCCGCCCTCGTCGCTACCGCTGTATTGTAAGTCCTATCCCATCGCTACCGCCGCCCAACGGCTCTATCAGGAGGCAGGCGTAAAGGCGGGAGATCAGCTGCTTGGTGTGGAGGAGCTTGACTTCGAGACGGAGAGATGGGATATGGACCAACTGGTGTCATACATGGGCGAGCTGATGGGCGTAGTGATTCTCCACGTGATGCGGGGCTTCGGACCGCTGCCCCAGGCGCCAAAGAGCGACTTCGAAAACGGCATGAGCTACGGAGTTGCTCGTTCCAACGAAGAAGACGGTGCCGCGGACGGCTCTGCGGGCACGGATGGCGGGAATGAAAGCGGGGCGAGTACGGTTCAGAGGAGAGCTCGGCGGCTGGTGGAGGTCCTGGAGGAAGAAGATCTTTCGAAACCATCGGAGGCCGCCGATATCTCACGCCTTTACTGCCAAATCAACGACCGAGCGAGGCAATGGGACACCGGAGAGCTCTGGCTTTCGGTGAACGACATGGCTCGCCGCCCTTCGAGAGATACCCTGGCGGTGATGGCGAACCAGTGGCACCCTGACCCGCCACCAGGCTGGGACGAGTCGGACAGCAGCGAGGGCCGGTCGCTGCCGAACAGCAGCGGAGCGCAGCGAGCAGAGAGATCGTCAAGCGACATTAGCGACGACTCCCTCGTGCCGGACCCGGCAGCAACAAAACGCGACGGTGTCGGCGCGCAAGACGGAGATGAGCCCGGCACCGACCTTGACACGATCGGGGCGGCTCTCCTCGGCCAGCCCCTCTTCAGCGACCCGTTGATGGAGGGGCGGGTGGACGAGGCAGGGGCGGCAGCGGCGGCGCGATCGTCCTTGGCGGACGGCGATGACGAGGGCGGCGGGCACTACTGGTCCCCCTGGCCGCAGCTCGTGGCCCTCGAGAGCAAGGCCGCGCAGAGGACCACCGTGGTGCCCACGCAGGGCCTCCGGAAGGCCTTGAACGTCCGGATCTTGGAGCAACCGCCACCTGTACCGGCGGCGGCGGCGGCGGGTAGCGACGACGGCAAAGGGGGGCGGTCCTCGGCCCCGCAGACCGCCTCGTATCTGGTGTGGGTGATGGACGTCGAGAGCGGGGCGGAGTGGAGGGTGCGTCGGTGCCACCCGGAGTTCTCCGAGCTCTGGGAGGTTTGCACCGGGATGAGGCCGAGCCTGGCGCGGTTGGACTTCCCGCCGTGGCTGCCGGACGTGAAGGAGACGGCCGGGGTAGTGGACGCCCGTAGACCGAGGTGCGTGTGTATGCATGGTGCTGGTGCTCACCGAAGGCGTGGATATTTATGCTATGAGGCAGAAGAGGGTGCTTTGGTGTTTGGGGGTGGGGATGCGCCCATGCCGTTGCCGAAATGATCGTTCTGTTTTTTGGTTCACGTCATACCGTGCGCAATGGTTTTTTTGTGAGGTTTCATCGTTTCTCGTCCTTTTCTTTTTGAGGGGCCGGCGTACTCTCAACTTCGGTAAGGCGTGTGTGTAGCTTCTTTACAGAATCTCAAGTTCCTTCTCTTGCTGGCGACGCAACAAAAATAGAGTGCTCAAGTACTGTATGCCTCTTGTCCAGTTAAACTCCGCCGCAAAAGCGATGTTTTGTACCTCAAAACAATACCAGTTTTACGAACTCCTCTGACGACCGACCTCCCCTCTCTCGATACCGACGTCTCCCGTGCCGCCGTAGGCTGGAGGCATATCTACAGCGGCTGTGCAGCCTCCTTTACATGGGACCGCTGCACCCCTCGTCGGCACACCTGGCGCACCTGCTGCAGGACTTCCTCGGCACGAGCCCGCGCGTAGAGACGCTCGGGCGGCTGCAGAGGAGCAGGCCAGAGAGGGAGCTCCGGCAGGCCCTGCAGGTGATGGGGGAAAGGGCACGGGTACGGGGAAGGGTTTGCAATCCGTGCTGGGTGTTTGAGAGTCGTCGGCATTCCCATTTGCCGCGCGTACGTCGAACGTACTTCTCACTTGAACCCTAAGAGTGCTTGGAGGTTTTGTTGTGCCACCAGGCAACGCGTGTCTGTTTTTTTTGCCGTAAATGTGTGGTATGTGCTTTTTTGGCCTGGGTGCTCCCCCGTGGCCGGGAGCTTGCGTGCGGGCAAGGGGAATGGGGACAGTATCTCCACACCAAAAGACACAGCCGATATCGTTAGTCGACATCAGCAACCACCTCAGCGGGTCGAACGGGTTTTCTCCTTTGCCGTTTCGCAGCGTTGACAGGTTGGTTCTTGGCTCGATGTCGCAGCTGTTATTCATGTACCGGTATTGTTTTACCGTACCCTTGTGCTTTTTGGCTGCACCTACGTTTTTCTTTTTTGACACATGCCGCAGGTTCGCGCGTGGCAGATGTTTCGACTCCCTCCGTTGGAGCGCGCGGTCGCCGATTTCGTCCGGGAGATTTGCGACAGCCCCGCCTCACGGAGCAAGAAGACCGTACCGGCAGAAGCGGTCCTGAAGAGATTGACGGACGTCATCGAGCACCTTCAGTACGTGGTTACTGAGGGCTGCTTCAACGAGCTTCGCGAAATGGTGCGTGCGTCTTCGCCGAAGGGGGAACTCCGACCGAACTTTTCATGGTTCTACTCTTTCCTCGTCCTTTTTCGTGCCGAGTCGCAGACACTCTGGTACTCGGCCCTTTTTTCGGGCGAGCACTGAAGCACTGAACAGACTCGCGAAAGAACTTATACAATCGGTGTTCGCTTCATCCAATTGTATTTATCATAACGGGGGTATTTTGCTTCATCCAATGATATGTATTTTTTCTTCCGGTTTTGAGGAGGACAAGTCTGCTACGTGTTTGACGTGTCGTTTTTCATGATGCTTTTTTTGTCTCGGGGTTTCCATCGAAAGGTTCGATCTTCCTCGGCGGTGACGACATCGGCTGGACGGGGGCACAGCAGTGGGAGGGGGTCCGAGGGAGGGGAGGGGGGCGGCAATGACCACCCGGAGCTGGCTAGCCTTGCAGAGGAGGACGAGGCGCTCGACCTTATCTCCGGCAGCGTGCGGCGGCAGGTGGAGGCCGAGGTTTTCGTGCCGGTGATGGGAAGGTGAAAAAGTTACCGTTTCGCGTATTTATTCTTTGGGTTTGTTCCTCGACGTCCCGTTGCAGACCTTGCGCGTTTAAGTTGGGGGTAGACTGATGGAGGTGCGCGTTGATTTCCATGGGCACTGAGTGCTGCATTTCCAAACTCCGGGATTGTCATTGTACGCTCGCCCAAACGGTGGGCCCCGACTTACCTTTTGAAAACCTTCACACACATGAGTTGTGCCGTAAACCGCGTCGCCCCATTTTGTCGCGTAATGTATGGATCGATCGACGGACGCACGTCCCCTCGAAAATGGCACTGCTCGAGGACGTCGCTGATCCTCGTTAACACCATGAGATGGCGTTGGTGTGCCCAAACTGTTCTATGTAGTGCACCCGGACGTTGGTAGATAGACTCTAGGGGTCGACAGTTTTCATCTTTCTCTCACTGAACCTTCGGACATGGTGTTAAGTACGATACATAGGTGAAATTGGCCCCGTATTTCGCGCACAACAGATCTCGAAATCGGCAACCTTGTTGCAGGACGGTTCCGACACACTCACGTTGGATGTTCGGGACTTTTCCACCATTCCCATTCGCCTCGCTCTCTACGCGCGTGCCGTGTGCGCTGATTTGATTGGTCGACGAATCATGCCGAAAACCCAAGAATCTACAAGAAACTAACGGAGGGCGCTACAGCCCGGCTGGAGAAGGCGGTAGTTCTCGGCGTGGAGGAAGCCAGGGGAAAGCCGCAAACCTACCACGGCGTCCCGACGAGCAACATATCTCCGAGCGGCTGGAGCAGTTCCATGAGGCTGCTGCAGACCGTGGGGTTGTTCACGCTCCCGTGCGACAAGGTGAGAAATGCAGGCGCCCATGGGGCAGAGAAGCGTACATGGCTACCATGTGGTTTTCCATGTGGGCGGAGGCGGATCGCCGCAGGGTGAACTTCTCCGTCGCCCCTGTTTACCTGCTGAGCAAGCGTAAACGCGCCGATCGCATAGGTTCTTCAGCTCTATCCTCGCCCTCATGCTCATCTCGATCGGCAGTTCGTACGCTTTTTCGTGGTTACGCCGCGAGTGTGGTAGCCACCCAGCGTTTAGTGTGGATATCCCGAATGCTCAGGGGGTGAGGGCGGGGGGTGTACTCATAGTCGTGCATTCCGTAGTCGTTAGACCATTGACCTCGCATCCCTACAAAGCCGGGACGGAGCACGCCGGGTTCTCACCGGACCAGGCTAGCACATCACCAAGCGCGAAGCGCTGTGAGGTATTGGGCGAGTCGCATGGAGGGTGCGCTGCATCCTACTAAGGGTGTTCGGCATCTTGTGCTTACTTCCTTGCGTACGGATGGCAGCTGCGAATGACTTAATCTATTTTCTGGTGCTTTCACTTCCAGAGACAGTTATGAGCACTGTGTAACTGCGTCGAGAGTGCTTGACCAATGTAACACAACGTGGTGCGATGATTCCCTTTTCGCGGAGTGAGGGTTCTCGACCCTGCACAACATGATCTACTCGATCACCAGAGGGCGCATGTTTCTTGCCTCTTCCTTTTGTGTACCCGCGTGGACCACGGAGTTAGCCCCAGTGAGAGAAACATGAAAATCTTGTGCAATAGCGGAGGCACACGACGTGCTGGTTTCGATTTTATTCCGTCGCTCCCTCTTTCCGACGCCGTGCTGCAGCTCGACGCTCTGATGGCGGTGGCTCACGATATCCCTGCGTTGCATCGAGTGGAACACCCCGGCGACAACGCCAGCAGCCTCGGTGCCGACGACTTCCTTCCAATTTTCATCTACGTTCTTGTCAACTCGAGGGTGGAGAATTTGGCGGCGCAGTCTGTCATCCTCGAGACTCTGTGCGACCCGAAAAAGATGATGGGGGAAGCAGGTGGGTCAGTGTACTTTTTTAGCGTGAAAGGTCGTAGACGAGTCGCGCACTCAAGTCCCGCCCTTTGGTGAACGCGTGCCTGGTATGTGTCAAGCATTGCCAGAAGCTCTTATGCGCTCGAACATGGATGGAGCAAACGACGTGTGTGTGTGTTTTGATTTTTGTCCGTGGGTGTGGGTGTGCTTTTTGGCCAAAGTGATGTCTGCGTCTGGGCCGCCTCTCCTCCTCGCATATTGACCTCCTCTGGCCCGCACCCCCCACCACCACTTGCCCTGCCTGTTTCCCCCTTGGTGTTGGCGGCTCCGTTGGGGTTTCCTTGTCGACACAGGCTTTTGTGTTGCGACGTTCTCGGCGGCGTTACAGCACCTTAGCCGCCAGGCTGAGGAAAGATCGCGAAGCAGGACCTTCTCGAGCTTTCTCGGACGACGGTAGATGAAATGGTGTCCTCCGCTTGGCTGCAATCAGCGTCGCGGTGGTTTTGTGATGGTGTGTTTTTTGCGTGTTTACGAGACCTGCGCCTTGGCGTCGTGTTGTGGATGTTGTGGTGGCTGGAGGCTGGACGAGAGCTGCTGAGCAAGAACAGCAGTGTTTCTATCCTTTTCTTGGAACACTAGAGCTTGGCTCAGTTTTCGGCCCTGTATATTGCGCGCTGCCTGCGACGACTTCGGCTCGTAGGAAGAGTAACGGTGACGTGTGTTTGCTTGGGGTATCGTGTTACGGACATGATTTTCTTGTATTTTTGTTGGTGCTCTGCCTTGAAAAAGTTAACTTCGTATGTTGTATCTACAGCTGTGCCGGTTTGGTTAGAGTCAGCCTTCTGTGTGCCGAGTGCCATGCGCATTGTGCGGCTATGTAGTCGAGATATTGAACTCCATGTACAGCGGAAAAAGTAAGACATCCATCCAAAGTATACTCGGAGTACTGCTGTACGTACGTTACAACCGCTCATGGAGGGCGGTTGTCGATTTTGGTGCATGTCGTAATATGTACGCGCTGGGATCCCCGGTGCCGTGCGATATTGATCATGTGTCGCTGTGCTTAGGTCACACCCGGGCCTGCGAGATCGCGCCTTACTAGCTTAGGTCACACCCGGGCCTGCGAGATGCCCGTCATCTGGCTCTGGGTTCGTCGAACAACAACAGGGCACCTCTTGCGTTGAAGTTACAAACTGAGCCTGCGATGGTAACCATGGAAAGTTTCTCTGTGCCGAGGCGCACGTTTGTGTGTGAACGAGTGTGAGCCCCAGAAGTGAAACGAAGCAACGGACAAAAACCTTGCATATCACCATCCACCGAATCTCACCGTTCCGTGTCACTGCTGTGTACAACGCCCGCCATGGCCTCGGTAGCCTGTGCACCTGTGGCCTACGGCTGTGTGCCGTGAAGGCTGACATTGGTCACGTACGTTGCGGCATCCCCGTAGATGCACTTGTGCACACCACATTTACATAAGAGACAACATCTCCTGGCGCACCCAGGTGTATCGAAATGCATACTCGAGTACATGCTGCAGTACACCGCAACAAGGCCAGTGGAAGAGGCAGGATGTGGTGTGAAAGCGGAAAGCGGAGGAATTACAGAGCACTACGCTGTTCATCGAGCATTCTTCGCTCCAAGAAAATTTCTGCGCGTCGTCACCAATACCAACCGAAGAAAAAAATACCATAAAATACACGCTGCCTTCCTTGCGCGCGCATGTCGAACACAGCACATGCCACCCCTTGCTCTCTTTGCCAACCCCAGGCGCATATCGGCATGAGTGACCACCCCAGCACCGCGCCCGCCGGGGAGAAGGTTGGTCTCGCCAAGAAGCTCGCGAACGCCGTGCTGTTGTCTACGGGGATAGGTCTGTGTTCGATTCTGGCACTCTATGTTGCCTTGATGCTGAACGACGTGCCAGAGTGGGGGGCGATGACTAGGGAGGTCATGATTGAGACAGAGATGAAAAACATCGACAGGCTCGCCCTCGCCAAGGCTGAACACACAGGCGAGATTTACGCTCGGGTAAAGGAGAACCTCCTGCTGCTTCAAGCCGTGGGAGAACAGATCCTCCTGACGGAGCCTGAGACGGTGGTGGTCGATGACTACGTCAAGAGCTTCTCAGGCCTTCAACAGCAAGCGGCGGACGACTGGAATCACAGCACTTGGTGAGGCCCGTAATCGAACCGCCTTTTCAACACGCTGTTTGAGTTTGAGCAAGGATTCTTGCTTGGCCCTATGCAAGAATTCAGCAATACTCATCGTATTGACCGATCGTGTACCATGGCAGCGTGTTCGAGGCAAGTCTAGTCATGTAGACTATTGTACTGCTGTCCAACTTTTTTTTTCGACGAAAAAACAGAAAAACAAGACAACGCCTGGGGAACAAGATGAACACAACTTTGTACTTCCTTCTGTAGAGCCCTTTGCATATGCATTGTACTGTGTACAGAAATACTTCCTGTCCATACAGGGGAAATATCACCGTATGCTGCTCGGGGAGTCGTAGAAACGCAGGTGGTGTGTCCGCTGATAACGCTATGGATGCATTGCTAACATATCTCCGACTCTTACAGAGATGAATAGTACTGGTATAATAGTTGTGTTTTCGTTCAAAAAAAAACGCGACGAATTTGCACATAAATTTATAGTACCGACATTAGAAGGTACTGAGTACTGAGTGGAGATACCGGGAACGGTTTTTTAATGTGAAGACAACGACAACAATAACAACATGCTACGGTCGTCACTCGTCTGGGATAAACTGAGTGTGGCATTACCTCGAACGGGTACATAGTATTCAGTCGTTGCGCATGTTATTTTGTATTTTCTGGTATTTATGAGCAATGGACTCGTACAATAGCGTAGTGGATACACGTACCTGGTGTTTCTACGATTGATTCCCCTATGGCAGCATTCACTACGGTGGTCCCGATATATGAGGCATGTGGGGGCAAAGAGCAAAATGTACCACTATTCAGGGCAGTGCCACTTTTCGATATATCGGGTTCTGTACATTTTGAGATTGTGACAAGAGATTTTGATGCCACTATCCATATCGGGCATTTCACTGTTCAGGGTGCCACTATATCGGGACCACTACAATGCACTACCCCCCTCCCCTTGTGTGTAACAGACTCAGCACGATTATGCACACATGCTTGTATAAAGAAGGAGTCAAGGTGTCCTCTAAACGTTCCTGGGATCTGGATCAGCACTTACATCTCACTGTGGGTAACTACACACCGTGACCGCGAGAAAACGACACCCACAGTCAATCATTAGTTTGATGCTTTTGTTGTTTTGTTGGTTGTGGCTTCTAAAAGTGCCGCGGAAGCCTCCTTTGATCTGTGGATCTATTCTTGAAAACTCGTTCTGGATGCGTGTCTTGAAGGAGAAGATATCGACAGCAGTAGACTACGTTGTAGTAGATCGACAACATAGACTATGCTATTTCAGAGGACCTCTCGCTACTACATGCCTCCTGGGAAGCACATGTTCGCAATATGATTGAAAACAAGGCCTCATATGTTGCTACAGGGTACGATAGTGTACTTGTAGGGTCTGTCTGTGCTCAAACAACTGATTGACCATATCGCTGGTCAGCTCAACACTGCATACGACCCAAGACTACACACCCCGGCGTGTCTTTGGCTTCTAATAAGACAATGATCACCGGGTGATTATTTTTGGTAGCGTGGGGTGTGTGGAATCTCATGTTGCCCTATTGTTCCGGGCTCTTGTTGACCAGAGGTAAAAGTGCTCCACCGGGGGTGGGTAATATCACCGAGGGTTTCTCTGTGGATGTGATGTCGGTGTCGTGTACGTTAGGTACGTACAGACAGCGGGAGCCCACGACTACCGTTTGTTGATGCGGGTTACGCTTTTCGACACGTCGTGACCCCGTAAACAACGATACTTGAGCGTCGGTCGGGATCACACAACATTTCTCTCCATCGCAAAGGTTAAGGTTCCAGTGAAGCTAAGTTCGCTAATGCGCCGCTGCAGCTGGCCATCGAACAGTTGCCGCGTATTCTTAGCCTGCGTAGAGTACTCCTCCGTGCGATTGATCAACCTCCCGGTGAACGCCCCCATATCTCGCGCTCTCGTCTGGTACTTTCGTCGGAACTATGAAACATCCTATAGGTTCATCACCGGCTTCAATTCCAGCACAGACTTGCCGGCCGCCGGCAGCTCGCTTGATGGCCTCCTCAATCGAACCGCTCTGATGGACGTTCCTTTTCGAGGGATGCAAAGGCAGCAGAAGCTGGCATATCTGGCCGCCTTGGACAACCCTTCACTGCCGGACGACCCAGATGAATCCGCCAACTTCCAAGCCTATCCTGCTTTCGACATGTTGGAAGCAGGGTTACCTACGTATAATAACCAGGTCTATTTATGGGAATGGTGGTTCATGTTGTGCTTTCGTATTGAAGGAAACGGAGAAGGGTCAATTCTTCGCGAAGGTCGAAAATGTGTGCTGAACGTTTGGCAGAAGGTTCCTCCTGACGAAATGATGACCGCGTCCCCCAAAGAAAATGCTGCTCTTGGTAGGGCGACTTTTAAAGCAAACACCACAAATCACTTCGAGTCGAGGTCAAGTTTTCTTTTTGGCCACCAGCTTGAAATACAGATGCAGCCGCAAGCGTTCAACTAGCTCGCTGCTCATGATGTAAGACCCGTCGTGTGCGGCGACGCAAGTGTTCCCCTTTGACGAAAGCCGGGGCCTACCAAGGACCAGTTCATTTTACAGCCTACTGATGAAGTCATGTCAAACCCTTCACGCTTCGTGTCCCAACAACTGCCCCTCGTTCATCCCTTCCTTGCTTTTTGTTTGCAGGAAGACTGCGATGATCGATTCGACACCGGGGACGCTGACTTTTTGCCAGCCACGTTCGATCCCCGATGTAGGGTGTGGTTCCAAGATGCGCGAGAGTCCAACGGTCCTATCTTCACTGACCCCTACCAGGTGCGCTTTGAGATTTCCATCAACCAACTCACTCTAGGCATGAACGTTGCATCTAAGGTAGTCGAGTCTCACTGGGAGAGGAAAAGAGATACTTGGCTGTCACACATGATGAAACTGTAATGCGAGAAGCACACGCGAACGGTTTCGGGCGTCGTGGAAGGAAAAAAGGATATCATATTGCACCCCGCCATGGTTACGTGGCTTATCCTTGACGATCTTTTACCTGTTGGGCACACAAAGTAAGTCCAGCAGGATTGTGTGGTGCCCACATAACTAGCACAGACACCACTGCATGCTTCTCTCTCTGTTCATACCCAGGACTGGGAGACGGGGCTGCTCACCGTGACACCTGCCGCTCCCGTGTACGATGCTAACGGCACCACCCTGCTGGGTGTCGTCGGCATCGACATGAATTTCTCAGTCATCCGGGAATCCGTCCTCAGCTTGCGAATCGTCGAAGAAGATGGGTACGCCTACATCCTCACTCCGACGGGTGACGGGGTTGTCGTTCACCCCGATCTGGAGCTGGACGACGTCCAGAACATTCTTGAACTCGAGGATGGTGTTGATGAGGACGAATTCAGCGCCCTGGTAACTCGTATGACGGAAAATTGTGATGGCACAGCGAGCTACCAGAAGAACGGCGGGACGTGGCTCCTTTCTTGGGAGCATGAGACAATCAGCGGTTCGGGCACTGGCAACAGCAGTTCCGACGGTGGAGTGTTGTCGGTGTGCTCGACTGGCGGCTTTATTATTGTCGTCACGGTCAGCGAGGCTGCTCTTTTGGGGGTGAGAGAGATGGGTGGATGCGCGATTGAATTTTCGCTAAGAACAATATGGGGTACGGTGGGTTGGTGCCTGTGTTTCCTTTGCCGAACAGGAGCATATTGCCATGAAAACGAGGGGGTGCTAAGAGCGACTCGTTTTCTGGAAGGGTGCGGCGGCGACTAACCCCGCGTACATGGGATGATGAACCATTGTAGCCCCGAGAGATAAAAAAGTAGAACTTACGTACCTCGTTTCCCGAGTACTATCTACATGATGCCGCGAGTTCGAAACGCAAATTGAGCGACAGGGCTGTCGTCTTCGATTAAACGTCATCACATTGCTTTCGGAACAGAAACTGGCTCTAGTATAATTCCTTCTTGATTTCTTGCTGCCGTGTGGTTGTTGTTCCCACAGGTGTTTTCTGAGACAGAGTCAGACATCCGACAAATGGTCATGGTGGCAAGCATCATCATGGCCATAGTCATGGGTGCAATCGCCTGTATTACGATAAGGCTGGCTCGTTCTCTCTCCAAGGGTCTCACCAATCCTGTAAACCAGCTTGTGGACATCGTGAGACAACTCAACAACCTGGACTTTTCCCGGGAGGTGCGCTGGGATGGCCTTGCTACTAGCGAGCACATTTTACACTTCCAGCTCGAAGCGTTCAAACAGTTGCCAATATCACCATGATGCTGTTGTTGTTTGTCAGCCCTAACCCTCTCTCTAGCACAACCTCCTCATCATAATCATACAGCAAGTAATCGAATTTCCTTAGTCCCAACCTACCCCAATCCTACAAAGGGGTATACAACAACCCCCAACAAGTCCCACCCCTCGCTCAAAAACGAAGCAAGATGTCAATCCCAGAGATGCAATCGGCAGCGTAGGCCAAGGCATATAAAAGGCGCAACGGCCGAAGTCGATCCATCACTGCGACTCGGAAGCTGAGTTATTTATTTATTGGTATATACTAGTAGGTCCAGCTCATTGTGAGGAGGGCATGTCGGCATATTTGTTTTGTGCATATTTTGACACGGAAAGGTCTTCTCACATCAAGGACGTGAGGTTCGCCTGATTGGCGGCAAAAACGGACCATGAACGCTCTCTGATGTCGTTCGGGCGCTCGGACGCACTTTTCGTTTTCGTTTCCAATGCTATTCTTGCCGTATGATTGAAGAACCATGATGAACAACAGGCCCTGCGTATCAAGGATTCCGCAAGGGTTCCGCCAGAGACCGCGAAAGAAAACCGCATGCACTTTGTCATCATCGCACAGCATTAGCATGCACATTTGTCCTGAATATATGAGCTTCAGCCCTTCGTGTTCCCGCGTACAAACCACAAACATGTGGTTGGATTCGGTTGCATAGGATGCCGGACGGTGGATGTTTAACGAAAGCAGCTGCCCAGAGGTAGAAGAGCTAATGGACGCCTTCAAAACTATGACAACCGTGGTCAAGTTTGCGAACGAGCCCCTCGAGAGCGGGGACGTTGATGCGGCGCAACAGAACAACATGGGAGCGCTCACCTTGTTCAAGAAACTCAAGAATGCGCGCGGGGTGAGCTGAGATTTTTCTGCAAAGAAGTTACTTTTGTGGGTCTCTTGAAAGGAAGGAAGACCGGGCACAAGATGTTGGGAGACAACCTCAGAATGTTTCTCGGGGTTGCAACCGAGCGCTTGCTATTTGAGCACTCCTCCCGTGTCTGGAGGAGCAGATAAAACATGGGAGATCCTCGTAATACCTTCGCTCAAACATTGTGCGCGGCACTCCCTCGGAAGGAGCACAGCTAGGCCTCGAAGTATTGAAACAGTCCGTACAGGTATCATTTTTTTCGATTGCGACATCGAGTGGTTCTGTCGCCGGCCGACCTTCTCGACCCTCGCGAACGGTTTCGGTTTCTTGGGACTGGCTGACGAACAAAGTCCACTGCCAACCTCTTTGCACACGCTTTCAGCTACGACCGTGCTGTTTCCATTACTACAGGTGGCGATAGTGAACAACAACATGGGAAACGTCTACACGTTGCAGGCAAAAGTCCTTTCGGAAAAGGCTGGCACGCAGCGGGAAAACAAACACCCTGCTGCCGCCGATAAAACGATGCGGCAGGCCGACGAGAAATTCCAAGATGCTGTCATCAGCTTTCGGCTGGCAATCGAAGACGCCGAAATGCTCATTTCGTGGACACACCAAAATAAACCTCGTCTGGCAGATGTTCAGAATTCGGCCCCTCTGCGTCTTGCCACAACCGCCCTAGCGGGAGAAAATCAAGAGAAAATCGAGCAAGAGCACAAAGCCGGCGAGGTTTCTCGAGTAGAATCTCTCGACATTGAGGCCCAGGACGATTCAAAACACAGCTACACGGATGACGAAAACGACGACGACGACGACGACAGCGACGCCGCAGAGGGGCCTGAGTCTGTCTCAGCACTCAAGCTTCAGCTGGCGAACCGCAAGTTTAACCTTGCTCTTTGCCTGGCGGCCAAGGCGACCGGTGACGGCGACCGCCTTCGCGGGGACAACGAAGAAGCAACCCGGGAGAGCGAGGAGGCTCGCAGGCTAATGCGTGAGTGCGAGGACCTCGCGGCCGAGCGAGACGACGCAATCGGCACCGAGCGTCAAGTGGAGTACCTGCTCGCGCTCGCCGCGCTTGAACTCTCTCTGCTGGACCGCAAACACGAAGCCATCCAGGCGCTAGAGAGAGCAGAAACGATCATCGACGCTGCGTGCAGTCAACCATCCCCTGTTATAGGCACGCTTGCCGCCGCAGCTGCAACTGAGGCTCGTGCTGCTCCACCGGCGGTGTTGAAGTGCCGACTGCTGACCGCGCGAGGGGAAGAGCGTCTCGCCGCCGGAGACGCCGAGGCCGCCGTCCGGTTCTGGACTGAGGCGGTCGTCGGTGGTGACGTTATGGACCCAGCTGCTGTTCGACAGTCATTGGTCGGCCTTCAGGCGCACTTGTGCAGCGTAGATAGCGGTCAAGAGCTCAGTCCATACACGGAAGCTCTGGCACGTGGTTTGGGTCTGGCGAGCGAAGAGGAGGGAGACGCTAAAGGGGTGGTCGTTTCAAACGCGGAGCTGACGGGGGCAATCCAAGCAGAGGTGAAAAGGATGGGCGGGGCGGCGTTTCAGGTGTCGAGGAGCCCTGCTGTCAAGGTGGACTTGTGCTTCGTCATGGACTGCACGGGATCGGTGAGCGGGAAAGAAGTAGTACAGTATGGCGCACGGCGCCAAGCAGGTCCAGCCACGAGGAGGTTTGCTGTGTCTTTCGACCGTCGCCAAAAAACGAAGTAAAATATAGGCGGCGGTCAGGGATTTCTTTGGAAAATCTACATCCGCGCGGCTATCCACTCTCACTTGTAGTAATGCTGTCGCTGCCCCCCGGTCACACGGCATATCTCTCTGACGCCATGTTCCTCACATTTACAACCGCACGTGCGCCGCGCAGATGGGTAGCTGGATCAACCAAGCAAAGAAGAAGCTTTTCGCCATCATCGAGCAGACGAAGAAGGACATTGCGAACCTCGAACTGCGTGTTGCGTTTGTCGGGTACGTTCCACCGGTTCCTCAAACGCACCGTAGTCGTTGTGGTGTATGATATTGTTTTGTCGTCCGCACCGACTCGCGCTGTCGTTGGTGGGAAGCTTAAGAATGCGAAAAAAATGCTTGTGACAGCTAGTTAGGTTGAGGAATGCAGACTAACCTCCAGCGCGTTCGTTTCCGCGGAGCCAGGTACCGGGACTTTGAGGGCCACGACAATCAATACGAGGGGCCCTACGATTTTCACTCCGAGGAGCAACTTCCCCAGCTAGAAGCCAAGCTCAAGAAGATCAGCGCCGGCGGAGGTACGTAGCGCTTGCTGAGTAGATAGACGGAATGCCGATGGCTTTGTTGGAGGGACAGACGGCTAAAGAGGTTTGACATTCTCTGTAGCTCACGGAAGGAATAAATGGACCCTACCTCCGTGCATCGATCATACTGCCGTGTCATCCGCATCTCGCATCCACTTATCGTTACGCTTGGATTATTGTGGCAAGTTCACCGTACATGACCCTCGGGGATTTCTGCTGAGGCAAATATTCGAAAACCTGCGCACACAAGCGAATGCGCATATTAGTGCGATTGGTTCCATGTTCTGCGTGCTTTGCTCAGCATCTTGTCTGTGAAAAGCCTTCCCGCGCGAACGCAGAAAGCGACCAAATTAATGTTGCTTGACCGCCGGTTCCCTCCCTGGGGTCGTCGTGCATGCATTCGTGGCGAACGGTGCAGGATGTGGATATGTCGCTGACGTCGCCGGCGGATTGAAGCACGCGACCACACTGTCGTGGAGCAGTCCGGTGCGTCTGTGCATCCTTTTCGCCGACGCCCCCTGCCACGGGAAAATGTATCACGACGTCCCCGATCAATACCCGAAGGGCTGCCCGAAGGGCGTGGACCCATCGAACATGATCTACCAGCTACATAAGCTCGGCGTGGACTTTTATTTTATCCGGATTGCTCAAGTCACCGACAAAATGGTCGACATCTTCCAGAGCAGCGTTCGGCAGATGGCGGTGAAGCATGAACGAAAGAGCAGCCCAAGCCCCAACTCCAGCAACACCAACCGCCCGAAGTTCGTGGTGCACAACCTCGGGAGCGACGACAACAGCTTCGTGGACACGGTCGTCGAAAGCGTCGTTGGCAGCACCGGTATCAACCTTCGCATGGAGAAATACTCGTGAAAAGCCGACGTATGTTTTACAGTGCATTCTCTCGCGTCCACGTAAAAAAATCTCTCTTCGTTGAATTTTACTGTACATAGTTGACGAACAGTGAGGTAGCTGTATGAAAAATGAATGGTAGTCGAGTGGATAGGCATTTTCGCGGCAAAATATGCCTGGTATAAGCAACGACTCAACGCGACGTTTCAGTTTCCCTCATTAGATTCCTTGGATTTAGAGGTGATCGATGTGAAAATCCACCTACTGGGTTGAACAGGTTGGCCGCACTGCATTTGAAAGCAATACCAAAGCATGACGTGTGCAACCACATGTTTGTATGCATAACCTTTAGACCCCAATCCAAAAGCCTCCTTGGGAATAGTGGGAGCACTCGTCGTTCACGATTCAAATTTGGTGGGCACCATGTACATATTCGTATTTGTTGTGCTGGGTTTACATCGTTCCCCCTCGGAAACCCATCACGTGTGTTCGGCTGACAGAGTCGGGCGCGGTAGGTCACCGGGAGAAGTGTTTTACCGGCGGTAAGGGGTAGGCGTTCGAGGGCGTGTAGTCTGGTAAAAGAACATCGTTTGCAATCGTTTTTGTCGGAGCAACTATTGATGTAAGAAATGGGTCCATGTAGTGAACATTAGGAGGCAAAGAGCGCACAGTAGGGCATGGGAAGAAAACCGGAAAATGGAAAACATATAGTGCGGGCGCTGCGACTTTTTTTCGCGTGAGCAACTCCTGAGGACCAAATACAAACAGGACAATACCCACCAGAAGCTGTGACGGTGCCGTTCCAGCCCTTTCGAACACGCGAACCACGTGTACATGGAACAAAAAAGTTGGCGAGAAACTAGTAGACTGGCTGGAATATAATACGATAGTTGCGCAGCCTAAACGGCAGGAATTATGGACAGAGGAAACGTCGTGGGCGTAAGTAGCACAACCCCGCCGGGGGCTATGACGTATCTCCTCTTTACTTCATTTTTTAGTTGATCTCTGGCGTGAGCACGCCATCTGCTCTGACACGGCCATCCTGGTGTCGTAACTCGGCGGTCTGGGCGTGCCATTGTCCTACCACTCCGATCACCAGTGGTGCCTGAGGTGGTGTGGGTGGCGACCCCTCGTCGGCTGCTTCTCCGGCACCCGCACCAGGAAAGTCTCTGTGTTTTTTCTCCGATGCCGTCAGACCAAAGACTCCAAACACTTCCACGACGATGATGGTCATCATCCTCTTCAGCCCTCTCGATTATCTCGATACGGAGCCAGCAGCGTCGTTCGTTGTGTAGAAACATTTAGCATTCCCCAACCTCCCGCCGTACTTGTTCCAGCGGTGTCGCTGCCTTCGCCCCAGGCTCCTCCTCGACGTAATAAACCAGATGCTTGAGTATGCGGTGGATCGCACAACAAGAGAACGATCTCGATCGCCGCGGCTAAGGTTGCGCAGTGGCGGAGACGGGACACATCAACCTTGTCGCCGTCCCTGTGTGGCTCGAACCAGTCCGAGAGCTCCCCGTCATCCGTGCGTACCCGGGCTTACATGCCGTCGTGAATTGGTGGGTAACCAAGAACTAACTGCTGTGATCTCTTATATTTTCTCCGGGACCCCAGCTAGATCCAGAGTGTGCTTTCGCCACAGCAGCTCTCGATCGACCGAGTCGAGTGTGCTTTCGCCACAGCAGCTCTCGATCGACCGAGTCGAGGGCCTGGAAATCGGCGGAGAGCATGTACAGCGGTATTCCACGCCACCGCCCCATCCCCTGGAGGTTGGCGCACTACTAACTGTATGTCGACGGTGGATCGATCAGGCCGGAAGCCGTACTGCTCATCCGGGAAGATGTCGTGCTTTGCAGTAGTCTCTGAGACAACTAGCGACGATGTTCAGGCGCATTTATTTCGCCTGCGTGCGAGAAGAGACAGGTGATCCCCGGTCGTTGTTACCGTTGGATCGGTCTGGCTTCTTGTAGAGCACCTTGATGGTGGCGACTTTCCATGTCATGGTCCTTCCCCCTCCGTTTCAAACAGGTGGACAAGGATGGCGTGAAACATTCGACAACGATGCTCACCGTCTGCGCTGTCGATGTTGGAGCTTTCTTTACAGGTGTATAGGGCGTGATGCCAGGCACCAGTCGTGGATCCCCCGTGCGTGCTGCCATCATTCTAGTCTCCTCCGGTGTTGGTGTCGACCCTAGGTGCACCAAACCTCTGGTGGCTGGTGCCGTCCGTCGTTGCTTTACGTCCTCCACATGAAGGATGGTTCAACGTGGGGTCTTTCTCTTGAGAGCCAGGCGGCACCGCTCTCCCACCGTTGGAGTATTAATTATGTCCCTTTTGTTCCTATCCGCAGGACAAACAACATGATGATCGAACTGCTGCCCCCACGCCTGCTTCCCATCAAGGCCTATCGATCTCTTGACATGATTGTACAGTCCTCTCATGTCGCGCCCCTGTAGTTTGTAGATATACTGCTGTATACAGCAGTAATAATACAGTAGATCGCTTCCACAGTCTTCACATCAAGAACGGCGCCTTCCAACAACGTCATGTGCGCCGACTTGCCCCGCGTGCAGCGCCAAAGCACTTCGTCTGCGGAAAATTGTGCGCCAGCGCAACGCCGGAACAACTGTTTTCAACCCTGTTATGACGACCAACTCGTTCTTTCTGGCACGATGCGATGCTACGATGCCGACGTGATGTCAAAAGCCGAAAGCAGGGGGTCGGATCTGCGGAGTGCGGCGGAATTGGGCGAACGGCAAGGGGCTCCGCATGCATCGAACACGCCCCCCCCCCGCCCTATCAGCTATCGAGTAAGAACGTGAGCAGACAGACAGACACCCCACACCAGTGACAGACAGTGACAGACACAGCAGTGACAGCCGGCACGCAGAGCGCAGAGACAAGAGAGGATTTGGTGAGGAATTTCCTCTTCTAGAGCTGAGGGTGTGTGTGCGTGCGTGCGTGCTCACAGGAACAGAAAACTCCGCCATTTGCCCCGCAGACTGCGCCTCACGTGACACACCAGCGCCGAGGCGGCGGAAATACACCAGAACCTCTCTCTCCGCTTCTGGGGGGCATGCCAGTAGGGGACCAGCAGAGCAGGACAGTCCTCGCAACACCATACTTCAAAGGAGACAAGCGCGTCCTCTTTGCGTAGTTGGACGAGCGACTGTGGAAGATGTTCGACATGCTAGCATCCAAGATTGGCGAGGCGCAAGCTTTTGCGGATGGTCTGGTGAACCTCGATGTTATCAACATGGACAGGTGATGGCTACTGCTGGTGTTGTAAGGCATCTGCATCGAGCGGTGCGCCATCCAGCTCACACAGCAGTAACATTACATCGCCAATCGTCGCACAGTTGCCTCTTGTAGAATCCTGCTGGGTTTTCGATGTGCCGTCCCTGAAATTTAGGACTGAAGCCACCGAACGCCGAACTCCCTTGGCTCCGTGTAGTGAACCACAGAAATCCCCTGGAATTTTTCAGGGTACAGCAGTACAGTGTACATGTACACCTCGGGAAAATTCCCGCCGTTTTTTTCCCGTCGTGGTGGGCGGTCCCGGTACTGGCGGTAATTACCGCCACATTCGGTGGTACAGCCCAAAAAGTACCGCCATATTGCAGTACCGCCGAAGAAGTACCGCCAAAAAACGAAGTACCGGGAACCGCCTAAAAAGAACCGCCATATTTCAGTACCGCCAGAAAAGTACCGCCATAATTGGTAGTACCGGAAACCGCCAAAGGCGGTACCACCGGAAAACCAAATGCCGGCTACAGCCAAAAAAGTACCTCCACATTGAAGTACCGCCCCGCCTGAATCCGCCTAAGAAATTAGTACCGAGGTGTACCCTGGAAATTTTCGACATCGTATAACGTGAATTTGGACAAGTCAAGGAGGGCATGCCCCAATTCGCTACGACGGCAACATTCTTGTAGTATTCGGTGCAATCAGGGAACTCTCGTCGTGTGCGACCGTAGTCATTTTGTACATACGGAAGCGGGATACCAGAATGTGTCGACAGCAATACGGTGGCATCATCGGTATGCACTCGCTTCCTGTATACCTATGTAGCGCCATCCGCTACCATTCGGAACGGAATTTTCAGCACAATTTCCCGCATCCCTTCACCTCTGACACCCACCCCCTCTTGTCAAATTTCGTGTCCCGCGACGCGTGTACCGCCCGACAAACTTACCACGCTTTTCAGATTGCTGGAGGAGCAGGAGAGGGAGGAGAGGTCCAAAGAAGAATCGCTCCGGCTTCTGAGAAGCTCGGAAGAGACGACCGATGCGTCTTCCTCCCAGGACTCTTCGGGCACGAGCACCACGGCGGCAACAGCGGGGAGGTCTGAGAGGGAGGCCAACAGCCTTGGTAGCGTGGGCGCGCTCGGTGATATTGAGATCCCGCAGCTCCGTCAAGAAGATAATGCGGAACTTCGCAGTCACCCGTCGCCGAGGGGTAGCACGAGCGAGCACAGCAGTTTCGGCGATAGGTTTGCCTCAATGGAGGATGGCGGGGTAAACTTCGAGGACGAGTTCGACCCCATCTTGGCGTCGATACGGAAACCGCAGCAACCGCCGGCGAGCACGACAGCTGCGGCGAGCAGTATGTCGCCGAGAGGTCGTCCTGCGGCGACGACAGCAGCGGCGCCCCCGTCCGGCAGAGAGAGAGGACGAGAGGCAAACGACGCGGGAAGGCCCACCACCGGATCCTCCCTCGCAGCAGGCTTCTTGTCCATGCTCCCGGGGGACATGCGGGCGAAAGCCGGGGAAGTGATGGCGCAGTCTAGCGCACGTATCTCCGAGTCTGCGAACGCGTTTCGGTCTGCTTTAGGCCCCGGCGGCGCGGCGCAATCAGCGACCGATAAGTCGAAGAGGAGACAGTCAGACCATACCTGCCGCGGCGTAGATGGCGGTGATCACGAGCTTGAGGAGGGAAGAGGAGACGAGGACGATGTGCGGCTGATGAACGTGAACGAAGTGCTGAGCGAGGAGGAGGTGAGGGTAGTGACAAGGGACGGGATGTAGCGGTTTGTCTCTCTGCTGCAAGTGCGGCACACTCGAAGTGTAGCTTGGTGTTGGAGGTAGAACCATGAGCTGCAACAATCTATGGAATGCGCTGCGTGATTGGCTTGCAGAACCATAACGCGATTTGAACCGTATGAAGTCATTGAAAGTCAGAACACCTGCAAGTCCATGTTGCGGCATCGTACGGGTACGGTAAGGCTCGAACCAACGTTGACCAGAAACAGTGTTGCTCAAAGCCCCCACAGTTTAACGGTGTGGGATTTCATGCGTGTACCGTAGCGCGCCGAAGTCGCGCTTTGGGCAAGATGCACCATGGCAGCTGCAGCTGGACCCGCAAAAGAATGATCAAAGGTCTCCGCGGGGAACACAGATGATTGCCCCATACGTTCATGTACTCCAATTGTCTGCAGACGAAAAAGTCTTCAGGTGATAATTCTGCACATGGCCTGAAACACATGCCAGCGAGCGGTGAACCTGTCGATCATTGGATCGGGCCTGAACACCTGCGGTTGTGGTTGCCCGTCGCACGTGGCCTACAACGTTGTTGAGCGCTCACTCATTTCGGCTGGCTACTGCCGGTGGAATGGAAAACGTGTCCACGCTGGCTTGCTATCTCTTTGATTGTGCCACGACTATCGTGGAGCATGTCTCGTGGTGCACTCAACCGTTCGCCCCCCTGTATTGCTCTTCCACGCTCCGCCAATCCCAGAGACAACAACTCGCATCTTTTGCGGGGGGCGCTGGGGCAGGGAGATTTTGTGGATGGAGGAGGCTCCGAAAATACGTTCCTGTGTTTGTTGGTGAGCGGAAGGTGCCTTTTTGTATGTCTGATGGTACTGTATCCCCCTCAGAACCAATCACAACGTTTCACCCGTCGATCGTTGGCTTCTGAAATGTTTTTCTGGCAGATGCATTCGTGTTGCTTTTATTTTGCTCTCTGGATCAGACTCGGCGCGCTCTCCATACACCAGTAGTCATTTCAATCCTCCGGTCCTCCCCTGGTTGTGTACCGCATCACAGGCATCGGGCTACTGGGCTTGTTGTACCTCTGGAGATGGACCACGTTGCTTGTAGGCAAGGATACCGCGAACGAAGTCAAGGTGTTGGGCTCGGAAAGGATGTGACCACTTGTCCATTCATGTTACAACGATTGCCGGGAAGTACTTGTGTTGAAGCTCGTTCCGGCTTTCATGTTTTGTGCGTCGGGATTCGATTTATCATTGGATCGGATGTATATACATGGTTGGCACTGATGCCGTTGAGAGCACCTCGTGAAAGCACCAATATTTCGAGACTCTCTCGCGGTTTTTTCCCTCTCTGCCGCAAAGGCGTGCTTCGAAGTCGCGAGGAGGGAGGATGGGTGTGAAGCTGCCGCCGCTGCTTTTCTTGTACCGTTTCTCAAGTTAATGCACAGCGTAGGGCAGGGTCACTCACCATCGAAGTTGAGCTATATGTTGACCAGGCGAACGGATTAATTATTGTTTGGCCCACAACAGGAGTTACGAATGTTGATACCAATGCTCACGGGTGTGTCTGGCAGGAATTTTCCGAGTGTCAGTGTTCTAGTCTTATTTAGCTGCGCTGGCGAACGGGAGGAAGGAAACAAAGCCACGTCTCTATAGTTCTGCGATTGTTTCCCCCTGGAATCATTTGTTGTTGACCAGTCTCAAGCGTGGTTCGTTTCACGGGGAAAGGAACTCCCGGAGCTGGACGTTAATCGCGTGCAGCTCGGACTTGGCCTCGTGTTGCGCCAACCCCTTGGCTGACTTGAATCCCCTGCGACAGACCCAACACGCAAACCCCGACCCTGCCGCTTTTTCTCCCGCCACGCTTGAGTCACCCGATCGGCCAGCTGCTGCGTCGGCACCACCCCCCTTCTTCAAATCACCCACATCACCCTCCCTCCCTTCGACGCCACTTCCTGAGCCTTCAGCCCCGTAGGCTTGCCTCTGGCTGCAGGTTGCCACCGGCGAACACACGCCCTTGCTGTTTTTCCTCTTGGCCTTTTCTCGCCGGCCTGCTGTGCCCCCCCCCCCTCTACGCTTCGGCGTTGTCGTGGAGTTGAATTTTAGCCAGCTTGCGGTCTTGGCTTCCACCTCGCTCCCGTCGCTCCCTAGAACGTCGTCGCGCAGGCGGTTCATCCGTTCTTGCTCCTGCACTGAGCGAGCCTCCGCCCGAACACGCTGCAGAGGTAAGGACGACAGCAGCGTCGACGCGAGGGGCAGGTAAAGGAAGGTGGAGGAGGAATGCCTCGTCGGTGTTCTACTGGTGAGTAGGACATCATGGCCTTGCGGACACCTTGCTGTTGACTGTTGAAATTGGCTTTCCACCACCAGGTAAAATTGCCATGAAAATTACTTATGGGTGGTAAGTGGAATGCCCCACGAACAGGTATTCCAGGAACCACACAAGAGAGAATCCACCAGAGGCAGACACAGTCAGAACCTCGACCCCCGATGACGCACGCAAACGCGCGCTGTCAGGTGTAACCTCACCTTCCTCTCGGCGTTGGTTTCTTTGGCTCGGGCCACTTCCTCCTTGAAGGCTTTCTCTCGTTGCTCGAACTCCTCCAAGAACTCGTCCATTGGTCGTGTCTTTCCCGTGTCCGGCCCCTCTTCTCGTTTTCGCTCTGCTTCTGGCACGTACTCGCCCTCCCGACACCACCGAGGTGCCTCTGCCGGCCCGTTTCCTCCAGAACGCGCGCTGGAAGTTTCCCCTCCGCCGTACTCATGCCTGCTCTCGCTAGGCCGACCGCCAGAGCTCGAGTCCCCTCGGTGTTTTCGAGGTCTGCCGCGGTTTCTTTGCTCCGCCTCCGCCCTACACAAGGCTTGCTGGGCAGGGTCGTGGAGTTTCTCGAAAGCCGCAGTTAGCTTCTTGAAGGCTGCCTCGGCATCTGCTTTTGTGGACGATGGGTGGGCAGGGGAGAAGGCAAACGATCGCGCAGCAGCAGCACCACCGCCAGCCGCACGTCAGCGAAAACGATGACGATGATGACAACGAGGCAACACGGCCGTATGTAGGGGGTGGTAAAAAAATAAGGGCAGCTCTTTGTGGAGCCTTTGCGGCTGCCCAGCGTGGCAAGTAAGCACAATCCTCACAAAGTACATTCCCATCGTTTAGGTATTTGAAGCTTGCCGACCCAACACAACAAGGCAAGGGATGCACAGACGGAAGCAAGGTGGGTCCTCGAAACCTGCCTTGTGTAAGCACATCTTTGTGGCACTACAGGTTATAGACCTAACTGGCCAAACCTACGTTGTGCAAACACACCTCGTGACAGCAGCAGATCTTAGACCTAAGTGGCCTGCACATGAACGCACCTGGATGTCTGTTCTTGTCTGGGTGCAGAATCAGCGCCAAGCGCCGGTACTGCCTGGAAAACACGCCAAGCCGCGGCAAATTTGGCAAGGGCACGGGCAGCAATGGAACTGTTAGGTACAGCGCGGCAGAAGTGCAGTTGCACCTTCCCGAGACTGGGAGCCTAAGGTTTCGCCAATGGAGTGTTGTGTTTCTGCGTTTTCGCCCTATTTATTTCTAGGGAGAGCGATTGGCCCCCCGCCCCCGAATGGGGCGGGCGGCCAGCATGCGTGGGATGGATGCGGCGGTTCGATACGCAGAGGAAAGAGACGCGATGATGACATCGTTTCGAAAAAAGTGAACTCGAAGTCGGCTTAGTTAGGTAGACGATGTGAGGTCGATACGTCCGTCCGTCCATTGCGTAGATCGGTGTCCTGCAAAATAAAATGAAAACGAAAGGGATTTTCGTGTTCGAATGGTCGATGCCCGATCACAAAACGTGAAACGGACGGAAGACGAGGGTGGGGAATATTTTGAGGAGGGAACGGGGAAAAAAAAGACGACGCCGTATGAACGCGAGAAAAGGTAAGGGGTCGTTGTCACCGGTGGCCCTATATGCGTGGATGGAATTTGCGGCGGTGTCGTATCCGTCGGTGCGAGTGGTGGTTGTGGCGGGCGAGATGGCGTATGTAGCGAATCCATCCGTGTATTCACAGAGGATTGCGAAGAAGTGAATCGCCCCGCCGCCAGCCGGTCGGGTTCCGGTTACCCTACGGAAGACTTCTCTTGCCTAGCAAACAAGAAGAAGTCTCGAAAAGGGGGGAGTGATGTGGAGACCAACTTCATAAAGAAAGGTACTACATCTACCCAATGTCTGTCGAGGACGATTCCTTCTTTTCACAGTTAGTTGGGAAATCCGGGAAACAAGGAAGGCCGGTTGTTATTAAAGACGCTTAGAAATCGATTCCTTGCATATGTATGTATCCATTTTATCATGCTCGGACGGGATAGATAGGCGGTCAAAGGAAAAATATCAAACATAGGGGATGATACGCTCATCATCCTCTCCCGTGAGCAAATTAACTCCGATACTGATCTCCCGAGAAAATGGTTCGTATGCATAAGGAAGGCGGGGTGTGTCGTATTGTCTCTCGTACGCGCCAAAATATACTCCTAGTACATAATTGTCTTGTTGATATTGTTGATGTGTTTTTGGTGACATAGGCTACTTGTACAACCACACATTGAAGTATCTTGAGCAGTTTTTTGGTGTTGACCGGGACGAAACATTCAGGGTGGCAACAACGAGCAAGTTGGACGGGCAATAACGAAGGAAAGACAATATTTTATTCAGAAATTCAATGTAGTACTACTTTTCGGGAAAAAATGTGTGTTGAGCGGAATCGAACTCATGACCTTATGTGTACGAAGTCTTCGAGGGGAATACCCTGTCTCTATGAATACCTCTATATTGTTTGAACCGGCCTTCCTCATATTTCCGACCAGAGCGAGTAGTGTGTTGAATAGAATGTCCTACAAATGGGACACATACGCGCATTCGCTAGTCCACAGCACGCCGAAGTGTTGCAGTGGTCCTTTACGTTGTTAATGGACGTACATAGAAAAACACATCGATACCAAGAGATCACACCTATCTGCCTATCGTTCTCTTCTACTACCGGTACCACTCTACCACTCACTCCTCCACTTACTACTTGAGTGGTATCTCATGCAGCCGACGTCGCGAAGATTCGTCATAGTTTTCGGTCTTACCCAACGTATCACACAATCGGTGTGGGTAGCAGCAAGCACAGGAGACACACATCATCATGTATATTCGGTGTTCTCTAATTCGGTAGCAGCCACAGACGCATGCCACGGTTGACGCAAGGCCGTATGTCCTTGTTGGGCGCGAAACGCGTCTTGTTGAAGAACATCACTGCAAGCTACTGCAGCAATGTTCAGCAGTAGTATTTGGATGACGTACGAAAGTCTACGGCTGTACAGTAGGACACTCTGTGATTGATGATGGCCGATTTTGAATCTGAAACAGCACCAAACAAAACATGTTCAACACAGTGCGGGTGCATGCGCTAGGACTTGTCTACAGCAGCAGTGTTTCACTTGGCCCGGTGGAGTCGCATTGAAGTACCCTTCGCCCGGTCGCCGAAGGCATCCCATGCAGCCGATGTCGCCAAAACACGCTATTTAATGTTCGGTCCCACGTCCACAAAAAATAATCAAGCTATTTTTGCCATACTATTTGTAAGAAATGAGTCACGACACGACCGCCATCCTGTGAGTATATATATAACATGATGGCGATAGTCCCCCCATTTTTGGTGATGAGACGTGTACTACACTCTTCACTGTGTGTAGAGTATGCATACTACACTTTTCAGTGTATTTTGTTGTACAACTGCAACCATCCAGGGTCACACAGGAGGGGGTAAACACCAGGAATGTTTCCTTGTTATTTATTTTCGTGCCCCACCTTCCTCCTGCGGTGCATGCTGAATTTTACTTTTATCGCGCGAAGGGTCCAACCGTCCGTTTCCCTCGTCAACGGTGCTATAATAAAGCCCAAGTGTTCGCTGTGTGGTGTGCGGACTAGCCTGCAGCAGTTGTATAGAAGACAGAATGTTGGCGTTGCGTGCAGCAGGGCGGTCCACGTCAAACATATGGACTCGGAGTCACGACTCTTATCAATTTGTCGTTGTTAGTTTTGCGAATATGTTCTTGTGATGTTGGGTTGAACACTTCTCGCTCAGTGCTACCGCGAGGTTCTATCGACCCGAGTATGTATGTACAAAAGGTCTCGGCGCACGCGGGGGACAATAATGAGGTAGGTGCGCTGGAGTTTGCTCTCCCTCGTTGGCGCTCCTCAGCCGTTTCCTGCTTACCTCTGTATGTTTGTGTTTACTCATGACTGTGCGCTTTCCACCTCTAGATCGCGGTGTTTTCTTGTTACATGTACATTTAGCCATATCCCTTCCCTGTACAGCAGTAGTCTAGACAGCCTCTTCGACGTGTTGTAGCCCGGTCTACATACATACAGAGCGACGACACACACACACGAAGACACGCGACCCACCTACCGCTTGATCTCAAGCGGCTCGTACACCTCCGGGATCAGCCTCAGGACCTGAAAAGGGCCATCGCACTTCAACGTCTGGGCGGCAGCGTTGGCATCGACGGACAAGCCTGACATCGCTTCATTGGTGTTCTGGCGTGGGAGATGGAGCCTTATTGGCTGAAGCGGCGGGACATGCGACGGCATGAACAGTAGATAGATACCGCCTGCTGCGAAATCCCGGGGAGCTTTGCCGCAGTCTCATTCAAGAAAAACTGGTTGAATCTTTCTTTGTACAGCAGTGTGTCAACGTGTCAACCATATGGTTAACGGCGGCTGAACCATTATGCATCATGCCGATTGGAGCGAACCGGGCGGACTCGTGCAGCCCAGCGCGAACACTTCAGAGGGGAACACAGCAGTTGCAACGAGTCTGACGGCAGTACCTCGGGGTTAGCAGTCATGGAGGGAGCGTCATTTTTCGCCGATGCAATTCTAACCGCTGATCGCTGCACAGATGCCCCACGGGAACCACGGGAGGTGCAGCTGGTTCCGCTTGTGCGCAACCGCGAACAGCTCACCAGCAGCAACGACGAAGGAGAAGACCGACTCATCCAGGACTTCGGTCCAGGTCGACGCGTTCATGAAGCCGAGGATATGGATGCAGTTGGAGCAGCGGGGTGGGGCACCGGCTGTTTCGATCCTTCTGTGAAGAACTTGCATCGATACGCTGCTGCTGTTGGCGACCATGGTCGGCCCGTTGTGTTCGATCCGACGGAGATGGCTCGACTGTTGCAGGCAAGTGGAAGCGGCATAGACTCTCTGTGGAGAATGGAGGAGTTGATCGAAACGACTCTCGAACGGGGAACGCCTGGAGGCGAGACACTCTTGATACTAAAAGCGGTGACCGACGCGTTCTTCGTCGCGTCACGAGCTGTCGACGATGGTTCCGCCGACGTTCGGAGTAACGGCGGGGCGTTTAACGGGGACAACGAGCGGGACCTTCTTGTACCAGCGTTGAGACAAGCCTGGGAGCACGCCGTGCGGCATAGGAACGGCAACCCTAACGAGTGGCATTCCTCAGTGGATTTTCACGTAACGGCAGCCTGGTTTCAGGCTTGGGAGGCCTCGTATCAGGTTGAGGACGTGTTGCCTGCGGACTGGACTTGGGTGCTGGAACAGCTGGAATCGCAGGAAACTTCGGAAGGGTGAGAGAAAGAGCTTTCATAATCACGATGAATATTTGTCCAGGTTGGATAAATGCACCACTCACTGTGCTACAGTGCCAGTGCACGTTCACACTTCTGTCTTCGTTCCCCCGATGTAGCCTCCGTGATGTATGTACGGTGGGTCTTGTGTGATCCACAGCCTTGATCACATACCCCTAAACAACATGGGCGGGAGAACTACAACTTTGTTGGACCCTTCGCCTGACTACAACGGAGAGATTCTCCCCGATATTTTGTCGTTGACCCAGTAGCGAACTACAGGGGATATTTCGTAGAATGTAAGTTACCTATACAGATGTTTTTGTACTTAGCACCAGCTGGCATCACTGATATAAATCATCAGTGTATAGACTGAAAAGACTCCACCACATCACGTTCGACTGTGGGTATATCTCGATTTTGTCTCTCACTTCCCGAAAAATGCCATTTTTATTATTGTGTCGCCGCGCAAAGGCCGGGTCTTGGAGGTAGAACTCTCTCCCTCCTTCCCGGCCCTTAGCCTACTAAGGAATCCACACGCTTCCTTAAGTAGTAAGAACCAGGCTGACCACATTCCGCTGGTCGCCCAGCTTGGACACAAACCTCCATGCCTTTCCATGCTCTGCTCAAGCCTTCGCTTTTTGCCCGAGCACGCTTACCTCGGCTTACCGGTCGTTCCATGTCCTGCCCTTTGGCCAGAGACACGCTTACCTTGACCACACCCTTCGCATTATTCAGCCTTTCCATGCCCTGCTCAAGCCTAGAACATGCTTCCTCAACCTTCTGGTCTTTCCATGTCTCGCTCTCGCCAACAACATGCTTACCTCGGCTTAACCGGTCGTTCCGTGCCCTGCTGCTCAGCAGCCAGAGACACGCTTACCTTGACCCTATTTTTTTTTTTTTACACCACCATCATTTTCCTTCCCATGCCCTGCTTCAGCCTAGAACACGCTACCCTTGTCTAGCTTCCGCCCGAGACACGCTTACCTCGGCTTCAAAAAAAAAAAAAAAAAACGATTCGACGATGCTCTTGCTCTCTTTCTCTGTCTGTCGCCTCCCTTCCGTACACTCGCTTCCTTCTTCTTCCTCCTCTGTCTCTCTTCTACTCCTCATCTTGTTTGTTTGTTGTCTTGCTCTTTCGTTCAGATGTTTCTTCTGTTGTGAGCAAGGTGCATCTCTTTCTTTTTCTTTTCTTTCCGTTACACATGCCTACCTATCTATCAATTCTCTGTTACCTACGGTGCCCCCTTTGATCTTTCTAACCGTTCTGACAAAACACCAGGTTGTACAACACAACCTTCCACTTTTGTCTCTCACTTCCCGAAAAATGCCATTTTTATTATTGTGTCGCCGCG